AGATTAGCGCGTTCAAACAAACAAACTCTTTCAGCTTTATATCTTAGTATATATTATATACCAGATGGGTACAAATCTAAGTCAGGCTTATTACAAAAATTAAAAATAAGGTACAAAATATATTTTTTATGATTATGTAAATGTAACATTAACGTTACCCATGGCTGAGTGGTAAAGCATCGCTTACCGCTCAGCCGCTTACCGGGTACAGTGTCCTAGGACACAAAGAATTCTGTCACGGCATAGTTCAACCACTACATATTTGTAAACTTAGAAATGTTTTCATAGACAAAAAGAGAAATTAGTGTAAATAAAAAGGCTACCATTACAGGTAGATTACGTGATAATAATGTAGTGGTTATCAATAAAAAAATAGTTATAAGGCTACTAGCATTGGAAATACAAAATGAAAAAATCCCGTCGAATACGCTTTATTCAGAGTAATTGGTTTTGTAAAAAATATTATTGATTTTCTGCGTCTTTACGCTATGCTAGGTCAATGACTGTGGTCAATGGTCCGAATCAGGGAGGACAATAGTTGCACAACGATTACTAGATCTTAAGATTACCTTAGTTCTAATATTACCAAAGTGACTCATGTATTTCATAGTACACAGATAATAAGTAAACCTACCAAGGCTTTGGAGTAATACAAACGACTCATATACGACAACGGTTTACTTGATATACGCCAGCCTTCTATCATATAAAAGGACCTTTTTAACATTCAAACAAGATGCGCTGTCGGCCTATTTTGGCTTTAGATATTCGGAAATTCACAGACTGAAACCGAAACGCGATTAAGCTTCACTTTCACGGCTCTTTATCGTACCACTGGAATTTTTTGGTATATTACAAAAACAACATTTAATAGTGGGATGAATATTAGTCATATCGTCAGGTAGTGTTAACTTCGTGTTCATTTATTGACTGTACAAACAAACGAACGACACGAAATTACATCTAATAAGTGTCTATCTTGATTATTATTTATTGTATGACGCAACGAACTGATTTAAACATATACCCGGATAGCTAACTTAAACCGGAATACTCGAAATCATGTTTGAATGTATACATGTTTTTTGTATAATAACGTATTAATTTACATTTCTGGTAACACTAAATACAAAAACATTAAAAAAAGCTTTAGGAATTACTATAGTGTTTAAATAAAACACTTTAACGTTTAAAACGCGATATATTAGTTTTAAACCGTTAAAGTGTTTTATTTACTATAGACAGTATTTAATTACTATAGTGTTTTAATGTAATTAGAAATGACAGCTTGCCTAGTTGACATATTAACGTTCTGTGTGTGTGTGTGAAAAGTGAGAACTTTACTATTTATTTAGATCTAAATATATAATAATAATAATGTATATTTCAATATATACATTGTTTTAAATGTCGTGATTTTTCTTAATACCATCGGCCAAAAAACAAAATAAAAATAACAATAATAATTTATACTATTACGCCTTGTCAATCTTCATTGGACACATGACATTGGCAAAATCCATTTACAATGGGAAAGCCATCAAATGAAGAAGAAAAACTTAATCACGATCTGTTTTATTTTTTTATATACATGACTTCGATCCTTGATTAAATCTGTCAAACGATTATTGCCATATTAAAATACTGGCCGTATACATCCACGGATTTAGCTATTCCCGACACAGTTATATAAAACCTTTTTGTCAGCACAAACTGTTTTACCTTAAACAATCGGTCATGGAGCGAGCACTTGAACAACGGACCGGTAACAGTGGTTCAGTTCCCCCATCAGTTCACGGTGTTGGGTTCACGCCGCACCACCATTGATAATTTGTGCAAGAACCATTGTTCTTGCCAAAACGCCGTATCTTTAGCCTAACTGCACTTCTTTTTATTACACTTAATTGATCTAACGCCTGGTAACTATATTAAGTGTTAACGAAATAGATATAGGCATCTTGCATCTGTCGTTAAATTGTGTATTAAAATAAAATTAATTAAAATCAGTGCTGATGAACTCATGACTGCTGATAAGCACAAAACATGATGGATCTAAGTTAATTTAATAATTTAGAAATCGGGTATAAATTAATGATTATAAATTGTTTGCTTATTAAGATTTAGTTTAAGGTTAAAAAATAATTTAGAATTCCTTTCATACTACATTTTTACTAAATTCTGGAATCAATGACATCTGCTGTCGGGAGGTACAGGAAACCCGCATCCTGATTTTAACGTCACGCATAGGGAGTCATCGAACCCATATTGTTTATATTGAAAATGAAGCTACGAATTAAGTCATTGATTTGTTAACCACCTTCAGCACTGAATTATACTTAATATTTGATATTAAAGGTATATTCTTTCCTGTCTCTAAAACACTTATTTTTTTAAATTACATGAGAAATTAACCTTTAAATATTAAATTAGGTACATTTCAATTACTACTCAAGACACAAGATACACTAAAATCAACAACACTACTCCCAAATATTTATGAATTGTGCCAATAATATTAAAACGTTTGTTTTGGTCGGGATCATAAAAGGTAAGGAAGGTATAAGACGAAGATCTTATTTTAGTTTGTATTACCAGTTACCACAGGTCTGTTGCGACCGCGCCCAGAAACCCTTCTGGCAGCTGACCTACGCGATCAACATACATTGAATTTTAAACAAGATTTACGCTATATATAACATCATATTATGTTAATCCAGTTACCCAATATTATCGCGTTAGCATAAGTGAACGCTAGTGGTCGTGGAAACCCCTCAACTTCTCATCAGTATCTTCTATGTGTGGGCGATGCGACGTCCTACAAGTGTCACTTGCAAAGTTACGAAGCATATACTAATTTAGTCGACCACCATGACTCAAGTCTGTAGCCCATTATACCGGTTATCGTGATATAATAAGACATATATTGTTTATTTGTTTGCAATTGCTTTGTTCGACACTTGTGACTTATCAAATCGATGTATCAACATGATCGTCATTCAGGTATTTGTTTAAACCCTTTATTTGTTACACAATAGATGGTCACTTATCAGAAGTGCATAGTAAACCAAATGTAGCATATCTATTAACTAGGAGTACTGCTATTTTCGTTGTTTTATCAACTCTATATTTAGAAACACTCATTTACACCAATAGTGTATACCCTTAAATGATTAATCATAGAAAATAACATGCCTGCATCGTCTCATGGTTCGTGCATTCGACTGCAGGTAACAGTCCAGGGTTCGTATTCTAGGTGGAGCCAAATTTTAATTTGATATTTGGCTTTTTCTATTCCTAGCCCAGTTTGTAAGTGTGAAGAGTGGTCCAAGTTTTACTTAAAACTCGAACTGGTAAATCTGAAACTAAAATTGTGCCCAAGAGGATTAAAATGAAGACTGATTAAAATGTTAAACCGACAAATCATTGTGTGTGAGCAGGACAATTTTAAACTGCGCAGCATCACGATTTCTCCAGTAACTGCGAAAGAACAAAACATCCGAATTATCTTGACACTTTATCTCGTGATAATGAAAATTTCTATAGATGATCGTTTTATTGTGACAAGTGCTGTGGGTGTAACACATTTATTTGGTTAAGAATAACATCTGGAAGGACTTATTTGGTTAAACATGGTGTGGACGATAATGCCAATATGGTTTGAGGATTCTTACAGCCATCGAGCTGGGGCCTGTAAGTTTCACGCAGTGAGTGACGTGTGTGATTCCGTAATGTTCTGGCACAATCTGGTATTTTCTAAAAGCAAAAATAAACGGCAATACAACATAGACCTAAAGCCAGTTTTTCATCATTCGTTTATCGTCATTGTTTCTGCTCATTATTATTATATTTATTTTCAGTCTTTCTTTTTTATTTTTTTTTTTTTTGAAAAAATGAAATTGACATGTGTTGTATAATATTAAATGAAACATAAAAAAAATCACTTCGGGGTCAAGGAAACTTTACTACATCAAGTTCATTCCACTTAACTTCACTTCGCAAAGGAATCTCGTGTTATTAAGTTACGGTTAAGAGAATATTGTCTAAAATTTGAAAACATTAAAAATGTACAAGTCCTTAGTGAAAATTTGCAACGGTGCGTGAAAAGGTCGCTTATAAATGAAGATTTTCCCCTTCTCTCTTCCGATTAGAAACCAACCTCAAATTATAGCTAGGTACATCCATTTTCTTTTGTTTGCGGTTGTGCGTGACGGTCACCGCGACACGCTTCAAACTTGACCTACATCTCCTGAGAATCCATTGTCTTCTGAGACCTCGTTGATGACAATTGAAGCGATCCAAAATATCCTTAAATATCTTTGTGCTACTTTAAAAAATTGCCAAATTTTTGTCAAACAAGTCTGCTTTCTAGTCTGGCTTAAGAATTTGCACTCATTACCCTACTCCAGGGCGGGAATTATAAATTTTGTTAGATAATTTCTGAAATTATATCAGCGATTGAGTTAACATTGAGGCAGTTGCTTTGGATTTTCGCCAGCAACCCGCGTAATTGGGGGGACTTTCTACGCTTTCTTTTATATTAGCACTATCAGATTCCGTTATAAACTTACACAGTTACGAGAAACATGACAAACGATTTTCTCGGCTTTGATGTACGCTTGATCTACTTTACTGTTTACAACGGATTTTGTAAACCAGGTTACATAAAATGCGAAGTCATATAAGCTTTTAGATAATTTGTGCTGCGGCGTATAAGCCTTTATTCTGCAGTTAACATATCGTTTACTTCATGTGTGACTAAACAAAACATCTTTAAACGGGTAGAAACTAATTAATGAATTTGTAACATCGCGTTGCTGTTTCAGCTCGAGGTCGCTTATACTTTTATACTATAATGTCGTTTTAAGACTGAAATGTATTAATTATTAGTCCAAAAATATATTTTTTTAATTGATAGTCATTAAGGAGTTTTCTCGCAACTTCGGTTGTCGGACTTTATAATCCTTATCAGATAACTAACGAGTGATTTTGTGTTGTCGCAGGGATGTCCCTAGACGAAGGTAGACAGTCACAACGCCCCTACCGCTATGGCATGGTTTTGCTGTGCGCGGGAGCTCTGATCAATTGGTTGGGATTGGCCGAAGATTACGCGGAACCTGTGCGCTATGTAGGCGTGGCTTGCATCGTGGCCGGCGCGCTGCTGATATGCGCAGCGATGTGCTGCTGGCTGCAGTCTCCGGCCCGGCAACCACAGAATGACCGCGCATCGCCTGACACCCATCAAGTATGTACATAAGCTCCAAATAACTCTTACGTAAAGAAATACCATACGATTGATTAGAATTTCTAGTGTGTGTGATTGTTTAAAATACGGTTACATAATATTTAATCTAAAATCGATTTATAGTTCATATAATACTACCTATCACAATGTGAAAATTTTAAAATTTTCAAACATAAGTATATATTTTCGTTGCCCTTACTTTCAATGTCTCCTTACAGATTGACGATCCAATCCATGTGATATCAATGCCGGATGATGAGACGATGCAACAGAAGCCACCCGACTACGACACAGTGGCGGGGGCACCCCCCACTTACGACGACGCCATCAAGCTTAACCCGGCGCGGCTCCTTCCAGCCACTAGCAGCAGTCGCATCGACACGCCTCACACACACATGGAGACCGTCATCCCAGGCCAACTGGACGACAGTCAGTACAGCGCCACCGTCGCGCCAGTCCACATCCCACACGGGCAGGTCCCCAAAACGCCACCACCACCGTACCGGGCGCCCCACGCGATCAGATGAAATACAGGCCGAACGCCTGTGTCGCCGACCAACTCTTATTTCATGTGACTTGTAAATATTATGGAGCTGCGGTGAAGCATTTACGTGGCGACACGTATGTCTAGAATAGTCGAAACGCTGCGGTATTATTTTATTATACGTCCATAAATAACCACATGGAACTTTTTTACTTTAATCTTATTAGAAATGTTGAGCTTTGAGATTGTGTACTTATGTGATATTACAATTGTTAATGATTTAACTAGTTAACTGACCTACCTGTATATATTGTTATTAGGGTATCTATACCTTGTAAGAAATTTGTATTTATTTCGTGTATAGGTAACGAATTTATGTTGCGTCGGATGTGACCAAATCTTGCCTACCGTTGGCGCCAGCAGACCATACTACATTTGTGCCATGTTGCTTCATTTTCACCCCAATGTACGTACGTTCCATAATTTACGAGGCACGTTCCAACGAAAATCTTTTGCGGCAGTTTACGCGTTATTAACGCCGTCTAATAACACGTTTAAAGTTTGTTTTAAAGATTTTTAATTGTACTAAAGTAGATAAAAAATCAGGCACTAAGAATTAAAACTATTTGCTCAATAATTATAACGTGAGTGTCGTGCTGGAATTCTGGACAGACAGAAGTGTATAGTGATTTACCAAATAAAAGACAGCGGTATAAACTTGTAACTTGACTATGTAGAATATCGAACTATCAACCTTATGTAGCTAGTGAATAGTGGTTACATTAACACTATTGTTGACGTGCTGTACGTTGAAACAAAATAAATTAACAGAAAACAAAAGACGGCTTCGCTGGGATTCTGTCACCTGTTTCATATTGGCTACTATTGTAATGATAAGATAGTGAAAATAATTTATCGTTCCATTTTATTTCATTCTAGTCTTCAAATACGACTGTAAAGGCGAGCTATTTGTATTTGTACAGGTTTTCATTGCACAACTCAAAATTCTATTTGCTTGAATTAACGAATAATTAAAACTAGTGTTTTCGTGCTCATTTAAAACTATGTTTACGCAAACTGTGTAGTAAATTTTGATAAAATTATTGAACAACCTCATAATTTTTTTCTAACTTTGATATCTACTTTTTATCGTACTATCTATGTTTATGACGTTAGTTCCTATAACACGATACTGCTAAATAAATAACAACTTAGATTTTCCTATGAAGAATAATTTGTAATTGCAAAATCTTATTCGATTATTGTCACACGTACTTGAGATTTTCGTTAAAACAATAGTTTACGCGAGTACACATTTAAATAAAACACTTAACTGTTTAAATCGGGAAATATGTTAGCTTATTTTCAATTTATTTTAACTAATGTCAATGTCGAAACTGCTACGCTAGCGCCATCTGTTGCGTCGTTGAGGAACCCGCGATAATGGCTGCTGCAAAGCATTCGAAACTTCCGGTCGTAGTTAGAATAAATTTGAAGTAAGCTACAATATTTCGCATTGTAACCGTTTATAACGTGGTTTTGATGTGTTGTTATCAATTCGCTTTCGACAAACGTAACTCTCGGAAACATTATTGTTGTAAAAATACAGAAATAACCCCTGACGAAAAACATATCGCCATAACCACTTAGCGATTATATAGTGAATTTATAATGGGACCAATCTATATACTTCTATAAAATGGCTTGATAAATATTTTTTCGCGTGTACCTGTGTTCCTTGAAATGAATTTTTCAATGCTGAAGTTGTGCATTTATTATTTGTACATTACTTATACGAAATTGAGTGTACATACATACAAAATAAATGTTGTTCAGAAAGTACAAAACTTTATTTGATTCACACACCTGTATGAATGTAGTATGTCATACCAACTATACGTTCTTGGTATGAAGACCAATTCATACCAAGAATTATTCCTTCCACAGCAGTAATTTTCTTTAAGAGTGAGGCACGAAGAACTTATCAGTATTGTATAACGTAAATGACTTTTTTTTTAACTGAAAATTTCATGTCTATCCAACACTTTGCGTTTCGTTATGGTAAAACCCTGGCGGAAATTTTCAAATTTTTTATTAAACCTGAGAATGTAATGACGAAAATTTTAGCTTAGAAGCAAGCTACATTAGGCGATAAAGATAACGAAATTATTGGTATTCCTAAAGTTTCGTCCGTTTCTGTAGTAGATATTTTAATAAAACATTTTTGTTTGCCTCCGTTACAACGACTTAAAATCAAAGATTAAAACGTCACGTACACCCTATTAATAATAATTGAAATAATATATTCCGCGTTTTAAACCGTTAAATTATTATTTTTTAACTCTTAAAGCGGATGTGATAGATAAGTAAAAATCGTTATATTATCTGAACGTAAGGCTAAAATGTGACCTACCGAGTCATTGACATCAATAATGAAAAAATATGAAACAAAGAAAACATTTTTACTTAACTAAATTTGTGACCTCTTAAGAGTAAACAAAGGATTTTTAAATACTGTTTTAATGTATCTTTAAAACGGTGGCAAGAAATACAATAATGTATCGCCATACATTAGTAACTTACAGAGGGTTATACCGTTTTTAGAAAGGTTATTTTTAAACATTAATATGTGTTTACTCTAGTTATTACTGAAGAAAACCGGCAATATATACTTCCTACTGCTTTGCTTAGACTTGTATTTTTGTTATAATAAATAGTAGCAAAAAGGTTATTTTCTAGCTCTAGGTCTAGGTCGTGGCCTGGCTCGCGGGCGCGGTCGAGGGCGGCGCCTGCGCACACGCGGCGACCGGCCCCGTTCGAGTTGCGCACTAACCAGTTCCCCCAACACGCCGCGCTCCGTAAGCATGGATAGAAACGTGCAGATAAACTCGTCGTAGTTGTGCGTTCTTCGGCAATCGTCTACCTGTTCAATATAATATATATATATTCACTTTTATCTGCCAATGACCGCTTCTATAGCTAAATGGTCAAACGTGTGAACCTTGCGTTCAATGCGAGAGGTCCTGAGTTCGAATCTCGGGGAAACCACTTCATTTTGGTTTTGTAACCTAATATCTATTCGATACAAATACTGTTTGCAAACATATAGTGTAAAGAAAATGTGAAACTTTAACACTGCCTGTAGTTTACGCATGTAGTACACATTTAAATAAAACAACTAAAGGTTTTAAACGCAAAATATCTTACTTAAACTCATTTGAGAATTGTTGGCCGTAGCTAAAATCATTTCCAAATAAGTTTAGTTAATATATTTCGCGTTTTATACCGTTAAGTGTTTTAGTTAAATAAACTTATATAGTACAATATATACGGTATAATATGGTGGAAGGAACAAGTAATACCTTATACATATCCCTCTTATCATTTTCATCGTTCAGAGCCTGCTGACACGACTGCATCTCGGAGACAATGCTACTTGAAAACACATTCAGTTCCGAATGTGTGAACAATATCTTTCTAAATCTATAGGGCTGTTCGGGAGTGACTTCACAGCATAATATTATCGGCATGTTATTACTACGTAGAAGAGCGGTGGTTGATGTTGGATGTAACTGGAAATAAGTTTTAAATAAAATTATAAATCATAAACCCTTTTGTATGTGTCATACTTTCTTTTTTATCATAAAAACTTATGCGGCAGGCTGTTTGAAAATTAATAATTTGTATTTATAAGTTATTAATGGAGAGCCTGTTATCATAAGAAAAAGCGTCTCCACTAAAATATCAAACCTTAAAGTTAAATCCCACTAAATAAAGATTTAAGAAATCATAAAATATTAAACCATATAAAACTCTCTAAAATTTGGTTATTGACTTGGGCTATCATTATAGACAAGCTACTTAAGCCACAATATAATAAAATTATCTTTACTGATTCCCAATGTAATTAAAAGATAAAAAAAAATGGTCAAACTTCAATTGACCAAAAAAATATACATACATTTGTTAAGATTTGATGATCACCGTTTATTGTGAAAAACTTTGAAGTTACATTTGGTTCAACCGCATCAGCTGAAAAATATAAGTGTAAAAAGGAACTGCTAATAAATTTTACAGCTTATTTTAAACAAAAACGCATTGAAAGTACACTTTTATACAAGGCAGTATCAGACTAGCAACTGAATGACACAAGACAATGTCTTTCCTCTGGGAATCCTCCGGTACTCTGGGGATAGGTCACCCTATGCAATGTGAACAGGTTTTTGGAGTTTGAGTCAGCTGCTGCCAAGTCCCATATGCCTTTATACACTGGGCCGATGTGAGGGTTAACTAATATCCTTAACTTTTTAACCTCCTCGATAAAGCTTGGTTTTAATATATAGTCTTCGATTAGAGAAGATATTTTTTAATAAGCAAAAATCAGTATTTACCTAAGCTAATGCTCTTGTCCTGTTGTGGTTTATCAACAACGCCAATTTCAATAGTTATAGGCTGCGTAAAATCTATGTCAAATGATGGAGCCTCCATAGCATCCAATGCGTTTATAATGGCATCTTCAGAAACTTGCAAACAATTGTCATTTGAAGAGTCTTCGTTGTTATCTGGTGATATTGAATCGTCTGAAAATTTTAGTTTAGTAAAGTATATTGTGTCATAGTTGTTATATGTTGTCTAGAATTTAAATAATCATCAGAGAAAAAATGCATTGAATTTGAACACGACACATAAAGCTGATTATCAACTTACTTGTAACTTGTAAATAAAATTAATATCGAAAAAGATAATTGCTACAAAATAACTGCACATATATTTCAAACAAAATATTGATTCTTACCATTGTACTCCCTAGGTTTTGTCAGCAAATGCCGTAAATGTTTTCCGATTTTTGAAATGGCTTCCTTTATTCTCTTTTGATTCATTTCAAGGGAATTGAGTTTCTGCGTTAATGCAATTCTTCTATCTGGTACAACCGCCATTAAATTAAATCTGAAATGAAATGTGTGTTGTTAACACTGTTAATAAAAAGATTTCAATTAATTAATTGTACTTTTTATATTGTACTTGAACAGAACTACAATTACTTTGTAGTATTTCTGTGTTGACATTTCCTGACATATGTTTATGCCCAGTAATTTTTTAAGCAGTCATATGTAAAAAGGTCAATCTGTCTCTATCTCTTATTAAAATAAAACCAAGCATATTATATACCTTATATCATGTACTTGTTCACCAGCATCACGACCCAGTCTTTCAACCATCACTCTCCTAAACTTCTCTGTCCAATCTTCATCAGCTGCCCATGGTCCATGATCCATTGGAAATGGTTTTAGCCCATCAAGTTCAAATAAATGTCCATTGATGGGTACAAAACTGACAAAATGGTATGCTTCCCCTAAATATCAGAGATAGTAATTATATACTAATATGGTCCCAGACGTTTTTAGTAAATTTACAATAAATTTATATAATTAATAACTAAATAAGGTGAAGTAATGACATTTCTTGGTAGATCCAAATATCATCTTTACAATATAGGTCTCTCTACATAGTTGTATTTATAATATTAAATTAAAGATAAGTTGTATATAAAGTGAAAAAAAAACTATTTGATTTGAATATTTTGTACTGTTTACAATTTCAATGTTTTTTATTACCTGTAAAGCGTCCAGTAGAAACTCCAGCATTTTTATCAGTCTTCTTGCGAGCTAAGGGGATTGCATGAGAGTTGTGAGCACAAGCTAATTCTGGAGTGTTCCCTATTGCCCATCCCTTGTTCTCTGGGTTCATACCCAATGTGTGATGCTTGACAAATAAGTTTCCTATTAGAGGACTGAGATATAAATCATTTTATTATATGAATAAGCTATATTTACCTTTAATCTACTCAAGGTTTCCCCTAAATGCAAGTTTGGACAATTTAGTAGAATCGATAGCAAGGCATGTGACGCACAACTGTTAGGCACCATTTGTTGAGCAAAGAATATATTGTTAATCGTTTCTTCATCACGTACAAAACTCTCAATCTGCTCCACGAATTTCCTACGCGACCGTCTCTCTTCTATCCATCGGAAAAGGAATATGAAGCCGTAAACTGGACTTTCTAACGGCTTGTGTAAGTCGTATATTTCTTCCACCTGGACTCCTTTAACACCAAAGTCCTCAAGTAACAAGGTGAATAAGCCGGGATCACTTTCCAATTCTAGCCACCCTTCAGTCAAGCTGTTTAATTCTACAGGCATATTCCTTTAAGACGAGACTAATATTGCTATATGTAGTGTATAGAATTTAGTATGACCTTTTAAATTATCATGAAGAATTCGTGAAGCTTCTTGAAACTTTAGTTACAAACACATCTTGGTGTCTTTTATTTAAAATTCTTATTGTTTACAACTTTCAACCATTTTCCGATAAGTAAAACGTCAAATGTCAATGTCATCCAAGTGACAAAAGATCCTTGTTTGACTCTACTGTGTATATTTTGTACTTAATAGAGTAAATAAAAAAGAAGTAGAATGTCTTGTTGTTTTTATTTTTATGATCTTTATTTTTCGGATTCCATAGACAGTTTTCAGCTTGATAGAGCTCTATGAAGCGAAAAGTTTCTTCATTACTCATACTTGCCATAATCGTATTCGATAATCGATATCAAAAAATCCTCATTAAAAAAATGCGTCCGCACAGAACGGGCGCTCGCTGCAAACTGCAACATGTCTTCTACTAAAACATGTCTCTCTGTCGGTATGTCTCCAAGATCCTGGCTGAACTAATTCGCCACTGTCTACTGTACCTGGAGAGGTATACAAATGTTCAGACCTACTTTTTCTTTAAAAATTGTGAAGGTAAAAACAGGTCATTGTAATTTTTGAAGCTTTTACTTCGTCAAGAGTCTACCACACTCAAAGCTAATTTTCGTTAGTACTTATTGGAGTTATTTTTACTTATTATATAGATGTTATTGTATAAAAGTGAACCTTTTATACAATATCTTTTCTCCTCATTTACCTGTAATTTTTTTAGAAGAAATTTACCCACGGCCATTATTCTAACAAATAAAACAAGATTAAATTAAAAACGAATTTTATTAGAGTACCACGAACAGCTCCGTTCGTATTCACATGATCGTTATATTGTTAAAGAAATGTAACAACAACAACATTATCGTATTTAGGCACGTACCGTATCGAACAACACCTTAAATCTAGTCTCGGAACTAGGTGATTAAAATTGGGCCAAAGCAAATTGGCTACTTAAGAAACGGTGACGCTGCTCGCGTCTCTGCGATAAACTTCGCAATAGTGTTGTTCAAAGCACAGACTTGCGAACACCGACATCACTCGATGCGCATCGCTATAACATTATGAAAAACGTTGGCTGTCATTTAATTTCAAGGCTAAAATGCTCTCTAAGTACTTTCAGTATTTTATATAATGCAAATGCGTCGTATTTATAAATGACTTTAGCGACATGGTTACACACACAGACTATAGAAATTAGTATATAATCATGTCCACAGTTAGTTGGCAGAGTCTCACATCTTATACATAATGCAACAGTTATATAGTACTAAAATTAAAGGCGATAACGAAACGACGCACACAAATAACAATACAACCAAATACATGGCGATCAAAATTATAATACACGTTGCATGGAACTTGAATTTTTGTGCTTTATATATTCAAATTGTACATCATACAAAATATTAGTACATTTTTCTATTAAAATACCAATTCAATAGATTAAAATGCTTATTCATTAATAATTTACATACAAAATTGTAACATGTAATTATTGTGATATATTAAAACGTAACACGACTGCATAATAAGACGTTCATTACATTATATTGAATATAGGCAATTATTTGATCGATTAATTAAAAATTCATAATCGTAGTAAAGCGTATTTGTTCGAGGCTAAAAGCTCTATTGCTTCGATAAGGCGATTTACTCGATGATTAGACACCATATCACAGACTAACAGAAACTCTAATGCAAAAAATATCACTACCACTATGGCACTATCTACACTAATATCGGAGCTAAACGATTTATAAAGGCAGTATTTGTCTGGTGCTGCATCACAAGTACATCAACTCACGCTCAGCAACAAAACCTTTGAAGTCCCAACCGTCTTGTTACATTTCAGTGACAATATAATCGATTCTCTACCAACTATCGGTATCCAACATTGCATTCCCTATAATCGAATAAAATTGCGGCCTCCTAAAAACGCCGTAGGCACATTATGTAAATATAATTACTACTATCATAGAAAGGTGTTGTTGTCTCCTTTCCACATTGACGTAGGTGGTGTGCATGTAAGGAGTACAATTGTACAACGACCTTCGCTTCATGTACGGACTGGCCAGGATGTAATAGTTAGGCATCTTGACGCAGCGTAATGCGTGACGCGGCTACGGCGTTTACAGGAGAAAATCACTTAAATTACCATCGCTCCGTGATAACAATCGATAAACAAATAGCGTAACGTGTAATTATTGACAATTGATTGGCAGTAGCACCAGAGTATGGTAGCATTACAGCGACGCGCACGACCTCGGGATCACAACCAAAACTTATTGCTATTATCACTACATAAATTGCACTACTGTGTGTCCGTGATTGAGGAGGCTATTGCAGCTGAACAAACCAATATCATGCGTAGACACTATTGCACAAACGCGACAATTTATAAAATAACACTTAATTATATTTGATCAAAATAATTTTCTCCAAATTTGTCTAACAAAAATGTCTACATCAAACCTTAGCACACTATTCACTACGGCATACATTCATAGATAATAAGGAACAATATCAATCGACAATTTAGAGGCTCGAATCATGCGCATCTCCGATAGCCCATTGATCATCTGTCATAATCTCGAAACAACTGTTGTAGATTCATCTGTCATAGACAATTTATAATAAAAATCCTCTTTTTATATGACCCCTTTAAAAATTTCATAACATAAAAATGTTTATTTAAAAAGTTCTTTAAACTTTAAAATAATTGACATTATTTGCGTTTGCTTTATTATAACCTATTTTGCTATTTGATTGAATTATGCTGAGAATTTGAATATGTTTAAATGTCCTAGTATATGGACATAGTGACAGAATAACCGACGAATAGTTTTGATAGAGAACAAATCCTGCACATGTTTTCATCCACAACTCCACATTCAACCATACAATCACGCCATTTTCGTCATCGGTCATTTATTCATTAGGGAGATAGCGTCTTATATTGATTTAATGACAGTCAATTAACACTATTAGATTATTATATTTAAATCGATTTCCAGTGCTCAAGTGAGGCACTAAACACGATTCGTATTTACGAAGATTATGGTGTAAAAATTTGTTTCAAGAAAATTTATATTTTTTTACTGACTGCAAAATTTTTTACATATTTAACTATTATTATAGTATATTTTGCTCACGTTATGACAGTATAGGCTACCTTTTGATGCTACAATTCGAGCCCCAAAACAATATAAAATACCGGGTTGAAATCAACACCGCACTATCACTACTCGCGGTCCTCGGACCAACGATAACTACATACACCACAGTTCATATAATAATAGCAGTAGTTCAACTCAAGACAGACATATTTATTTCGATCACTGCAAACATAAACAACCCAGAAAGTGTCTTATTCATTCAAATTATGACAAACTGTCGGGGGACAAAGAGAAAATGCGGCTCGCTCATATATACTTAGATTTCAGTTGAGAAAATAAAACGTCACATTTTAACAGTTTCAGTATTAATTTTGCTATGGAAAAGCTAAGTCTTTTTAACTGAACAGCTGTTCTTTACGTTTCTTCAACAGTAAGTACAATAATATGCCATTGCTTGCAATTAGTTACAATATTTCATACAAGACAAACCAAATAATGTAATAACCAACAACATATCTGTCCTTGTGTCACATTGCTTGTAAACTTAAAATGAAAGAGACAACCTTAAGTTTTCACTTACAGTACATTGAACGCAATACCGAGTTGCTCTACTGCTATAATATTGTATGCTCTATGATTCAACTGTCCGCAGTCTTCGTGTCTGCGGCTGTCTCGCTCTTCTCCACGTGCTCGCCCAGAATGCCCGCAATGGGTTTATCTTTCAAGTGTCTTTTCTCTATTTCCGCTTTGAAGTGTTCGATGTCCTGAGGGCTGTAATGTAAATATGGATATCTTAGGTTCTGGATACTTGAACAACCTCCAGATAGATAGAAGATAAACACTTTTATTAGAATAAACCTTTTGATAGAAATATATTATTCTCAGTTTTATTGAGAAAAACTTCTATAATTTAGTTGCCAATTGCACTATTTCAGGTGTGCCATCAGAAAGTATTAGAATTTAACGGGCTGGTTGCTCTAATACTAGCAACGTATGGGTCCTGGATTCGATCCACATCGAGTCCAACATGTTGGACTTCGTCTGGAAATTTGGATATTAATATTAAATGCATAGTGGGAACATTGAGAATACCATTCTAATAAAAAAACACACACACATCTGTTCATAGTTGCGGCAAAATTTAATCGCGTTTCGGTTCTTAGCTTTGGATTTCCGAATACATCACGTGCAATGACGTGTGTATAAGAGTTTTCAAACAGTAAACTTTGTAATTTCACGTTTAATATTTTTAAGCTTCAAAGCCATTGATCCTAAACGCGCAAGTGTTAAGGTTCAAATTACATTGTGCAAGTAACAATAGGCTTGAAAAAAATCGACGATGACGTGAAGGACTCGGTAGCTCAATTCCTAAGAGCTACAAGCACGGAACGCCGTAGATGCCAGTTCAAGTCCTGACCGAGTCTTAAATTTACCTCGATAAATAAATTACCTGATCTGTACAAAGAGAATGCCATTGATGAGGTTGAGCATATCAATGACCGAGGGTATGGCCGGTGGTTGAATGTGGATGGGCGGGTGGGGGTGTAGAGCTGCCGATTTTCCATACGCTTCAGCGAGGCGCTTCTGCACCACCACGGCCTGCTGCGTCAGATGTCGGAGGCATTCTGAAGACTCGCGGGTTTTCTCGTGTTTCTCTCCAAGCTGTTATTGTTATACAATTGTCATTAACCTTAGACGCTTCTCACTACGGAAGTCGAACATCGGCCAAGTTGATACTAGTAGGCCATGTATAAAAAATACAATTTTTATTAAAGCAAGCTATATAAATTTAAGGGTTAATAAAAAACATGAAATAAATTTGAACATTGATAAAAGTTAATTTGAGTAGACTGTTATTGTAAACTTCTTTTAAAAAAAAGAGGATTATGTAAAATATTGCAACTACGTATAACACAATCCTTGTGATATACATTTTTTTATAAGCCTAGTAGGTGAAATACCTAAGCCTCATAACCTCTAAACAAGATGCGTTGTCGACCTTTTTTGGATTTTGGATTATAAATTAATTTAGGTATTTAAATCAAAAGCATCAAAACAAACGTTATTTGCTTGTATTATTAACAAAAGAGTATTAACTTAGTAATATAAGCCAACCTGTACGAACTACAAAAGCTAACACTTACAAGAGTCTTGTATATGGTGTACGTCTCTTTCTCATGTACAAGCGCAGCTCGGAAGTCAGCCAAGCATGACAGCGTGCGCGCGAGCAGGTGTCTCGCAACCGCCGCCTTCAGGGAACGAGCGCCGTGCGTCGCGTTCGTAACAGTCAGCGCACGCTCAGCAAATCGTAGAGATAATTCATATTCGCCAACCGCGTGAAGAATCAACGCTATATTGCTCTGAAAAAAATAAATATTATTACAATGGTAATCTCAAAAACAAAAACTTTATTATGTTGCCGATATGTATGTTGCAAATAGAGAGGGCCTAGACTAGGGCCTGTGTCGTGGGTAATTAGTCTCTTCCAAGTTACAAACAACAATTATCTTGAAGCTAACTTATGTATACTTACAATTAGTGTCTTGTGATATATGCCGGAGTAAGTGGATAATTGCATGTCTGATCGATTATTTTCTTTTTTATAAAACCAATCAGTGAGACGGACACACAAATGTGTTCGCCCGATGCCCAAGAAAAGGAACAGGATCACTTTTGTTAAAGCAACTTTTTTTTTCTATTAAAAACCTAAAATCGACCAAGTGCAAGATACAGAAACATCATACTGTACCCCTTTTGTAAAAAAATAAATCTTATTCATGTACATAGCTAGGAACACTAATTAACGTTCTGACTGTAATGAAAGCTCTAAATTTACAATTTACTAGAACGAACAGGAAGAACTGGCAAGAAACTGGCCGCCACCCCCTTTATCGTCAAGTTTGTGTTACAAGTTCGTTACGCACTTAATGTGTACATCTTATCCCCTGTTAGAGCGGGTTCCTCCAAACCCTAAGCATTGTTATCATATAAATGTTAAAATACGATTTTGTGTATTCATGTAAAATATTATAAGATAGATAAGGTTTTTAGGATTCAGCCCAACAGCTTGACATGGACGGACAAACGGACCTCGGATTCTTAATAAAATAGAAGTACTCACATCCAGTAATGCCATCTCCGGGTGATTCTCGCCGCAAATAAGAAGGGCGAGGTAACGCGCCCGATACAAAAGCTTCAGTGCGGTACTGACTTGGCCGTTCACGAAACAATACAACGCCAAATGAGACTGAAAAAATAAAACCATCGCTTTATTACTTATTATAAGACCTGAAAGTTGAACAAGTATCTAGACATTAGATTAATTGTACGAGATTTAACATAATGACAAATACGGACTATTTGTCGTGTCTTTTTATTATCAATTTAAATTGAATAATTCGAGAGAAGGGCGGTTCTTTTTTACCCATAAATTGCCAGCAGATCAATAATCCCGTTAAGATACTTGTGAAATAGTTTAAAACAGCAATATTTACAGTCTTAAAACATTTGTTAAATAAAGATTTAAATCAAATTTAAAAAATTGACTTACATATTCAGTGATGGTGTATGGGTGATCTATGCCGTTCACCCTTTCAGACATGAGCACGGCCTTCTGCTGATAGGCCATGGCGTCTCTATGTTCTCCCGTGACGTAACACAGTCGCGCCACCATGCGGAGGCACTGCGCAATTTCTCCGTGCATCGCTCCGTACACGTTGTTCAGCAGGTTGAGAGCCTCAGCGATTAATTCGTGGCCTTCCGATACGGCACCGGCCTGGATCTTGTTCTGACCCGTCGTGTAGAAATTGTATGCATCCGACGCCTATAGGGAAACACGTAAAATTTATAAAAAAACATCTATACTAATATTAGCTGAAGAGTTTATTTGAACGCACTTATCTCAGGAACTGCTGGTTCGAATTGAATAATCGTGCGCCAGAAATTCCAAGTTGTATTTATTTTGTGTTTTAAATGTACGTCTTTTTATCATGATTGAATGTACAAATGCGAGCACATCTGTAGGTAAATGGTTAAGCGGGTGGCCTTTATTATTGCATTGTGCGCGAGAGGTCCTGGGTTCGGTGGGAAAGGCACAGAATTCTGGTCAACTACTTGCCTGTAAAAGAAGATCAGTGAAACTGACACATGAATGTGTTCACCCCCATGCCCTTCGGAGGGGAAATACGATTTCATTTTACTCAGTTTCGTTTTAGTTTAGAAATGTATATGCTTTTATTATGAAATAATTTCGAAATAACTATGAAATGTAGACTTACCCTCGGATTGATATGTTTAACAACGGGGAATATGTTCATGATATCTGAAGAGGAGAACGTTGTCTTATTCTTATTGTCAAAGTCATATTCTCTAAGCATAATCTGTAAACCAACTTTCAACGCGAACGACCTGAAAACATTGAAAAAAAAATCATTAATTTCGTCTCACAAAAGTTGTTGCTGGCTAGTGCACTAGACTGCATGTCTGACGAAGACGATGAAATGTTATTTCTGTATTTGCAATTAATGCGACGAAAAGAGCAGTGGTACATTCATAGGTTAATAGAAAACAAAACAAAATTTTATTTTTAATATCTAATAATTCCATTTGAAACGAAAAAACTACCTGAGGAGTGATATCTTTTGTAGTCCATGTTTTTGTATAACTGAGTCCATACTCTCTGCGTCTAGTCCGAATCCCCAATACGCCTAAATCGAAAACAAAACACTTTATTAAAATACACTACTTGTCTAATTGACTGTTGGTGACCCGAAAAAGACTAAACTAAGATATATATTGTCTATACTAATGAATACCAATATTATAAAGCTAGTTATAAAACATCAGGCTACAACCAATATGAACAGAGAAACAGGGAAAAATGGGGAAAAAGGGGGGGGGGGGGGAAGTTATTAATCTTTGAGGGTTTCTGTTGCGGGCGTTGCGAAAACGGTTCAAGATACCAAAATACCACCACAAAAAATGTGTACAAAAAATTATTCTTCTATCCGCGGCAGAATATACTATCTTTTAAGATTAAATAACAAGAACCGTTTATGGTAATCAAGTTTCGTCGAAGTACTTACTAATCAAAAAAAGTATATTGTTGCATAAAAATAAAACGCTAATAATAAACAAATAGCCAAAAATCAGTACTGATCATACCTCTAACTCTTGCTGTATTTGAGTGAAGAGTTGCCTAGGAGTAAGGGTCTGCCAGTGCTGTGCTGGTGATGATGGAGACGGAGACGTATTGGCTCGGTGGCGGTTGCGCGCGCGGCGCCGTGTTCGCGTCGAGCGGGCACTCGCGGGCGCGGGCACGGGGTTCTCCGGTGGGGAGGGGGTGGGGTTGTCACACGCGCCAAGCAAACAGTTCAAAAAGTGCGCCGCAGCTGCACCGGTGTACATCGCTTCACAACTCTGTTATACATATTTAAGTAAAGATTATAATGTATTGTCTTGTCATTTGTCAAGTGCTTGATAAAAATTTCGATTAATTATATAACTTATTGCAAGAAGTTTTTGGCAAAAAAACATTTTTACTGTCAAGCCATCATAGAATGGTTTATATTTTCGAAGACACATATTGAAAAATATCTATTTTTTTTACTTTTTATTTAAAAAACGGTAATATATGTAGATTGTAACATAACGTTTATATTGCGTTCAGATCCAGAGGTCCTGGGTTCGAATCTTGAGGAAACAATAGATTGCCTTAATCAAACAGGGCCAGAAATCAGATCAAAACTATTCATCTTAATAATCCGATCTGAAACGGAGACAGAAGTGTGCTCGCTCCATGCACCACAGTGGGAAACGGGATTTCATTTAATTGAAAAAAAAGCAGTAAATAATACTGTTTTTTACCTGCAGATGGGTAGTGTAAAGATGTTTGGCTGCCCGGAGGATGATCTCGCCGAGGGCAATCGCGTGGAGGTATGCGAGGGAGGGGTGTTGACGCAAAGCGACTATCACACAACCCAAGTATCGGATGTTGATACCTCGCGCGTGTAACGCCTCCGTCAAAGCCGCACCGTCCATTGGTGCTGATGTGTGTTCCAAGCATTCACGGGCCTAGGAGATATATTTTTGGTATAGATATTACTAAGTATGATTTATACCAGGTCAAACATGTTTTTAGTTTTCAACTCAATAATTCTGCAACACGTGGACTTTGTCTGAAAATTCTGAATTGAAACAGGTGTATCGAAATTTCAAACTGGTAATTTTTTTCATTCCATCCATCCATATTTTTTTCACATCTACCTTCTAAGCCCAAATCGACATGTATAATGTGTAGAGTACAAAATATTATACTATTAATCATAGTAACTAAATAACAAGTAAGTAACAATAATAACATACAAATGCAGGAATTTGTGAGGTGAGCAAGAACGCAGCGGCTTCTTTGACAAGATGGCGCTGCTTGGCGAGTTGTTCCGGTGTAGCGGCGTGTTTGATTCCCGCCGAATAAACGTCCGGGTTAAAACGCACGTCAAACTCCGATTCCTTGAGAGAGGCAACGGCCCGAGCAGCAGCTGCAACCACTTCGCGTGATCTCTCACCAGCTTGAAAAAAAAACAATTATTATTTATATAGCAATGTTATGTCCGCCATAATTCAGTATCATTTAGGTCAACGATATTGTTTGTCTCGAGTGGATAATTATTTTCACGTTAGATTATAAGCCGCATGTTAGCAATTAATGTTAATAATTAATTAAGTAGTTAATAATTAACAATTAATCTATTTATTTATTATTTAGTTTAAAAAAAAGAGGTATTCAAAAGGAAAATATGACATGGGCGGGACGTCACGCGCGTCCACAGCGTTCCATGCCGCTTCTCTAACCAATTGAAATAGCGTAACAAATTTATTATTGTAGAAACACTCACAATCGTTCTCCTGTTTCTCTCCACTGCAAAACGAATCCGTGATACTCTCGACTATCTTCTTCGCAACATCCGTGTCTATCTCCGACAAATTCTCATTGAGCAGTATCCCTTCATTGTCCGTCTGTTTCTTTGTCTCTTCACTCTTCTCAACTGTTTCCTCCTTCTTGTCTTCCTTTTGCTTTTTATCTTTTACCTCTTTCTCTTGACTCTTTTCTCTTTTTTGTTCAGTCTCATTGGCAGCCTCATTCTTTTCAGTTTCCTTATTTGCTTCGATTGCTTTTTGTTCAGTGGCTTTGCGCTTCGCACTTAACTGCTGTAAGTGGAAGGCCGCGTAACGAATGAATATAAAGTAACGATTCCTGAAATCAAACGAAAATATTTATTTCAATGTTCATAAAGTTTTTACGTAATAAAAATGTTGAGTAGCTTATTTTGAAAATGATTTTTAAGCAAAAAATTAAATTAAAGGATAGCTTAGCAAACTTAAATTTGGAATATGTTTAAAAAAATTATGTCTACCACATTTTCAAAATTTGTATAGGCATGTTTTTCATACTTACTCAACAAAACTATCAACTAATTCCTGTCTAAGGCAACACAATTTGTGCTTGTGTATTAATGGGAAGCCCATACTTTTTATATCCTCTCGTAACTCGTCGCCTTCCACTGCCAACATGAAAATATTCACATATAGCATTGACAGTATAACAAATAAAAAATAAAATTTTAATACTAAAATAACAATAACAAACGTGTTTCAATGCGATCTACATAACTCATTTTAATAATTTAATAAGACGTTTTGGATACTTTTCAGCAGCCTAACTAAACATGGTGAAAGTCTCTATGTCAAGTCTAGCTACAATAGCGCCACCTAGTTATCAAAAGTGTTTTATTGGCGTATACGTACACTGCAAGAAGTTGACATCTGGCGGGAAGGTTCTCAACAAGTCGAGAATGTAGTGTCGGCCGTCGTTCCCGATGATTCCCTTACATTCTACGCTTGAGCATAATTCGACGGTCTCCCCGTTCGCGCTTATTACAGAGTGCGGCATTATCTTCAGCTGTTGGCCAGCCTTACTTAGCTACAAAAATGATTTTCTATTACCACCAAATCACATTGTCTATAAAAATTTTGATTTTGTGAAAAATAAATAAAATACGTGCAAAAAACATAAAAAATACATGCTGAAATCATTCTATGTTTAGACTATAAAATTAGCGGATACATATTTACTTTCCTGCTAAGAAAAAGTGAATAATTTTGAGAAATAAGTACACGTGTGTATAGCCCTGATTACAATTCCAAAAAATAATAAACATTTATATGTAATTACAACGAGGATAGATTAAAAATAAGATTTACTTAAACTGTTTATCTAAAAACAATCAAGTTTTCTTTTAGCACTCACCAGCTCCATATACTTAGGATGCGAGAGGACCGTTGTGCCAAAATCAATGCTGCCATAGACAACGCTCTGTTCTTGCTCTTTCTCCAGGATACCGGGGATGATGGACTGTGCTGTCACACGGTAGCCGCGATAGTCCACCACCACCGTTCCCAAGGTGTGAAGGCCCGGTGTATCCACCGCGCTATACACTCGCACTCCTTGTAGATCGTTACGCTAAAATACCATTTTTTTTATTATATACAGATTCAATTACCGCCTTTCATAATGTTATCGCCTCTGCACCTAAATAGTTAAACGTTTTGCATAGCATTGCACTAGACGTCCTGGGTTCGTCACGGGGAAACAATAAATTGTTTCAGTAGGGCGGGTCACAGAAGACTGATCAAGAGCTTGTCTGTGAATAAAAAAGAAACGATCAGTGAAACGGACACAGAAATGTATTCGCCTCTACGAGGCGATATGGGATCAGACTGTGCCCTGTCCAACAAAAACAACTTTTGTTTAACCGGGTGTCGAACCCAGAACATCTCGCGCTTAAAGAAATGGTAACACGTTTGCTAATGAGCTGGTCAAGACATACATATACGTAATACAAATACCAATATTTGTAGTTCTTAATCGGGTCCATATATCCTAAAAAGTGAAATCCCGTTTCCCCCTCGTGGGGCATGGGGCGAACAAATTTTGTTTCCATTTCACTGATCCGTTCTTTAACAGGCAAGTAGTTGATCCGACTTCTGTGCCCTGCCCGACCGAAACAATTTTTTGTTTCCCTGGGACTCGAACCCAGGACTTCTCGCGTTTCACACAATCCTAGGCATTACGTTTCACCATTTGGCTACAGAGGTGGTGAGGTTCAAAATTCTTCGTAAATACTAACCGGTGCAACAAATGCCGCAGCATCACCACCCAAGTCCTTGTAGTGGTCTCTGACATCGAAACCCAAGGAGAAGAATATGTTGTTCCAGATGAACATCTGCATTTTAGGTTCTTCCCCTGGGTTAATGGCCATAACATTACCGTCTACGACAGCCATCGCACCACGAGTTGCTGCAGCCACGAAATCACTGTGCACCTGTGCACAAATTTATCAATGTTAGACAGAAAAAGAAACAGTATATTTTTCACTACTGCTCACAAAAATGTTTGATATTTATCACACGTTATTACATATGCTCTGGATGGCTCTGTGTAAAATAAAAATAGATGTTAGGTGTAATTTTTTTTACCGACACAGGCAGGTCTTGATCCGGTCTGTCTAAGTAATTGAGCTACCGTGGCACTAATTTAATAATACCATCAGACACAGTCCTAAATTTAATTTTAGCACTCTAAGAAGGTAACATTTTTAATTTCGGTGTCTTTTTTCTTAAATACATTTGAAATACGACGTTATAAGCTCTCTACGTACTGCACAATTTATCATAATACTCGTCTCAGACATAAAAAAAATACACGATTGTTATAAATATTAATTCAAAACAAGTTACGAGTAAACAAACCATTATTATTGTTCTTCGAAGCGATGCTTTACGTAAAGAATATTTAATGAAACATCTTACAAATGAATTCTACTTCCTTTAAAAAGTCGCAAAAGCTTTCATTAACGACAGTAACACGTTTTAAATGTTTTTGAGGGTAGTTCGTTACAAGGTTGCTTCTAGCTAACCTTAAAAATGGCTCTCTCACGCAGAAGTCTCTCGGGCAAAGTCGCTCGCGGCAGCTCTCGTGTCGTTTGCAACTCTTCATTCCAGTCGCGAGTCTGACCTGGGATGTGTTCTTCGTAGCCCAGTTTAGAAGAGAACGCTACACACAGACAACACAACTTTATCTTGTCGTTACAGTTTTTAAATCACGCCATCTTTTGGGAAGTCTTGGAAACCAATTTAGTTAGTTCAAAGTCACAAAGTGTAATGTTAATTAAGATACTGGTTACAAGGTTACTTTCTAAATCAACATAGATCTTTTATCTAGATATTTTAGTTAAAGAAGAGATTGTTTATTTCAAGATATGTTAAATTCAAGCCAGATTATTACTAATGAAAAAGTGCACGTCAGCATGAACACGCATAATTTGCTTTAAATTAGTTGCTTTTGAGAGTAACCATGACAGCCAAAATTATTAAATCTTATGCAATTTTACGTCTTAATAGACATTAGCATTACATAAATTAAAATAACTCGACTAAGAAAGAAAAAAAAAACATTCAAGAGTACGAGTACGATATTGAAAAAATATTAAAATAAATCTCTTATTATTATATAATTATAATGTTTATATAGACCATACAAATTATTTCCACGAAGCACTGTTATTGTCCACTGCGCATGCGCTGAACCTAATCCATTAGTAGGTTAATTGTGTCAGTCGCCTTAATTTAAATAATGACAGGAAGAATACTTTTATTACTTTAATTAGAAAGATAATTGTAAGGCATTACGAAACTGCATTGCGTTTAACGGTTGTTGTTGAAAACTATAAAATTTACATTTAAAAGAACGTGAGTTATCAATTGTAAAGTATTGACGAGATCATTTACGTAGATCAATGACACCTAGATCATATCTTACTCTTCTATTCCTAATTTATTTTTTTAAACTTTATAAATACTACCGAGTTAATATGACACAGTTCTTATGAAAATGAAACTAAGATTTTTGTGATGTATGGCAGGACATAACTGATTTATAAAATAACTAGCTGTGCCCGCGACATCGTCGGCGTGGAATAGTGACTTTGGGTAGAATTATTGATTTTTTAGGCTGTTTATTAATTTATTAAAGGGCGCATTTTAGGCAGCCAATCTAGGTTGCAAGTACTACTTTGACGCAACACTCCTACTCTAACTCCCACTCCTATTCCCAAAAAGCCAAATGGACAGAGTTACTTTTGTATTTGTAATAATAACTATAGATTTTATAAAATCTTTAAAAACATTGATTTCATATCATTTATATATCGCATTTATTGCATTATTTTAAGTATATATTTTATTATATGATAGCGTTACTAGCCCTGTAGGTTTTTTGTAGCTGTAAGGCGTTGTTGAGAAATAATTATAGCCAGAACACCACATGCACACCTTTACCATATTTATATCATGAAACCACTTACTATCTTCAGCTCTGATAGCGTCAACAGTGTGTTCCAGCATAGGCGAAGCCCACTGGTAGACTTGGTAGGGCGTAGCCACCCTCTCGAATGGGTGCTTCTGCATACGTTTCTTTTGCACTAGCGCGAAATTGCGCTTGAAAGCTGGAGACACGATACTTAGGAGCTCGATGAGCGAGTGGCATAACAGCGACGGTGTCGATGGACGGGGGTTGAACACTTCTTCGGTGGACCTATAACGGATATTAATAAAGTAAAAATCGATGTTAAATTGAAAAACTTACGACACCGGCATCCACAGCGTTCCGTTCTATCGCTTTAACCAATTGAGCTACGGTGCTATACACGACAGTCGATTTTTTTCAACGTAACTTGCACCATTCTCGATGTTTTAATAATAATAAAATCTACAATCAGAACGACTATCTCATGTCTTACGTGTAGAATTTGAGCAAATTCTAAATGGTTTTCCTTATGTATGCCACACTTATGCATTCAGAATAACTTAAGCGTCGTTAACAAAGAATTTTTAAATATTACCAACAATATCACCTGTAAAAATATTTAGATTCCTATTGGTTTATTCAAAGCCAGATAGATAGGCCATTGTGGTGGAATAAGGTTATATATTTACTGATTGAGGTAGAATCCGCGAGGGCAGGCCGTTATGTGGAACTGGCGTTCTTCTAGAGTTATAACGTGGAGGTAGAGGAGGTCACCGCACATCTTGCGAGGTCCCGGCGGTGGGTTCCAGCCTGATGTGGTTAGCACCTGATAAATAATAATAATATTTATATAATATATTAAAAATCTGACGTGGTCTTACGTGACGTGTTTATAGTTTACGAGAGTAGTACACATTAAAAAAAAACACTTTATCCAATAACACGATATATATTAGTTAAACTTATTTGAAAATTATATTTAAAGTGCTTTATTTAAAAGAGGTCTTACAATAACGAAATTATAGAAATTTGAAGTTTTAGGTTCTATACTAAAATGTATCCAAAATTTCAAGAGCTAACCTTAAGACACTGTGGAGCTTTATTTTCCTTATTCAAACCTGGATGCAGCGGAAGCAGTGGTCTCTCTGTGCTGCCAGGCATTATATAATCTGGGGGTGTACAATCCACACTCTCGGGGCGAGATTTTTTCTTCTCTGAAAGTTGGTAAATGGATATTGTCTAATCCATACTTACAGCATTAAGTTCGTTATTAACTAGATTATGTGTGTATGTATCTTTTACCTACTTAATACCTATTTACACTGATATATTTATGTAGTTATTATCTCAGTTAAATTCTATTCAATAATAATAAATACTTTAAACAGTGCTTTACACCCAATTTAGTCATCAAGTTGGCCATTAGATAACTAATTAAATTCAGGAGTCTCTCTGCTTTTACCATTTCAAAAGTGTGACAGAAATGTTTATGTATCCATCTATTTATGTGGTTAAAGATGTACAAAACGACAAACTATTATAGACTCACCCAAAATATCACCCTGCGTAACAACATTGAGGAATGCCAACGAGCTACACTCTTGACCGGCATACGCGTCCACGTAATCAATCGATTTGAGAAGATCCCGTACGTGACGAACATGAATTCGAGCCTCGCGCATTGTATACGGTTCTTCGACGACCTGTAAAATTTCTCACTTTAGATTGTTCGGACACTAAAGAGTGTGTATGACTTGAATCTTGATAATGGATGTCCAAAACACGCCTACATCAGTATTTTTTAATTTTTGCGTTTGATTATAATATTTTAAATTTTCTATCGTATATACATAGATATTTATTCTTATCACATACAACATATAGGTATATAGAACTGTTCGAATGAAGAGAACATATATTGAATTACAATTATCCTGTCTCTAAAGTAATTTTATCTTGGCTCGTGCAGACCAAAATTACCTTCATATTATTCCATTACCTTAATAACAGAACCATCCTTCAGGCCTTCAATGTTTTTCAGTTCAGCGAAATTGTCTAACGTGACACCATCCAATTGAAGCGAAAAACATGTTCGATGACATGTGTCCTCCCGGTCCATTAAGACTTGATGAATTTCCTGTACTAGTTCCATACTAGATACCTGAAATTAGAAGGTATTCATACTTATAATCCCATGATTAAGCACAAATGATACACAGTGATAATAATATAAAGATAGATATTAACCTGAATGTCAAGTGGCTCAGCACCAGGACTCATAATTTTGACAGTGAATCCCAAGTCTTGAATGAATACAACTTCGGCATCCCTTTTCTTATCATCACCGTCTTCGCTTGGTGAAGATTCTCTATCCTTATCACCGTTTACTATTTTATTGGTATCATCGTTACTTTTATCCGTTTTACTATCAGTTTTTTCATCTTTACAGTCTTCCTTCTTATCAAGATTTTCTCTCTTTTCCGTGGGCTTATTCTTCTCGGATTTATTAGGTTTCTCAATTGAGGCGGTCTTCTTCGTTTGAACTTTGTTGTTTATACTTATTTCTGCATTTTTTACTGCTACATCAGCTGTTGAGACTTTAATTTCCTCTGCATTATTAGGTTTTGTATCATCTAAGTCGCTGTTAATACCGTTAGAAACTAGTTTAGTGTTATTACTACTACTAATATCACATTGTGGATTTTTTTGTGGACCACCGTTAACAACGTGGGTGCTCTTTGTTTCAGTGCCGTTTGTAATTGGTTCTTTGGTACCTAATTTATCCTTTTTACAAATATTCTTATCATTTGATATTGGTTTCTCTCCATTCAATTTTGTCGCCGTATCTGCTGTCGTATTTTCTTGTGAAGGTTTTTCATTTTTGCTTTTCGGCTTTTGACTTTCTGTAATGGAAGCAAAATATAATTAGGATCTGTGGTATATTGGGTACAGATTTTTGTTTATATCCACTTTGAAATTGTATCTATTATAGCTGTCAAAAGATATGACTTTATCTAACCATTATTTAAAATATTTAGTTTATAAAGAGGTATTTATAAATTAAAACAAAATAGTTCTATATTACCTTCACAGGTCGGGAATTCGGATTGCGAAGGCACATTGTTGATAGTGGGCGACAAAGCTTTCTTTGCGGCGGCAGCATAGGAAACCCTCGGTGTCGCTACTCCACCGCCACCCTCATCATCAGCACGTCCATTTGGTGTATTAGCGTGGCCATTGCTGCATATAACTGCCTTCACAGCGCTATCCTTATTCATCTTAGCCGATTGCTTTTCAGATTTTTCTACATACAATAAATTTGAGCATGAATAGTCATTACGATTAAATCTTTTATTTATTTTAGGATGTCTAATAAATCTAACATATTGCGCCTACATTTATTTATACGTTCTATATATAAGCAAGTGATTTGCATATAACATGCATATACTTAATATTGTACGCTACTACTGATTAAAATCACGATATAAAATGCAACATAGTAAATCAGAATACTGGTAAAGTCCATGTACACTATCAATGTAATCATCCAAGTACAAAGATCGCCCGTACTTAGTTCGTACTGGGTACCTACAAACCTAACGCATATTAATATTAATGCTTGCGGTACATAATCGCATGGGTAATGCGGACAGCGAAGTGGCTTAGGGGCATCGAGAATCCAACGAACATATGTCGTCCCGTGACTATTGAACACGTGGTCTGCGCTGGCGCATCGCCAACTAACTCCAGCGGAGAGTCAATAATAGATGGCAACGGGATGCCGCCAACAATAGACGCCACAGAAGCCGTTTTCAACGCGTGTTTGTTTGAACTCAATACTAAGATGTTTCCTTTTACAAGTAGGTATTATTCCGTTTTCGAGACGAAGAGTTCTCGAAAGTACTATCATAAGTATGTTGAGTTTAGAATGAGATCTTAGGATAGAGGGGGTTCTTCTAAAAATACAATCGCTATCCTATTAAACTTACAAGCATACAGCTAGGATATATGACCTATTCGTATCAATAATAGTGTGTGTTTGATATCATGAAATAAATCAGAATTATTATTCAAGTAATAACGCACTGTTTAAAGTACAATTTTTAAAGACTGCGTGACACAATATGATAAAGCACCAGCAGTATGAGCCTAAGCAAAGATACGAACTGAAATGTTGATTTTATCTGTGTTGGCTTTAACAAACAAGATAAGAACCCGCGACGCCTGCGCCTCAAGATACCTATTAAATCAAAATTCCCGATAAACAGCCGTTGACACGATTTTTTCTAGCGTGTGAACACTATCGTTTAACGCCTGCGACGCGTATGTAATTCATTTTCTATTCCCTACGTTCACTGCAAAGTGCAACAAGATACGGGCGTCCTTCAATAATTATTACTATGGTAATTAATATGCGTGCGTGCGGGTCGTTAAAAATATATTATATAAAATATAATAGCAATTGTATTTCCGAGTTGAGATGGGAATTCTAGACAATACACTATCCCAACAACTGGATGTTCTAAACTTTGACGTCAAAGCGTATAATACGAGCTATTGATTTAAAATTTAGATAAACAGCAATTGTTGACGGCCCGCCGGCTGAACAGCGAGACCGATCAATGAATTATGCAAAAGAAACGACCATTGTTACGCGGCGGTGATCACGGTAAAGTTAACCTCTACTTCTACTGAATAAGCGCTCCCTTGACCTTTCCCCCAGAATCTTCGGAGAATTGCACTATGCACATTTTTATATTTGGTCATTACAAAAACTTCTATTCAATTTCGATCGCGACGAATTTTGACATATGTCTCAGAAGGCGACGAACGGTGTTGTGTCAGCCGATGTTACATCACAAATTGTGAAATTAAAAACATCCGTGACGCAAAACTTTGACAAGAAGTTTGTACATTTATAATAAACAACTCTATCACAAACGATACTTTTAAAAGCATTTATTTATTTGCTGTATAATTGTGTTTCCGATAATAAAATCTAAATATTTTTTAGATAATTAGAATTAAACACTAGAAAATAGTAACCTCAAAATTCTTTTCATAATAAGGCTTATTTATAAGGCTAAAGCGTGACAGCGCTTAAAAAACTTATGCAATATTTTTTTGACTACATAACTGTTTATAAACGTGTTTATGCATTTAAATATCCGAAACTTATCAATACAGTACAAAAAAAACAAAAAGGAAGCCATTTAAAATTAGATTACAGAGCTAATCTTTCAGACCAGACAAATTAAATTTTATTCGAATTTCATGCTAATTTGAATAGAGAAATTTTTCGAAATCGCGCGGCAGTTAAACAGTTCCGTATTTCACACTGCACCTCCTTCGACGAGTCTCCGTTATCTCTAAACTCTAATAATAATAACTATGAGCTATCTATCACCAAGTCCTGCTGTCTAATCTTTTTGTCACGATGTTGCTTCGCGTGGGTCTGCCGTTTATTCGTCAAAACCGTGCATGTATAGTTAGAGAGTCATACTCTGTGCCCATTTAGAATTCTTAGAAACTTATTCCCTTTTAAAACGTTGTCGCTTGAACTCTAGTTTTTGTTAAGCAAGCAGGGTACGCAATGAACAAAAGTATTTAATATTACCTATATTTTGTATCTATCAACAGCTACTATTTATCTTAACGCCAACAATACCTTATCTAAATTTAATTTGATTTAGATTATAAATAAGTCATTTTTAATCACATAACACGCGTTTTCTTTTTTTGATCTACCAAAACTGTGCTACGATATTTGGCACTTCTTGGCAACTTCGCACTGCCCCAATTAAGTACTAAAGTTTTTTTCCCTGAATTAAAATAACTATGTAGTATTGTTTCTACATTCTAAATAGAAATTCAATAAAAAATCTTGAAATCTACTGCGTTATATTAAAGGTCATTGCTGCAATAAAGCATGGCAACAAGAACTAAATCATGTTACGTAACGCAACTATTCCGTGTCGGTTGGCCATGCGCCGGCGCGGGCTGGCTTCACTTGTAAATATACGTAATCTCATTTAAAACATACAATAAGCATCCCGTTGCTGGGTTAAGGGATAAGTACTGTCTGCTACTTTATCATGATAGAGGCAGACCCCAGCCATATCATAGCCTTAAATATTGGGATTCTTCACGAATTTTTCATCTGTGGTTTGCAACCGGATGGAGTGTCGATATGTCTAAGATTTAATATCTAGATTTACAGACGAAGTCGTACGTACATGTTAAGATTTTTTGTTAATTGATTAGAAAAATGTTGGACCAGGTAGTCTGTCGATTAGACATACATAGATTACACCGACTAGCCCGTCAGAACTACTAGGTACTTAAGATTTCGTACTCAAAGGGACGGTATTAAAACGGACCCCATTACAAACACACACCGTTGTCAATCTGTCATCAAGCTGTATGCCATGAACCATGACAAATGGACATTTAACATTTCTACACATGACGTATGTGTTGCCGTTATAACAAAAAAATGTTTCAAATATTTCAAGGCCCTAAAACAACTAACAGTTTTTGCGTATTTATAAATAGTACACTTCTTTTTTTTCCATACTGCTAGAAAGTTTCGTGACCCAACAAAAAAAAACCTATGCTGGGGCTTTCGCGGTAACATCAATCAATCACGTTTTGACATAGGATTCTAAACGAGAGGTTTGAAACGAAAAATACACCCATAGCAACGGGTGGTGTTTCTTTTTTGAGATATTTATCACAATTATGAATCAACCTACAAAATTTAACACTTCAACATTATTCTGGGCACGAAAATAATTTTTAGTATCAAACAATATTCAAAGAATCCATTTTACTTTTTGCCAGACCTGTTAGAGAAAAAAAATCAAGAAAAGATGGCCTAAATAAATCTAAGCTATCGGTTATTCGAAACCAATGAACTCTTTTTAGGTCAGTTTCAAAACTAAAGTTGAACCGCACTTTTCTCAAATTAGTACCTATGACATATTCCGTAATATGTAAACTTTGAAACGCATAATATGTGGACGTCGACATTTATTGTGATGTTTGTCGTGGAACAATATTTGACGGTTTTATTAGGATCCAACTACTATATTTTAGACTGCCTAATGCCTGTGGAGTGTGGCTCCACTTGCAGGCTAAAAGCGAGTTAGACTTCTTCATAAAGGGTTCGTAACTTATTTGTTTCTTAAGCTTGTCTGGTACCATTCATTTATATCAAGAAAAAATGGGCACAAAATTGGAATTTAACCCAGGACACCCCATGACTATGCACTTTAATTAAGAAAAATTAAATAATTCATTTGTGGAGATGTAAATATTCAATCTTTGTACATCTGGTTTTGGATATTACGAATTTAGTCTAATCTTCGGTAGCGCGAACATCATTTGTGAGCGGTGATTCGTGACCCGGACGAAATTTTTACATTCCTACCTCCTATTTAATATTCAGATTAACAAACAAAGCAACATGTTTCAAAAAATGTATAAACTGACTAGAAACATATTAGTCCCGGTAGGGATTGCATTTTCGAGCCGTTGACTAACAAGCCCATCAAACTTACTCTACGTCGTGTATTATAGTGCCGCTAATTTTGCACATCTATACTAATATTAGCTGAAGAGTTGCTTCGAACGAGCTAATCAGCTCAAGAACTACTGGTTTGAATTGAAAAATTATTATTGGTCAGAATTTTTATTGAGGAATGCTTTAGGCTATAGACCATTACACTGCGACCAAAAGCAAAGAAACAATGGGAAATATGAAAAAAAAACGGGAAGACATATTAATCTTTGAGGGCTTCCGTTACGTGCGCTGCTGAAACGGTTCAAGAAACCACAAAATATGTTTGAAGAAATGATTTCTCTTTAAATTATTTAAAAATGTCCGCGACAGAATTTGTCCATCTTTTAAGATTAACTCGCAAGAACGAAGTGAACGACGTCGTATGTAACAGAAAGGTATAAGTAAGACTCGTGCAAATACCAACTTCACGAACTCAAACACGAGAGGGCATACTACAACACAACAGACACATTAATACAGTGATAAACTTCTTATATTACCACTCGACTTACACAGTTCGAGTTATGTATAAGTAAATACTATCTTTTGTGCTAACTCAGAGGGAACTGTTTTGTCATATAGCTATGTAAAAGATGAATATGATAAGCCTCACAACTTGAACTGTTATACAATGCGGCAGGGTCATGAGGTCATTTTGCAAACTGAGAAGCAAAAATGCCTATGCGCACCAAATCAAAGCAAAAATTTAATGATTCATATTAGTAACTAAATATCTACAACGTTAATACAATTTGAAAATCGAAAATTAATCGAAAACAATTTTCGACTCGGGCAGGACTTGAACCGGCATCGTCCTTATTACGCAAGTGTTAAGGTTGAAATTACATTGCGCGAGAGGTACATGTATCAATAAGTTGTAAAAATTCGACGATGAGGTGTAGGATTCGGTAGCTCAATTGGTAGAGGAACAGCACGGAACGCTGACGATGCCGGTTCAAGTCCTGCCCGAGTCGAAAAATTTTTTCAATTTATTTTCGATTTTTAAATCATATAGTGCTCTCATGTGTAATAATATTTAAATAAAATTTTCAAACGTTAATACAATTTAAGTTCAACACAAAAGATTCTAAAATTTACAGTATTCAAATTAAGAATGAACAAGAAGTGGCAAGAAACACGCCGATGTTTAATTCAAATATGTACTGTCTGTAGTTAACGCGAGTAGTACACATTTAAATAAAACACTACTGTTTAATTTATTTAGAATTTATATTAACTACGGTCGGACGTTTCGGATATCAGGCATTTTCTCCAAATACCAACTACGGAGAAACAGATGGCGCTAGCGTAGCAGATTTGTCTTTAAGACTAAGGACACCCTCTGTCCTAAGTCTCCCCGTAACCATGTCCGCTGCAAAGCATCCGTAACGTCGGACTGTAGACAAATAAATTGTACAGGAGTTAACTAATTTATTTCATGTTCTTAACCGTTAAAAAGAAGTTCTTGTATTTACCTGTTTAATTTGACAAAGTCCTTGTACCTAAACACACCTAATTAATTTTATGTAGTGACTTCGATACGTGAACAATATCAATTAAGTAATTTAAGCCTTTCTTAATTACCTAATTAAAATAAAAATAAAACTTTAGACATTAACAATTGTAATGGTTCACAATTTACAAAAGAAAACATTAAAAAAAACAAAAACACATCCAGTTAAGCTGCTGGGTCACTGAAGCTTATGCAGCTTAGGGGAAAAGTATTTCAATATACACGTTACAATTTAATGTACAATTAAGATTTTTATTTGTACTGCATACCACACACACTACACAATACTGTGTAATGTGTTCTACACTTGTATAGGTACTTAAAAGCTTTTAAGTGTCATTCAAACAAGTTAAACTAAGCCACCACCAAGAACCTTCAAATATGAAATGCAATTCCTAAAACTGTGAGCTGATATCACAGTTTGTTTTCTTATCACTCAAGAAAAACGCATAAATCTTATCATTTTAACCTCAAATTTATCAAAGCAGGAATGGAAGATTGATGGTAAATTAGTTTTAATATATACTTCTCGAGATTTAATTAGATATTATATTTTTTATGTTATAGTAAAATAGTCTTTTGATAATTGTGGTACAGTTAAAACAAATATTTTTGATATATTAATGGTATCTTGTCATTATTGTTAAAAACCTGATCTCTTAAATATGAAACAACACTCTTATTACAAAACAGGAACTAACACTCAGGCCTGGTATAAACCCTGGTTTGTTTGAAATCCTTATTACAAAACGAAGGTTAACATTTGTACTGGACTGACTATGGTACTAACTTAGATTCATTCAGACCATGGTTTAACAGTTAAACCAAGACTCCGCAGTTCTGGTTTAATTATTTTTTCGTAATACGCCCGTATTATGAGTTTAATTTTTAAACCTTACTGTACTTCCATAAATTCACCATATTAATTTACATTTATCAGCTAATCACTGATTTTAATCAGAGGAAAGTAATAAAAACGGAGCCACGTTCATTATGAGATTTAAAACCAGTCGCAAAAGTAATAGGTTACAATATTTCTCAAATACTTACTTTAGCTAGCTAAGCTTAGTTAAAATAATGGTGTATTCATATTTCAAAGATCTTAACCCATTCAAAAACTCCCCCAGGCTCAAAACATTTAAGTCGGAAATCTTTTATAAATATGATAATGCAGCAGTTTTAAAGGAATAGAAAATAAAAGGATACAATGTCTCTGATCTTTATGGTCGTAATGACTAAAGCGCCAGCGTATCTCGCGTAGCTGACGAAACTAGGGCGTCTCAGTTCATGTTTGGCTTACTAAAATATCTTGCTATCTTTAGGGGTAATTTTAAGATAGTGGGTCTTATACAATAACGCAAGGCGGATATATTAAACTACATACCTTATTTTAAAGAAGCATTAAAAAATTTTCTATTGTAATCTTTGAAATATATTAAAATGTCTAAGAATAATTTCTGATTCCCTGGGTTTTCTTTAAGAAATAAAATATTGAATTATATTAAAAATTTCCTACTTGTCAACAAATCTATAATACATCTATTATTTTAATTAATACAATTCAGTAGTAAGTAATATGGAAATCTAATAGTAAGTAGATGCTGAAGCCCGCAGTGTAATTAAATTTTACAATGTAATAATTTATCCTTATAAAACTACGTCTACAATAACACTTCAACGTTACAACTACATCCATCAAAATCCATAATTGTGTTATTTTCAGTGTAATGTACAAATAATGCATTAGAAAATTACGAAACACCTATAAATTAAATAACATAAGATGGCCTATTTAATAAACATAAAATGCTGATAACCCAGCCTCAAAGAGCAGAGCTGCAGAGCCCAGTGTTGTTATGGCTTTCAAGTGGGAAACATGTACTCAGGAAACATATAAATAATATTTATGTACTGTATTCAAATAAACTTTCCTATAAGAATCTGTTCAGTGTTCATGTCTATGTTGAAAATGACTAAGTTTTTTTAATCAATTCATAAAAAGCTCTAATCTTAGCTAAGTTTTTTTAAACTTCTGTTAATAAGAATTTTTATACATAGATTACACATTCACATAAGGAATATTTATTGCCCATAGATACATATCAATATTATAAAGATGAACTTAATGTTATTACATACTTATGTTACTGTAAACTTACTTGTTTAATTATTTTCATCTTAAAAATCTCCTTTGGCTTAAATTAAAGCAAATAGCTTTTTCTAATATTAAATTAGCTTAGTTTAATATATTATGTCATATATAATAAATGTGCAAAATACTTACAAATTCTTATAAAAACACAAACAAAACTGTAAGGTGGATTGTAGCAATAGTCTAATGATAATATATTTTTCATACTTATCCTTTTACTAAGAAAAACTGGCTGTGAATATTATTCAGAAACCTACAATTCTCCATGTTAAATAGTTAAATACAAAAATTATACTAATAAATTTAAAAAAAATTATTAATAATCAGTCTACTAGAAAGGTGATCATAAAAATTTAAAGTATGTAGCTACTAAAAATATATAATAACCTTAGCTAGCAAGATATAAGTAGGTAAAAGAATGTTTATGTAATTGCTAAACTATGAAATTAAAAAAAAGGAAATTTAAATATTTAAAAAATGATGTTAGATAAAACATTTTTATAAAGATATCATGATAAGAATTTCGTAATATCCTATCACAATATGTTACTTGCATGCATGGTTCTTGTATGACTTTGATAATTATAATTTTTCTTTTAATTATGCTTACAATTATTATAAAAAATACTAAGATGCAATAGTAATTAATTATTGTGTAATGTTAATATTAATACAATTATGAAGTTTTCTGTAAGCAGAAATGGAGAGAAAATCTGCTTAATTTTAAAATCACATGGTAAAATATTTTATTACAAAGAATTGTGACACAATATAATAACTCTATATTATTTTTATGATGAACAAATGGATCACATGTATAATTATGTCACATGACATGCAGTCATAATAATCGTACTAAACCTCGTGAAAATTTAAAATTAAAAATAAAACCATACTTATTCCTTTGCCCAATGTTACATAACTAGGGAAGAGTGAAAAGTAAAAACCTTTACCTTTATCAACATTCTCGCCACCACTTTTAATATTCACATTGTTATTAACTGGGCATTTTTTCACTTTATGAGATGTTTGTCTGGAAGCATTATCATCATTCACTTCACCACCTAGAGCCATAACAACACGAGGAAATAATCCAGCACCGACTGACCGCGACCAGCACGGTTTCACACTCAGCTCAAAGACTACAATATAATATAGGGTAACTCAGCTGAAAGAGCACATGCGGTACAGATAAAGTTCAATTTTCTTTAACAATTAGGCGATGCCTACCAAGTTCGTATGGCTCAACGTCAATTTGACAGCGAAGGCGGAAATTTGGCCTTAAATCACGTGGTTCGTGAGGTAATTTCCTGGTTTCTTTATGGGTGAGTTATATAAAACTACCAAATGTATATAGAATTAAATATACTTATGACAATTTGCTTTAGTAATTTTAACGGGGTCTACAAAGCATATTTTGTATTTTATTAGGATAAAGTTATAAAATTGCTAAACGCACACAAGCAATTATTCTCTAGCAGTACTAACAAATAATGCATTTTTAATCTGAGCCCTACTTCTGTCAACTATGTAGTTGTCAAGTGATTGTCATTATAAGGTGAAGGCCGAAAAGTACAAACAATTTTTAAGTAAATGCAATATTCAATAAAAATAAAGAAATTAAATGTATTCTTTAGAATATAAATTATCAGAAGGATCTTATTTGTATTGAACCTGCATAACCAGCTATAAAACTGGCGTCCGAAAACTATCCAAAGGTAATATTTCTGAACAAATCTTTTTACTCTCTTTAATGATTTTTATATGTTTAAATTGAGTTTTTGGTTTGTAGAAAATGCTTGATGGGTGGTACTGCCGCTCTATAGCAAATATGCAAGCCAATGAAGAAGCTAGTGTAAACAGCAGTGCAGTTGTTGACACTTCTCAAGGAGAATCTAATAAGGACTATTCTAGTGATAGCAGTAGTGAGGCTGAAGAAGAACTTAACTATCGAGCTCAATATTTAGGTCTCAAAAAGAAGTTGAAGTACTTGATATATGTAAGATTAAAATTCCTTATTCAGTAATGATATGGATTACAATATGTCAATAGACATATAATTTATCAATAACTAATTTGCAGGAAAATGAGTGCTTCCAAGATGCTTTAAGATCTAGTCAAAAGAGACTGCTAAAGGTGTCAAGAGATAGATCATTCCTTTTAGACAGATTACTGCAACATGAAAAACCAGACAGTAGCACCTCCGAAAGTGAAGACACAGAATCTTCTGATGACACAAGTGCAAACAATGATACAGTAAAGAGGTAAATTAATCATAGTAGTATAATATTTGTTACTTGGTTTTTTGAGCTACTGATATTTGAAGAACATTTAACATTGGGCTGATTACGTCATCATCAGATGTCGAGTGTTTTAAGACCTGCAGCTAGAAAACCCAAGTAGCCCTACAATTATGCTGCAAACCCTTATGCAATTTACTAACATAATTCATTTATGTTCACTTATACTATTACAGAAAGAAAATGGAGACAAATGTCAGTCAAGCGGCAGCAACAACCCCATCAACAAATAAAAATGTCAATAGTAATATCAAAAGGAAAAGAGCTGTTCCAAAAAAAACACCAAATATCAATAACCCTGTAAGACAAAAATAATATGCCTATGAAACGTTTCACAACTGACTTTAGCCGATAATTAATGAAGTTACTCATGAGAGCTAGTCCTTGAGGTTTATGTCCGATTAGTGAATTATATTAATTAGTAATAGCATTAATAAGTGTTTATGTATTCAAAGAATACCAATTTTGTTATACCATAGTTTTAACTAGCAAGTAAAAGCATAATGCTTTATGTTAATATTGCATTAAACGAGTCAAAACGATTGTAAACTATTTATTAAAGATTTTATTATTTTTGCCATTTATGAGATATATTTAAACCCTTTTTTTTTTTTCAATATGGTAATATGGTTAATGTTTTCTTGCACGCTTTTCTTGTGTAATTCTTTATTATCACATTTATGTTTCGTAGAGTTGAATAAGACAACAATTTTGATATAACATTATTATGCACTTGGTTATAGAAAAATCTCCACTTTAACATAATTAAAAAATTGAATTCTTTTATCTATTCAGTCCAGTATTTTTAAACAACATTCATTTAACAATTAGTGTTTGTTTCCATTAACTTCTTTTTATTTTGAATCTATTTGTCAATAACAACTTGTTTCAGCATCAAAGCACTATAAATATGATGGCTAAGACTTCATCATCTCTTGGACTTGGAATAAATGCAAGTGATGGCCATATGACGCCTGAGGAAGTTGAACGTCACCTTCAGTCAAGACAGTCATATATGAAGTTATTACCTGAAAGAGCTCCACCCACAGTTCCGACAGAGATGTTTAGCAATGATCCTTCTCTTGATAGGTGGGTAACGGCTGCTTTGTGGTATTTGTTAACATTTTAGCATTATAAAAGCCTTAAAATAATGAAATTATTTTTTTCTAGTGAATCAAATGATGTGTTGGAAACCTCACCAATAGTTGAAGAATGGTTTGATTAACAGTACATGTATAGTTTGATGAAAGCTCATCAAACTTGTTCTTTAATATTAAGAAATAAATTTAAGATACATATCCAGACATCTTTAACAACTATTTCTCACAATGAAAGATGACAATATACAGAATTCTTGCAAAAATACCACAGTGATATATTGTTTCCTTGATAAGAAATAAAAGATGATTTTATGTATTTGATTAAATATTTTATTTAAACAATGTTAAGAGTTATAATATGATTCCAAGCACAAGGAGAATAACTATTCTTTCGTTTGAATCTAGCTCAAAATTCATTCTAAATGTATAATACATAAATCACAAATCTCGTCTATATATTTGTCTGAAAAACCCTCAATATAGTGCTCAATATGTTATCTACAGTAATAAATACGTCATGAAGGAATAAACGCATTTAAACATCAATTTTCTATCTTAACAAATCTATCATGCAACTCATAGTTTAGCATAACTACATCATCAATACCTATTATATTGCAATAACAACATTTAATTTAATATGCCATAAAACTACTACTTTCATAAGCCATACTATGGTACTTTATAACTCTTAAATGAGATTCTACAAACTCAGAACCCATGTATTCATGATTAAACAGTATAGACGACACCTAGGTATATGGAATGATAATATGGATACTTCTACAATACAATATACGTTTAGATATATTTAACATAAATTTCATTTGTAATCTCTAAGTTAAGCATATACTTAGGAATACACAAATTTATTTTTTCATATCAAATTTGCAACACAACTGATTATATACTACAAATGATATTATGAAAGCTAACTTCCACTCGAGACCTTAACACACTTCCTTGAAAATGTATAATACAAATATATGGGTCACCAAATGTATTGAAATTTAAAATATAAAAATTTTAGTATAGGCTTTAGTTCTATGAGATGTTAGATTCACACAAATCTCTCGAAAAATGACCTAGCTCATCAGTAGAGCGACATTGAACAGCTAGAAAAAGTTTATCGAGTACTCCTAACTCTTAAAATTAGTTGCGAGCAAGAAGGGTTCGCCCAGATTGATACTAGTAAGCATGAATGACAAAAACAATAATATAAAAAAAGCTTTTGAGCGTTTTTATACATGCATTGGAAAGTAAATAACTTTAGAACTATGTTCAATTAAAAATAATGAAGATAACAGAAATATATAATATATGAAATTTTGAAAACATTTACTAAAATCCACATAATCTTGCAACCATATTCTGCTCCTGTATGTTACATATAAGTAGAAGCCGCCGATAAAAATGTCTAGAATTCACAGTCGTTTAGAAAAAACTCTTAGGCGACTTTCAAGTAGTTCATTCAGTAGATGCTTACAACTTTATACAATATTGAGTTGTAACTTTGCAGTCCAAGCCTGACTTACAAAATTGATAGATTACAAGCTTTTAATTATACATTTATTACATCATATATGGTGTGTAATTTTTATATATTATTTGATTTATATTATTAATTACAAAAATAAGAAACAATAATTTCATAAGTTATTCATTAAACAATATAAAGTGTAGTAACTTATATAAATTTACAAAGTATTGTTACCTACATCAAAATAAAATAACTTGTAATATATTATTTTGTCTTTTATGTACTTTATGAAACATTTTACTTGAAATGTAAAACTAAAAATGTACATATTATCTATTATTACATAACTAATAACATGCATGTTTATGTGTACAATTACGAAAAGTGTGAAACTTTCTGTGACATCATTCAAATAAAATAATTTTAGTACAGACAATATAATAAAAACAAGCTTTTAATCTCTCACGAATAATAATTAAGTGCCTGTTTAAGTATGACAACTTAGAATTGGTCAGCCAGTAGATCACAAACTTCTTGAGAAACGGTCTCTTTGCTTGATCGTACAGTAAGTCTAAACATTTGAGCTTGCTTGTTTGGTTCTAGTCTCATCAGGCAACCTACTTGCTGCAGTCTAGTGTGAACAATGCCAGCACACACAAAATTATCAGGATTAGGGTCAATGCCATCTAAGAGCTGCATGCCGAAACCGGCTAATTTTGTACGAGTTGCGGTTATATCAATAGATCCTTGTGCCTTAAAAATTTTTTGTGCTCTTTGTTGTTCCCCACCCAAGTTTTTCCATCTTGCGAAAAATGACTCTCCGTTCATCTCTGTGGGCTCGAAAAATTTGTTTAAAGTTAAAGGTAGTTTCATGGATATTTTTTGAGGGGCATTATTGTAAACAAATGAAACAGACATGTTTGGTGCATCTGCAAAGTCTTCAATGCATTCTGCAGTAAGCATTTGCTGTATTTGGGCACCGGCCTCTAACACAGGTTCCATGGGTTTCATTTGCACATTCAGCTTGTGCAAATCTGTCCAAATCAATTCTGGGTGAACATTATGTATAGGGAACTGCGTCTTATTCCCATAAAACAATCCAATTCTTCCCAAATTCTGTCTAAACTCACTTTTTACTCCAATTTGAATTAGATCATTTTCAAACAGAACACCATTATTCTTGAATAAGAACTTTTTAATGTTATTTTGTTGCACAGTTGTGGGACTAACTTTTGGGGCAGTATATAAGTCACCCAATACATCTAATAAGCCATTCCCTGTAGTATTTGATGTAGTACCGGGAGGCGTTGTTAATCCCAAGAGGTCTGTGCTAACACTACTTGTATTATTAGAGTTATTCATGATTGGTGCTGGAGTAGCTGAAGGTTGTGGGCTTTTCGACTCCCTGACATCATCAGGAATGCGACCAGGCTTTTTCTTTTTTAGTACCGCTAAAATAGATGATTCTCTCTCTGGGAAAGCTGGCATTTCTTCAAGAACTGTTGCTAAAACATCTGAACTAGCAACAATACTAAGTTGTAAATATTCTGAAGCTCTTTGCTGAAGTTCAACATCTGCTGAACGTAAATTGGAGTCAGCACGGAAAACTTCTTGGACTCTATTTTTTATCTCTGGAAACAGATTTACCAGTTTTATATATGTTGATAGGAGTAAAGCTCTAGTAGCTGCAGAGCATAAATGATACTTCGAATGCAGAAGCTCAAATTGAACTTGAGGTGAGGACCTGGTATCACCAGCAATTAGATTTCCGAATTCACCCAATATGTAACCGCCCACTTTGACCATATTCTCATGGCATGTAGGTGCTTGTAAAGCTTCAAAAACTGTTTTTGCTGCATAAGCTTGAACTTCTTCTCTATTTATAACAATCTGTATGACTCTGTACCATACTTCTTCAGACACATAGTCTCCTGCAATTCTTATAAGATTCAAAATAACATCAACATACCAAGTAAAATCTGTAGCATATTTTTCTGCCAAAATAGCAACTTTAAGAACCATCTCTTCCCTTATTGAATAGTCTGCTGTCTCTAAGTATGCCAACATTTCTTGTACAATCTCTTCAGCATTTGTTTTATCACACATAGCATATAACAAATCAACCGCTTGTTGACGAACAGATACATCTTTTTCCATTTTCATTGAAAGAATTACCACCTCTTGATGCTTTTTGACCGCTTCATGAGAGAATTCTGAAGTGGCTAGGTGACACATGGACTCTAGAGCCAAATAACGTAGATTGGTTTCTCGATTACTTAAGAACTGACCAAGTTGATTACAGGCACGCACTAATAAGTTTGGCTCACTATCATTATGAATAATTAGGCTTATAGCTTCAAATAGAACAGCATTTTTAGCATTAGAATGTTGTACTTTCTTAGATTTTGGAGGCTCTTGTGCTTTGTTAAATATTGTTTCTAAACATTCTGATAGTCTTCCTCTGACACCAGGTTCTTCAGATGGAGGTGTGTAATTTTGAAGAAGCCTTAGCAATTTCACTGAAAGCCATGGAGCTGGCACAAAGTAATATGTGTAATCTTGTAAATCGGTATAACTTGCAGTTACAATTCTGCTCAATCTTGCAACGGCCAGTGTAACACACCCTTTGTACTCATCAGGATTTTTCTTGACCAGGGCATCTATTAAAGATGTAGCTGCAGTCACCACACCCATATGTGGATCATTCAATAAATGTATAATTCTAGAAGTCCATTCACCCCCTGGTATAATTTCTGGTGATTTACGAAAAAGCCTAAGTAGGCATAGAGCAGCAGATTGCTTCACAACATCCATGGTGTCACCAGATACAAGTAATTTTGGTATTTCAGTACCAAAGGCTTCAGCCATTTCTTTACTGCCAATGTTAGCAATACATTGAAGGGCAAGATTTACATGAATAGGATTTCGAGACTGCAAGTCGTTTTTAATACTCTGAATAATAAGCTTAATGAGATCACTGTTGGTATTGACCAATACAGATATAAAGAGGTAGCCTATTTGTTTCTCGGAGTATTTATTGGAGGAGAGTAAATTAACTGCCTCCATATGACCAAAGTCGATGTCGTGACCAAGTAAAAATATAAACAGAAGTTTACATACATACTTCTTCTTTTGGTATCCATCCAGGGTCTTGTCTCCTTTGAACTTGCTTCTTATGTTGGCTAACTCTTTATTTATCCTTTTTATTTCAGCTTCTTTACTTTTACAGTTTCTTATATCTGATATAAAAACTGCGAGTCCTCGCATACCATCTCCCCTCACGGCAGGCATATTGCCAAGTGATTTATCGAACACCAGTTTTATGCCTTTCTGACTTCTCAGATCAAAAACTAGTAGCACTATTTTGGTTGTTGCTACAGCAAAAAGATAAAAACTTTAGAGGACTTATATTCACAAATATATATTATCGGAATCTACATAGAAAATTTCGATATTCCCGATTAACTCCGAGCTTTCTTCTACAACGCCTTCCTACATTATCTATGAAAATATAAATGTCAGATTCATTAAAGTACATTGTTTATGGATCAATAATTTAATGAGGACTAAAGCTCCCTATACCATAATACAAAATGAGTAATTAATGAATATTATATTAATGTATATCTTTTTTACAATTTTATTGCTCAACAACAATTTAATTCATACAATTTTAAAAGTTTTCTTAAACGAGTGTAACGTCATGAAGACAAAATCAAAATCAAATAGTAATTTATAATTTTATAAAGTAACTCTATATATAATTATATGTTATTTAATGATATTAGACAATAATACAAATTAATGCCTTTAGCTTATTCTTAGTTAAAGTTCTAAGAGAAAGAGATCTCTGTTTTTATTTATACAATTAATTTAAGACAATTTCGTAGTAAGATCTTGTATGTTTCCTTATCTGTAGTGTGGTATGATATATGTAAGATAAAGACACAACAGCATGGGTAATAGATAGTAGAGCTGCCAGTTTTTTTACGCACTTGCCACCCAGTGATGTGATTCCAAAGTTTAATAATTTTATTATTGTGCAGTGTGCTAACAAATTTTGGGTCTTTCAAATGTGTTTGGGTTAAATAATTGTATCAAATGTAACGTAATGGGTTTAATTCCAATATTATGTGTGCTCTCATTGTGAGACGGCTCTCCTAGGCAAGTGCATTTCGTCAAGTGAATAATGCATTCTATATTTTGGACAGGCAGAGTGTTATCACGTGCTTTAAGAAATGGCCTTTCAAATTTATCAAATTCAGCTGAAATAAGTCTTTCTAAGAAGAAACATCCTTACTTAGTGTCAGTGGTTTGTGGTTTTCCTAAAGACATTGCTAATGGAAGGTCTCATAAAGGACAATTTGGTGACGACGCTTGGTTCTCCACTAACTTTAACAATGCGGATGTTATTGGTAAGAATTTAATATTCTGAGAACATATTTTAAAAATAACACATAATGAATACATGAGATTTGCTACCATGTATATTACATAAACTTAATTCAGTAGTTTTCCCATGTACATATTATATTTTTTTAAGGTACTAAGAGTTCCATTTGTAACTATTAAAGCAGTTTTGTGAGAAGTTTAGGGCTTAACAAGAAATTATTTATATCACCAATGTATCTAAAATAGCAATGCATCCATAATTGTTTAATTTATGCAGTTAACTAAATATACACCCATTAAATTGTACACATTACTTTAAATTTGATTTAGTATAACACACTACTGAGAACTAAGTTGTTTTAACAAACTTTACTCTTCATCATGGTTTAGGAAATTTTATGTAAGTTTGTATACCACATACGTCCCATGATTATATTTACTTTACTGGCATATTATTTGATACATGTTCCAATAATTTTTAGATAGTAAACAAATTGTAATAAATTTTTGAAATATATTTTTTTAAAGGTTACATGTATTTAAAGTGAAAATATATTGAACAATATATTATATACATTGACATTTTGTTAAATACTGCCAATTCAATCAATTTAACCACATTGATAATATCATATATTTTTCTTTGCCGTGACATAATCCTAGTTTCATTGTCAATAATTTTTACAGGTGTTGCAGATGGTGTGGGTGGGTGGAGGGCTTATGGCATTGACCCTGGAGAGTTTTCCTCCTATCTCATGAAAACTTGTGAAAGGCTCGTACGAATGGGCCATTTCAAGTTGTCAGAGCCAGGAGACCTTCTAGCAAAATCATATTATGAGTTGCTGGAGCATAAGAAACCTATTTTAGGTAATTTAAACAAAATAACTGAAATCACTTAGGTCTCAAGTATATCTTTATCAGATAAGTTATTATTAATTAATTTGATTAAAATTTTTTGAAATCTTTGGAAGTTACAAAAATTGAGCCTACAAAAATGTTACTCAATATTTTTTTTTTTCGAATATTACATTAGATTATAAATTTTATCTATCTACAAAAAATGTCTTCACTATCTAACTATAAAAATTTAAATGACTATAAAAATTAAAAGCACAATATGATAGTATAAATTTGCTCCAATAACTTGGTTGATTATGTCAACCCCCTTATGTAAGGTGTTAACCACTCTAATTATTTTTGCCTCGAGAATTGATTATCACTTTTAAGCTTATATCTTATAACCTAGAACAAGAATTTGATTCCTGGTGCAAAATGCATGCAATTAAACAAAAGAATAATAATTAAAAAGTCTTTTTAAAATTGCCTTCATTGGCAAGTTAATAAAAAATAAATATACAATTGGAATTTCATTTAAATCCTATTATTGTGGTTTACAGGTAGTAGCACAGCTTGCGTAATGATTCTAGACCGCAATGAGAGCATCATGAGAGCTGCCAATATTGGTGACAGTGGTTACATGGTGGTTCGAGGGAATCGAATAGTCCATAGGTCACATGAGCAGCAGCATTACTTTAACACTCCTTATCAGCTTAGTCTGCCACCACCAGGACACGACAGAAATGTGCTAAGTGATAGGTCAGTATGTTTCAAAACCAAAAACATGATAATAGTGTATCTTTGATTTATCAGCTATATTGGGTCTTTATTAAAATTTAATCTCTATGCCTACAGAAATAAAGGTGAATTTCAGTTAAAGAAAAATGTGGGAAAGAGTTTTTGACCAAAATTAATAGGAATTTTATTTGTTGAAATCTTTTACACAACCAGCCAAACCCTTTGAATAACTTGGCTATGAAAAAATACCTATTGCGTAGTTTTATATTTAAAATTGCTGAATTATCCTGTCAGCCTATTTAGTCAAATTTTGAACTGAACTTTGAAATAATAAGAAGGCATTTAGTTTTAAGTATAGATGTAATGAATATTAAGACTTATGTGTTTCTGAGGTATGATCTGTTGTTATGATGTAGTTGTAATAATATTATTTAGGCTCTAAGCAATTTTCAAATAATTAAAATAGATTTACAGATACTTAGATTGATAAATTTATTGACAGCCCATTATCTTTAACATACATAGGAAAAGCAAAAGGTTAGAAATAGTAGATAATGGTTTGAGTAAACATGAAGTCAAGGTTTTTGAATGAATACAATTTATGCATTGGCTGATCACGATCATGACAACGAGTATAGCAAATGTATTTATAGTTAGTGTATTTCACTAGCGTTTCTTCGCGGCTTCTCTCGCAGCAATTAAAATGTAATATTGTCTATTTTTGTAATATATAGAAATTATTATGTGTGTGTTAAACATGTGAAAAAGAATTTGAAATTATTTTGCCGTTTCAAGTTTTGGTTCACATGAACCAACTGATCTATCTTTTAACGGTTTGAAACGAGAAATATTTTATGTAATGTATTAATAACGAATTAATGTATTTCCTTACCGTGGTTACAGAGCTCAAAATATATTAACTGTTTAGAACGAACTTACCTGTGAGCTTTCCTTTAGTTAGGTAAAGTAAGACCCGTTTTCCCCTATTTGGTCCCATTAGAGACACATTCCATTATAAAATTCACGGTTCACATCAGAACCATTGATCAGCATTCTGTGTCCTATCTCAACGAAATCTTTCGTTTTCCCGAGACTCGAACTGAGGACCCCGCGCTAAACACTTTTTTTTATGTAATAGAACTTATCACGTGAAGTAACGCATCCATATTACTATTAGTCTAACAATTTATGCGTCAATGGGTTCGTATCTTCATAACTGCAGTTAATTCGCTTCCCGCAATTCGTTAGATCATCTTGCAGACAATTCAATTCCCATGTAAAATAATATGTTAATTATTACTTATATGCGACTCTTAGTACAAAACTATATCCATCTGTATATTAGCGCATCCTATCAATTATCAGGTTTCCTGGCATGTGTTTACTATTCTAATATAATTATAATAATCTTAAATAAAGAAAATTTACACGTAAATAAAATGCATGCAAAAATAAATAACTATTCCTATACCGTGTGTAAACGTGTGGAATAGAATAATAATAAATTGTAATTTTTATTTTTTTCGGGTTTTTAGTTATTTTATTTTTTAATCTCTCGTTTCCACAGAAGCCAAGTAACAATACATTCCAAAAACGAAAGACACATAAATACATTTGTCAAGTGCTTAAAAATAAAAATACCGGTTTTCGCACTTATAATAAAGCGTTCGTTGATAAAAAAATCGCTCTTTTTACGATCCACTCTAAAATTAGCGGTACTTGCGCGCGATGCTGTAGGTATCGTAATTTTAATAATTCGGTGATATTTCCACCGGTCATGAGACTTGGTAGTCGCGACCATTGGTCATGTGCTAATTCCAAAGCCACTGTTGTTTCTGTCCAGTCTAATATTAGACTTTTTAGCTCATTGGATGTATGCCAGCCCACGTTTCACGTGCTAGTGTAATTCGCGAAATAGGATTATTGTGTTTTTTTTTCATGTAAACAAAACAATCTCACTTAGCGGGTACAAGGTTGTGTTCCATTTTACGCTTAATCGGTAGATAAGTGTTTGTCTTCACTGATGTTATCATGTAAAAGCGGCTGTCATGTAAAATACTCTGTTCAGGTCATTCATAGACCATATCCAGTCTTCTCTGTAAACATATTTAAAAAGTGCATTAAAAATATTATATATAGTTAAGACATTTTTGTAATGGCTAATAAAAAGTCGTAGGTTCGAATCCAATGTTTTTAATCAATTTGTACTTTTTTGAACCGTGTTGCCCGTCGTCTAAAAATGTGTATATTATATGGGCGACGCGAATATCAAAATCGCCTGGGGACACAAACCACCGTACAGAAGTTTAATTAGAGTATCGGTTTCAGTCTGTACATCTTGTTTATATGTTATACGACTAGTATATTTCACTTTCTACAAGGACTATAAGCTCTTTCATAAAAAAACATTCTTATTAGTCAATTTCCTATCTTTCAGGCCAGAGTCAGCCGATACCGCCGAGTTCAAAGTGGAATGCGGAGACGTCATTCTAGTGGCGACAGATGGTGTGTTCGACAACGTGCCGGAGACCGTGCTGGTCGCGGAAATGCGTCGAGCGCAAGGAATGAGCAACGACGCGCCGAAGCTGCAGGCCGTCGCGAATTCTATAGCGTGGATGGCGCGCAATCTCTCCTTTGATGGCTGTTATATGTCGCCGTTCGCGAAAAGCGCCCGTCAGAACGGCATTGATGCAATAGGTGAGTTATTATATGAGGAAAATGAAAATTCGCAATTTACTTAGGCGAAAAATGAGTGTGTACTATCATCTGTGTAAGAATTATGTTAACAATTTTCGGTCACTGTGCTCTTGTAGATTAACATTTTTAGACTATGAAAATATAAATAAGTCAAGTCATAAAATTGCAGTTACAGGCTACTCTGCCTCATAATTGTTAATTGAATTATATTCTGTAATTTGATGACGATAATATATCGGTCGTCGGCTATGTAAACTAGCAAGAAGCCGTCCATTGATTTTTTTTTAAACTATTAAGTCAGTTTAAAAAAATAAAAATACATATCACATCCTGCTATTTATAGTAAAAAGTTAAAAACAACAAGGAAGAGGATGCTCTCACTTGTTGTTTTTGTACCCCCCTCTCATCCCTAAAAAGTTTATCAATGTAAGTAGGTAAAAATCCTGCTGAAAATTAATATGGTGGAATTGTTAAAACCATCTGTGTATTAAACCAAATCAAAGATATCAAACTTGTATATGGATAAGATAATAGGAATCAATATTTTCTTTTTGCTGAGTTAAAAGATATGTCTATTAACTCATAATAATGAATATAAATACAGTAAAAATAATAATATCATAACTGATAATGAAACATAGTTCTTTTTTCAAAAACGTTTAAACAAGATACAAACTACCCCCATTTTTAAATTGAAGAATAAGCAGATCTTACCTCATTTCATTTAAGGTTTTTAGCCATTTTTTTAGAGAAAATGGTATTGCTAACCAGACTTCTATTTATTGAAATAATTACTTTGTTAGATATTCTTTGATGTATATATTTTTTTCCAGGTGGAAAACCAGACGACATAACAGTGCTCCTAGCTATAGTAGCACTATGAAGATGTCTTATGTGATTGTTTAGTTTAGAATTTTTTAGATGGTGTTTAAAGCCCTTCAAAATTAGATTAAATAAACGACACCAAAAATACGAATTTGGTTACTAATTATCTTTAGGATCTTTTGGGTTTTAATTTCATTTAGAATTATTTATATATCATGTTATTCAGAAGTCATTTAAAATCCCTACGTGGCAATATTAGTAGTAAAAAAGTTGGTCTCAATTGAATCGAAATTCTGATTGCTTAAAGTACAATAAAAATCTATTGATAACTTATTCTTGGAATGGTTGTGTATACATAAAAATAACTTTCTACGTTTAAAAACATATTGTGATTAAATACAAATTATGTACGTATGGCTATGAAATGTAAATGATGATTGAAGTTGATTTAATCTTACTGCAGAAGTTAATTCAATGCACCTTATCATAATAATTGGTATTTTATGCCAGGAATAGTTCATTTAAAACAATTTGTAAAATGAGTAAGTTTGTGTAACATTGTTTGATTGAAGACTGATTCTAGCATAACTGTTTTATAAATTGTGTAAGGCTTTCACGGCCATCGTTCAGCATATCATTGTCTTTCGAGCTTCGGCCGATGTGAGCGAGAAGAGGTTCTCGACGTTTCGCCATCACGTGTGGACGGCATCTTCAGGAGATGTTGACTCCCCGATTGCTGAACAGCCCGAAAGACAATGATATGCATAACTGTTTTGTTTTGTACATAAATGGAATGTTCAGTGTTGTGCGTGTATTTATCTTTTTTATAGTGTATACATTTCATAATTAATATCTGTTACTACCAATTTAGATAATGGCTTCTGCGAAGACAACTTTGAACAAAATTATAATGGCAATATTAAAGACATCACTGGTTATTAACTTGATAGTTGGAATAGTTTAGACGGACTTAAAGGTACGGTTTATTACATTGATATGAGTGGTATTTCAAAAACTTTTGGTATCATGATATTTGATACGCTTATATGTACAACTATTAAATGTAAATTATGCAAAAGAATGTCAAATAAATAATTGTCAACTGTAAACATTGTTTTAATGCCTCCAGAATGTTAATTTTCTTTCATTTGTCAATAAGAAACAAAATATAATACATCTTTTATTTATTTAAAATTACATTATGCTTACGCGATGAAACGGACAAAAAATATCGAGGAATCTATGTTTGTGCAACATATAGTCAGATAACCACATGAATCCACTAGAAATGGTAAACTCAAAATTTAGTTCTCTTTTCTTAAAATTAGGTTTTTTTGGCTCATCAGTTGTACTGTAGTTATTTGACAGCTGATTATAATGCATTGGGTTGATCAGCATTGTCTTCTTCTTGCCGTCGCCAATTAAATCCTCCAGGTCTAACATTTGCTAACTCTGGTAGTGGCTCATATTCTGTTTCAGGTTCTGGGTCAAAAAGTTTTTTTCTAAAACAAAACGAAATATGAAATAAACATTGAATCAATATAATTATGTGATACACTTTTTTCCACATTACTAAATATATTCTTACAAATACTATAGAAACTGACAACTAAGAGTAATCTTTCAAGGTATTTTCAAGATATAGCATTTGTTTTGTGCTTATACAAATTGTAATAATACTAACAGAAAATTTGGTGTCTTCAAAAGTTTTTGCCCTCGAGCTTGCCGAGGCCAAACATCTTCAAGGAAGTAATAGATATGTCCAATGGCCATGCCGACAACATCAACTGATATTGAATTACCCAGGAGGACAGAAAAACCGAGTAAAACAAAGGGCAAGTAAGGAGCCTGTGAACATGACGTGAGGGAATTAAATCATACATAAGAAGTAAAAGTAGAAATGTGAGTGGCAGTTAAATACTTTTTTTTTATTTCCCTTAATGTGTAAACTTACCTGGAAATTCATTATTCCAAAGAAATTCATTCGAATAAAAACATTTCGTCTAGACCACACGTAAACAATCATTATAGTAAATGCTTGTCCCAGAAACAATAAGTTTATAAAAAATGCACAAAACTGCAAGATTGTTGAGGAAACTATCTCACCCATAGCAATACTTCAACTCAAAATTTGTTTAAATTAAATGACTAATCATTTATTATATTTCTTTCTTTTTTTATTTATTCAATAAATGCTTAAAACTGAAGGTCACTGCAAAGACAGCATATAAAAAGGATACAATCATCAACGCAGCACCAAAAATAAACATAACAACAAAATCAGCTGTTCTCCCCCTAAATGACCCTTCTTCCAACATTCTACAATATCTGTATGTAAATATCATATTAAAAAGAAAATTAAACCCTAAATTCCCAAAGAAAAGGAATGTTGATAAGAACCTCCATATCTGATACTTTGTGAAAATCAATGTGGGATTGAAGTATAGTTGGAATGGTGATACTAGGTTTAATTGCTGTAAAAAGATAATACATTATTAAAAATACTACTTATTACAGTATATTTTAATTGAAGTATTATAAAATAACAATTTTACTTACAACTGCTAAGGTAGTGATAACACAAGCTGTAGTGTATACCCTAGTTACTGGTGGGATCAGCATGTATTCTTGTAGCAAAGATTGATATGCCATGTTTGTAGTAAATTAAAAAACTGTGGTTTTAATCATTTAAACATTATGAAGTAAAATTCTTTAAAACTACACAATACCAACAGTAACACTATTGGGCCACATCAGTGCTTCAACTTCGAAGATATCACAAAGGAAGACTTGTATAAACACTACAAATTAATATGTTTCTTAACTGTTAATCAATCTTTTATGTCGTCAAATGGATTATTCGCGAATTTTTCCAGAAGTATGAACCATAGTTTAAGTTTTAAAACAGTATTTGATTTGACTATTTTGATAAAATTGGCAATTTCAATTCAACCTACGAATGATATGTCGAAAATATTGTGGCATAACCAAGTTTAACTGTGACAAATGACAATTGACAACCCCCAAATAGTATCACTAATCACAATAATAAAGATCAATAAATTATGTTAAGATAACGATTCTCTATAAAAGCTGTGTAACATGTAAATAAGGTTTGAAAAACACGAAACATTTAATAGTGATTATTAAAGAAGCTCAATATTTAAAGCAAAATCACCTTACAAATATTCCTTATTTTTCACTAAACGCTGTAGTTAAGTGGATTTATTATAAAAGCAATCATGGAAAATAAAGAAGGGGTTGACCATTTAGTGGCATTAAAAGTCATGCGACTTACAAAACCAGCCCTCATAAGTCCGAAGATAGTAACTTGCGATTTTAAAGATGTTCCAGGTAATATACTTAATAACTACTTAAAAGATGATGCGACTTCAGTAGTTGGTATGGAAACCTTAGCTGCTGGGCAATTTTTACTACTTCCTCAGAGTTTTGGTAATATATATTTGGGTGAAACATTCTCATGCTATGTCTGTGTCCACAATGAGACAAGTCAGCCTGTACAAAGTGTATCAATTAAAGCTGATTTGCAGACCAGCTCCCAAAGAATTCCATTATCAACACAGCAACATCAATCGCCAGTGATGTTAGATATAGATGAAACTTTGGGTGATGTGATACACCATGAAGTCAAAGACTTAGGTACACACATCCTAGTTTGTGAAGTAACATATATGTCAACTTATAACACCCTAGCATCATTTAGAAAGTTTTTCAAATTTGAAGTAATGAAACCGTTGGATGTCAAAACTAAGTTTTATAATGCGGAGTCTGATGAAGTGTTTCTTGAAGCTCAGGTGCAAAATATTACTTCAGGGGCAATTGTTTTAGAGCAAGTATCCCTTGAAAGTTCTCACCAATTTGCTGTTAAATCACTAAATGAAACTGCTGATGGTAAATCTGTGTTTGGTGAAGTCACCTTACTGCAACCACAAGAAAGCTGTCAGTATCTATATTGTCTTACCCCCAAGCCCAATATTGCTTCAGATATAAAATTAATTGCAGCCGCAAAAAATATTGGCAAATTGGATATTGTATGGAGGTCCAACTTAGGTGAGAAAGGTAGATTGCAAACTAGTCAATTGCAAAGAATGACTCCTGAATATGGTGATATAAGAGTAACATATGACAATCTTCCAAGTAAAGTACCAGTTGATAAACCATTTAATTTTAAATGTAAAATTATAAATGCTAGTGAACGGTCATTAGACTTAATTTTGAAGCTCCGTTCCCTACAGGATTCCAGTTTGATTTGGTGTGGCATTTCAAACCGAAAACTAGGACCTCTAGAGCCGGGAAATGTGAAATACATTGATCTAACTGCAGTACCACTTAATACTGGCTTGCATAGCATTACAGGGATATCACTTATGGATCTCTTTCTTAAACGAACATATGATTACGATGATTTGGCATCTGTTTATATATATTAAAAAATACTAAGTTATTATTCCCGAAAGTAATTAAATTATTCATATAAATTCTACTTTCTATTTATTAAACTTTATTTAATGTATAACATTGATTTTTATTATCTCAACTTATAAAATAGTTAATAAGTTATTAAGTTTCTCTGGGGATACCACTTCTTTACATATTGTCTGGAGTTATGCATTAAAAATTAAAACATTTTTGTTAGTGATGCCCTTAATTGTAAAATTATTACCAAACCATCACACAACATCAACATTATCTGTTATTTTTTTATTGCTTACACTGTAAAATCGTATTGCTTCTACGTATTGTCTATGCTGGTTACTACGAAATTAAAAGGTAATCTGTGGCTATTCTTACTAGTGACAGTTGATCACTCGTCATATCGTATTTTTTTTTAATATTTCCAATTGAAATTAAATACAGAATGTTGTTTATCTAAACGATTAATTGTGATTAATATAATAACCTCTGTGAATATTGTATCAATTCGGTTTCTTACAGACTCAGAATTAAAATATGGTTCTTACTAAAGAATTTAGAATTTGCATGCCTATCACAGTGGAGGAGGTAAATTTTAGTTTATTATGGCTAGGTTAAGTACATAAGTTATGCTTAAAAATGCCTTTCCACTTTTAGTATCGAATAGGCCAACTATACATGATAGCTCGTCATAGCTATGAACAGTCTACTACTGGGGAAGGAGTGGAAGTAGTAGCAAATGAACAAGTCAATGATGAAGTTAATGGAGTTGGACAGTTCACTGAGAAAAGAATACATCTCTCAAGGTATCTTAATCAGTTTAAGTCAGACCATTTGATTAATCATGATTTGGCAATATTTAACTGGCAGCTCAAAAAACTTGTAAATGTAGAATTTCCTAACAATATCAAAAGTAAACATTTATACAAATTTCTGTGTAATTGACATAAATGCAATAAAGGAAATATTTGTAAATTTTTATGTGTATTGAGAAAAACATTATATGATATTGAAAAATTAACATTTGTTGTTATTCTCTTTTAATTGTATATTTTTACAGCCACCTCCCCTATTGGATTCAAAATATCATACCCAGGCTGTTTTATATAACTGAAAAAGCTTGGAATTACTACCCATACACAATAACAGGTAAATGTCACTATAAACATAAAATAGGGAAGTTTAAACTATAACAATTCAGCACTAGCTTCTCAATTTTATGAAGTGTAATTGTGGAATAAAATAAAATAGTCAATAACCTTGAACATAGTCTACTTTATACATTGAACTATTATTTTTAAATATATTTTCTACTTCAGAAACAGTATAAATATTTTACTACATCTATATTTTTAAAATAACTATATTCTTTTCTTTTCATATACCTGTTCTCAGAGTACACAGTAAGTACCTGTCATGAGTAATTATATTTTTAGATTTTCATATGTAAATTAACATGCAACTGTTTATTTTAGTGTTCCTTCATCCCAAAGTTTTCCGTGTCTATACAAACCAGATATGAAGATAACAATGGAACAACAGAAAATGTAAGTCTTTGAACTCATACACTGTTTTGCAATACTAAGTCTTATAAACATCTGTAGACAATGCTTAACCAAAGACAAATGATGCTTACTTACTCAAGTTGTTACTCTATTTGTCTCACAGTGTTTAGGTCTGCCAGAGGAAGAGTTGGAACAAAGACAAGTTGATTTTCTTGATATAGCATATGATGAAATCAAACCCCATCATTACAAAGAAACCGAAGATCCAAAGCTTTTTAAATCAGAGAAAACAGGCAGAGGACCGTTGACTGAAGGTTGGCGGGACAATCACAAACCAATAATGTGTTGCTATAAACTAGTTAGTGCTAAGTTTGAAGTTTGGGGTCTGCAGACTAAAGTCGAAGATTATGTACAAAGTGTAAGTTATAAAATATAAATTATTGTTTTAAAGAATTAATGTGAATGGAAAAATATTTGAAATAATAAATAAGAGAGAATTAAAGGATCTTTACTCAATATCATTAAAGGGCGAGTTTCTCTTTGGCTAAACAATAATGGTAGAAATATCGCCATGCCAATCAGTTTACGACCACTTCCTAATATTCTAACTATAACCTACCATTTAAATAAAATACTGTAATGGTTTAATACGCGACGTTTCGGATGCTTTGCAGCAGCCTTGAGTCTCTCCGTGACCACAGCCACTGCAAAACATCCGAAAGTCGGGCAGAAGTTTCAAATAATAAGTATAATCGCGTTTTAAACCGTTAGTGTTTTATTGAAATTTGTACTACACGCGTAAACTACAGACAGTATTTTATAACCTACCAGTTCAATTGTGCATATTTTCTTATACTGTTTAAAAATTAAATAAGACTGTTTCATAAATTATTTCATTATAATGTATAATTTTTTAAGGCGATTCGGGAAATACTTCTTCTCGGTCATCGTCAGGCTTTCACATGGATGGATGAATGGTTTAATATGACTATTGATGATGTGAGGAACTATGAAAAAGACATGCAAGCGAAGACAAATATTAAGGTAAAGTTAATAATATAATCTTAAAATGTTTTATATGAGAAAAACTATAATCTTATTTTTAGAAAAATTATTATATATGATGTTTCATATTTTCATAGTTTTCTTTCCAATGCAATGTTTGTAATAAAAATTGTAGAATCACCACTTGTTTTTATCCTTTTAAGATTCTTTAAACTTGTGTTATATAGAGATTTATAATTGTATAGATTACAAAATTAGACTACTTTTACAGTTATGCAGTTTTGTAAAACATTGTATAAAATCAATATTGTGTACCATTACAGGTGCAAACAGCCCTGGAAAATGCCAATGCAGAAGGCGATGCTGAAAATAAATCACCGCCTCTATCTCCAAAATTACCAAAGACTCCGAAGACCCCTTCAGTATCTGGGACTCCTACAGAATCAAAATCGTGGTTCTCATGGTCCTAAACCTCATACAAATAGATAAATAAATTATAGCTAATTGTCTCGTTTAGGCAAATGCGAAATATCATATGTGTGAGAAAGACAAAAAATAGTACCGTAATTTTTCGAATATTTTAAGCTAGTTAGTTACAGGGCTTAGTTTGAATTTGAAGGTAGATGCAAAATATTATATTATATTGAAAAGACGAAAATATCAAAAGAAACTTAAGTGCAGTGTTATAAAAGTTGTTTAATGAATGTTTAACATAGAACGGAAGAATGTATAGTAGATATTTAATAAAATGTAAGTTTTACTTGCGTGAATTTGCTCTTTACACATTGAGGTATAGTCGGACAAAAAAAGTGTTTTCTTTAAGTCAGTAGATGCATGTGTTTCAATGATTGCGTTATTGTTATAGTAGATAGGGTTAGTAGAAAAACTTTTATTAATTGTTTTTAGCTAACATTAGATGATATTAAATGTTATTAACTCGGTCTATGAATTGAGGTTGAGTAGTCTATTGTTGTAATTGATTGGTGGATGCACATTTTGTATGCGTACAGCACAACTAGTTGCATTTGTAGAATCTATATCTTAATAACATCCTTGAATGAGTTTTAGCGAAAACAGTTTCTATATAAGACATTCCAAATAAACATATAATCATCTTATTTTATGTAGTTCACATAATACAATTTTAACTGTTCAAAACGCGAAATGTTTAAGTTAACTGTGTCGCTGCAAACTATCCGAAACGTACTTTAAAATACGTTAACTAATATATATCGCGTTTTAAACCGTTTAAAGTTTACTCTAAACTTTTATTTTTTTCTTGTTTCCTATAGACTGAAACAAGTTAATAAGGGTCATGAACTAAAGATTTAATCCAAATGCTTGCTTTTACGACTAACTCCCAGAGAAGTTAGAAGCTTTGCATATATAATAACTATCAATTATCTATGTTTCCATTAATCTACAGACTAATTATTGTAGTAAAACAAATGGCTTATAATTATCTCGTTACATTGTCCTCCCATAAATATACATTACACAGTGCTTGGCACTGAAAGCAAAGCATGTATGTTATGTATATTATATCTCGGTATACTATACTAAACGAAGATGTTCTTGGCTCTTACAAAGATATGTTCTTCGCAGTTTATATGTTAATTAAAAAGTATTAAAATCATTATTTGTACTCAGTTTTTTAAAATTGTTTTAAAGTAGAATAAAACTACCTCCTTTTTTAACCAGTAAGACCGTGACGTTAGTTTTGAAAAATATATTTACATTAAATATTATACATTATAAGCGAGATTTACATGTTCGCTTATATGGAATAAATGAATTGTTTATTTTGGTACAGTGTTTGAGAAATAAGTTGATCTTTTTTTTATTGGAGACTCCATCTTAGACCCTTGCGTGATGGTCTGTTAAGCATAAAATTTTAGTTAATTTTAATAAATCATAATAATTTAATGTTATATTTATGTGTTACTCAACAAAAAATGCATTTTGTTGACGATTTAAAAACGTTTGTGTAGTATACATTTTTTGTCTCATTCGTTTATAGTTCAAATGACATATGTGGGACAGAGATAGATAGTAAGTAGTTCACGGCTCACGAAACCTAAGTGCAAAATTAATGAGTACTGAGCGCGATTTAGTTCAATGTCTCTGTCACACCTATGTCATATTTGGATGCAAGAAAGAGACATGAGTTTGTCCGTGTTTGATGTAAGTAAATAATAATGCAGTACAAATATACTCTATAGGCCTACATTTCAAAAAGTCTTTTAACGGCTTAAAGTATTGATAATGACGTTTTTTTAACGCTTTGCAATAATTCTATGTAGGACAATGTTTTCTCGTAGAACATTTTGTGTTATTGTCAGTTTCTTTATATCTGAGGCTGTAATTCATACCAAAACTGCATATAATTTTTCGTGATTAAATTGTTTAATAATTTTCCCAGTGTTTAAGAATGAAGTATAAATAGGAACAATTTTAGATCGATCTCAAAGACGTTATCACAATTTTAATAGATGCTTTTGCGAATAAGTTTTGTTACAAAAGTTGGGTTGAAGATTTTTATGCTAAATCGTGTATAAATCTATAATCTCTTATATGGTTGTTTTTTTATCCAAATAAAAAAAAAATACCCAAAAAAAACTGACTACAGACGTTAAACTAGAAAGAAAAAAGAGCGTTGCAAAAAGTGTTCCGTATTTTGATTTAATTAAATGGAAATTGTTTAATATTTAATTTGAAACAAAAACAGGTGTCAATTAAAATCGGTTCTTAAATTCGAAGAAATGAATTGAAAAGCTCACTTTTTAAAGAAAAATAAACTAAGAACAACTTCAAAAGAAATATTATTATTCAATGTTCGACTCTATACAATAGAGTAATTATATTGTAGTAGTTATGGCTTTTAGCTGATTCATCAGTAATGTTTGTGATAATTACGTACAAAACAACTGTTAGTTACGATGCTAGTTAATTTACGCAAAACCGACAAAAAGAAACGAGTTTTAATGTTTCTCCCGCAAGCCTACTACTTATACGCCCTAGAAGTTTATGGAAGTATTAGTATCATTAGTATTAAATATCTTTATTTTACAAACAAATATACTAATATTATAAAGCTGAAGAGTTTGTTTGTTAGAACGCGCTAATCTCAGGATCTACGATTTTTTATTCTAGTGTCTGTTCAAGCATTTATCGGGGAAGGTTTGGGGCTATAAAACATGAGGCAGCATATGTCTATCTTTAAAGATTAAGTCCCAAGAACCATTTTGGTCCAATCAACTAGGTGACTTTGGTCAATAAATTTGATCGAAATACGGCTGCTGCAAAGCATCGGAAACGTCGTGCCGAAGTTAAAATCATTTTCAATAAGTTTAACTAAGATATCGCGTTTAAAACCGTTAAAGTGTTTTATTTAAACGTGTACTACTCGCGTAAAGTATAGACAGTATTGAATACTTCATATGGCATAGAAACGTATATACTATATTTCTACTATGTTTTTAAATGTCACAAATTGTCTTCAACCACTTCAAATGGGCGCCAACGCTGGTGTATACTCCAGGCATTTTTGGTACATTGCATCCAAGCCCGTAACTGCTTAATCCCTGAATATATCCATTGCATATTAGTGGTCCACCGGAGTCGCCCTTTGAAGAGGTATTTCAATTAAGATTTCACTCTAAGCTTTATTAAGCACGTGGTATTCGTATGTATTTTGTAGATGTACCTTATTTACAAGAGTTATTATACCAAAATACTTGGTATAATAACTCTTCATCATATTTCCATACTAGATAAAAATTCTTCACCTTAAATGTCGACTAGATAAAGTCGAACAAAAAGGTATACTTTTTTTTTTTTTCGAAATTGGCTTGGAATTTTAAAGCATACAGTATACCTCTTTAGTTGTATCTCTCATGTTGTAAAGGTCGTGATCAATATATCTATTGTGATTAAAATACAGTATATCTAAATTCTAGTAATCTTCGATTACAATGATCAGAATTCAGGGATCATACGTCCGTAACAATCTCTATTCATTTTGCTTAGTGGACGCAAGATTTTCGCCATCATGAATCTTAAGCTAGGTAAGGTTAAGATAGAAAAGTATAGAAGTTTCACCTGACAAGCATCAACGCCGTCTCCGATAGCGCAAATCATTCCACTATCAGCCTTGGGAGCTACGTACGGTCCAAGAGAAGTTGTACATTCATCTAATGAAATAAGTTTCACTTCTGCCGAGTGCAAACTTTCCGTTGTGCCTTTGTTCAGCGCGTCTCTGTTCCCGTATCCGTATATTGTGCACTTACCTGCAAAGTTCATTCATTAAGATTGAAGGTGTGAGAAACTAGTTTTCAACAACGTCAATCTATTTCCAAATCTCATCTACCTAATTTACATAGCTCCAGCAATTTTATCTACCTGACTAAGTAATATACTATAAGTATACTAACAAAGTTTATCTTACGTGGGCATTTAATATGTCCTGATTTGTTTTACGCTATATATATGTCATTCTTATTAGTTAGTATTTAGGGTTTCCACCATTCGCTTTTAAAAGCTAACGGCCAACCTTCATTAATGGAGAGGCTCGAGAAGAACACGTATTTTGTGAAGGCCCAAGAATGTAATTTCCACGTACACTTTTAAATTACAGATCACGAGATTCGACTATCCTATCCTATTAATTTAGTTATATATTTATTATCTATTACGACATTGGAAATAATAAAAAGAGAAACGCCCTCCCCTCCCTCGTGGCGCAGGCAAGCAAGTCAGACTTTAGAACTCTGTCCGCCTGAAAAATACATTGTTCGGGCGGGCAGGCGCCTCTCGCGCTTCTGTAATATACTAATGTATGTATACTAGGCAACAATAGTAATGTAATTTTAGTGACGGTTGTCGCCAAAATCATTTAACGCGCACTGGAGTGGCGTGGTGGGCTAGATTTACAACATATTTTATTTTGGTACCTCGTTTTGTATGTTTATATTATTTATATTTGAAAACACTATGCTATTTTATTTTGTGTGACATAATAGTTCAGTCTAATCGGCTACATCCATGTAAATTTAACCAGTAATACAGACAAAAAAGTATTGTGGCAGATACTTTTTTACGCCACGTTAAGACGAGATCCCACAAATACATTACAATTTACAACTGCACGCTAAAAACAAACCGACTCTAAATAAAATTTATTTCGGGTGTCGTTTAAATAATATGTGGACATTCTTTTAAAAGCTTAACTCAGTATTTATACACCGCAGTATGTTCTTTGAACCTCCTTTCTTATATTAATTGACGTTTGGCTACCACTCAAGAATTGGGATAATAATAGCCTGGTCGAATTGACAGTGCTGATTGCGTGAAGGTAAAATTCTAGCAGTTCATTCACAGTTACCTGATACGCCGAACGAAGTACTGGGTATTATTGAGCCGTCGAAAATTTCGCCTATGAAGTTGAGTTTTATACGCAAGACGGCGATGTCGTGCACATGAGATAATCTGAAACCGTATAAGTTATCGTGCGGCGGGTAGGTAAACAAATCGAAATTCAATGAATATTGGCGATCGAAGAAAAATATCCTATTAAAGGTAGCATCATAATATTTTTTCGAGTACGGAACGTGGACTCATATCTTTGCTTGTATAAACCTTGACACAAACAATTGTTTGAATATCAACAAAAAATATTGATCAGTTTATATGAGATTCGCGATATTCTACATCAATGCATTTTTTTTAAGATGACCATTAAAAATAATTAATGCTAGCATAAAAATTAGTCAGAAGAATTAGTGTTTAACTACCCACATTATTACCAATATTATTAAGGTAAAATAAATATGTAATACCCCCACAAAAGTATGTAGGTTTGTCACCATGTGAAAGTATTGTCTTGTGGGTGTGTCTTACGGGTGTTTTTTTTTTAATTACTAACATTAGTTATATATCTTTTATCATCTATTATAAAAGTGAATTGACTGTCTGTTTCTTGTTGTCTGTTACGCAATGATTAAAGTACAAAGCGTATAAGTTAGAACTAGTGATGGTAGCTTATCTTTACCGATGTAAAATTCGTAACGATCTATTACGCAATAACCATCTTAACATACCAAACTTACATTTTGTATTGATCGTGTTTAACGACGTTTATAATAGTGGCTTTTGGCACATGATTCCCTTCATTGCAATAATTGTTTAACTGTAAATAATAATCTTCAGGCTCATTATTAACGCAGTGCGCTGCGGTGAGGGCGTTATTATATGTTAATATTGTTGCTCCGCATAAATGTTGAGAATTTGATGAATTTCTTAGCGATGCCACCCGGATTTGTGTACCTTTTGAGAAGCTAAGAACTATAATTTACAAAATATTTAATTCTACTAAAAAATGATAAAAAGACAGTGTTAATAAATATTTATACATCCCCTAACTCTACCCTTAGACAATAGGGATGTGCAAATAAAAACCTTATACATAGTATTAACCTAATACATATTGTGATTTTATTAATTAATTAATTATTAACAAGAAATCAATTCGTTGATATATAGATTCCCATTGTTCCTTATTGGGACCTAGAGCAGACACATTGGTGTGTTTGTTTCACTGGTCGATTTCTTACAGTCTTCTGTGCTTTTCGCAAAACCAGTAAAGTAAAGCTCCGGGTTTGTACTTCGGACCTTTACGCAATGCTAGGACTTTGGACCTAAATCGACGATGTTTGGGTGTAAAGATCGTGTTTATTTTTAGTGCCTTATCATAAATACCTACGACTAACTGATAAGATACTTAGTAAAATTAACAGGCTCGTTATAATGGCTAATAATCAACGTTTTGTGGGTTCTATCTCCAACGGGTCCAATATCTAATCAGTTTGTAATTTTTCTGAAACCGTGGTAGGAATATCGAAATTTCGTCCAGTCAACGAACCACTGTCCACAGATGAAAAGGCCGTGATATTTATTCGCGTTTCGTTCAGTCTGTGGATTTCCGAATATCCAAAGCTAAAATAGGTCAACAACACATCCTGTTAAGATGTTATATGACTGGAATACTTCATGTTCCATCAAGTAGACCCCATGCTTATGTCCCTTCCTTTATCATAAAAATAAAATAAAAAGGTTTAAAGGTCACTGGACCGTGGCCCCAAAACGTGGTTAAGGAAAAATTTCCTAATACGTTTTTGATTTTATTAATATTACATATTTCATTGATCGATAATAATTTTGTAATTATAACCTCGATATTACGTTGAAAAACTGTCATACTATCTGAGTGATAATATCTTTATTTAAAAGCGTGGGAGAGAAGTACAAATGTAAGAAAAAAAATTCTAGTACTATACCGCAAGCGACCTCATCACCACCAATTACTCTTTTAGTCCTTCGACATTCCGTTATAAATACACACATACTGAAGACGACCAACCGACATAACATTCGCGGAACGTTTTTATTGCGAGCCATTTTCATGCGATTATTATCACTTAAAGTCTAAACACCAATAAAATGGCCATAATTCACGACACGTATTTATGTGGTTACGTTGAATTCGTGACGTCTGTATTAACAGGTGTTCCGGGAAAAAAAATATTTTGGGTCGATGCGGAAGATTGTGCTCTGTGGACTAACCGCGGTGTTAGCTGTTGTGGTTCGAAACTTTGTACGCGTCACATGTTGAAAAAGATTCTTTATTACCTACGTAATATACAAAATTATCCTTCTGTGCTGTCTCAGTTAAATTTAAATAAAACACTAACGGTTTAAAACGTGATATATATTGGTTAAACTTATTTTAACTACGCCCGACGTTTCGGATGTTTTGCAGCAGCCGTGATCATGGGGAGACCAATATATATCGTGTTTTAAACCGTTAAAGTGTTTTATTTAAATGTGTACTTCTCGCATAAGCTACAGACACTGTCTCAATTATACATACAGACATAAATAAAAGTTAGTGATAAAAATAACTATGACATAACAAATACGCATATACCAATATAATATTAAAGACGTACAAGGAATTATATTAACTATCAATTGCCATGTCGTTTATATTTATACCTATCATGAATAGTTACTTTTGAAAACATGTCTTAATAAGCGATAACGTAAATATTTCCTGTGCAGATAAGATACAGCCGCACTCAAAACATTCACACTTCGAGTTATAAAACACTTTCTTGTTACGATTTAACAAGAAGTGGCAATGTTGATAGATGTCACTAGAAATTAATCTTAGTCGCACGCAGCGTTTAGCGGGATTAAAATAAACGTTCTATAATTACACTGTGTTATTGTTGTGTTGCACATGATGCCAAAACATAGTAACAACAGACAGGTGGGAGCGGACACGGGGTAAAGCGCCGAACTCATCATACTTCGTTTACGCGTCGCCTAATAAGCTCTCTTGTTAATTTACTATATACCATCAAAGACTCAATCAAATTTTGCGTTTTATCAACTTCTGCATATAAATTCTCGATAGGTAATCGAAGTGTAAATAATTACGCGGTTTTAACGTTATAAGTTCAAGTTAAGCACTTTTAACGGTTTTAAACGCGAAATATATTAGTTAAACTTATTTACGAATTATTTTAACAACGGCCTAACGTTTCGGATACGATACTTTGCAGCGACCATGATCACGGATAGAGCTGGTAAATAACTTTAATACGTTTCTCGTTTTATACCGTTAACAGTGTTTTATTTAAGCGTTTATACGACAGGCGTCCTAAGTTGTTAGTGGATTGTGAGTACGATTCCTAAGCGAACGAGTTTATGTAACGCGAAGGCGCGAACGTGGAGCGTGGAGCGGGCCTAAGCGGGTTCGAGCGTGCGGCGGTAGCGGCAGTGCTGTGCCAACCACCGGGCCACACCGCGCCAACACCATGGACCGCGACCGCGAATCCCCGCCGAACAGTCCGCCCGCCCAATCTAGCTTTGGCGCCTTCTGCAGCGCGATCTCTGAAACGTTCTCGGTACGTACGTACGTACACGCTGACAACGCACACAGACACAACACCACAGACACAATTTGGCGCCACAATTCGATTCCATTTCACAAATTCCACTAAACACGCTATGCAGCAATGAATGGTGACGTTCTATTCTCGAATAGTGCTATAGGCCTTCGGATTGCGAAATAATAGGAAAGATCACCGAGAAGAAAATATAAACAAATTTATTATTAGCGCTCGTTCGCTGGGTCGCATGGCCGTGATTTGTCCGATGGCTCTGATATACAGAAATACTCGCGCAATAAACGAACAGCCAGCGCGACGTGCAAAGGCCGGGCGCGACACCAGACATTCAAACGAAATCTGGAAGTCAGTAATCACGAGTGGTACCGCCCGTGTCCACTCCTGAAGGTGCGGTGTCCACGCAAAATCCTCGACGGCAATTCGCACGACTAAATAGGTATCAATTAAGTTTTCAAACTGTCCTTTCTTCTAATACTTTCTTTGTGACTTCGGTCACAGTGTTTTGAGATTTAAAAAAAGTGAACGTCAAGGAGTCTAAGTGTAAATTCTTGTAACACAAAGCCGTAGCGATTACAAATTGAATACTACATTTAATGTTTATTTTTTTTACAACAGCACGGAACGCTGTGGATGCCAGTTCAAGTCCTGGTCGTGTCGTAAATTGTTTTAATTTGAAATTGATTTTTAATTTCTTTTAAACTAACTAATTTTCTTTTCACCATTCTGTGTTGCAGCAAGACATATTGTTTAATAATAGACTAAATAACTTACAAACAAGCATATCTAGTTCATTGTATCAAAAACAATATTTTATATAAATAATTTTGGTTTATAGCATTCATTTCCTAACCTAATGCCGGATGTATCTTTTAGCAGTTAATAAAGCTATTTGGGAAATAGTTCATCAAATACGATTATTTATTTAATACCATGGATTTATTTGAGTAAACATTATTACTTAAGTTAACACCTCATATCAAACTATATCTCTCATTAACTTAATCATAATGCTGTTCTATAAAATATAATAATAATGCAATCTTGATCTTTACAGTGTCTTTGTAGAGTTTACCCTAAATTACTTTCTTACCTAAATTGTTTTCTTAGCAAATACAAAGCACGGCATGGTCTTTTGTTTTAATAATACTCATTAAGAATTCGTTGCGTAGCGATGAAGGTTGTTGACCTTTCCATAGATAATTAAGAATTAATTCAAAGTCACTACAGTACATAAGAGGCAACGTACCAAATTTTGTCGGCCCTGTAGACCCGTAGGCACTTACTACGATCGCTACACTGCTACGTGTAACTTTATCGGCTACAAGGCCTACGACTTATGCTAAATTTTCGTAGCGGCATCGCTGGGGATTCACAATTTAATAATATTGCCTGTCAGATCTTTTTACGACCCAGAGTTAAACCTCATTTTCATATTCCTTTTCATACTGGCTGGTCGATTTTTTTACATCTCATTGACGCTTCATTCGATTTTAAAAAATCTGTATTTGAATTCTTCTTCTTCTTTAAATATAAGTTCCGAGTAACCAGCTTTAATTTTAATACCATTAATATTAATTATCGACTACAGTTTCTCAATTAATTAACCCGTCTAGAATAACATTAAAAGTTTTCTTATTATAATGCCAGCGTCGGCATGTGACTTGACTTGTTTTAACTTTGCAATTAGTCGATGTCGTGTAAACTTCTGTGTATTGAATGACGCCATTCATAATTGTTATATGTATGTAAATAGTGGGGACAAGGTGCAAGGTTAACTTTACATCGAATGGTTTGACCGCATCGATCGCTAATGTCAGGGTTGCCCTCCTTTCCCTTAGCAAGATTAAAATTCCATTGTGCCGAACATACTCCCAGATATTCGACCAATATAATTCGATAATCGGGCAACACGTCGCTGTCGTTTATTTCATATTTCTATATTATCCATGAGAATTCGGCTATTCTCAGACGAAATGTTTTTACTTTACTCTTTTATGGCGAAATTATACAGGAGAAGCGATTCTTGCTTGAAGTTCTTGAATCTTAAATTGGGGCTTAACTAATTTCTGTTTTCAAACAGATTTCGAAATGTTTTGATTTAACGGTTTTATACTTTGGCTTCTGAAAAAGGGTACACTTAAATTGACTTTCTCAAGAGCACAGAAAACAAAGTCCAACTCACCGTATTATTCCAATAGGAACACAAAATACTGTAACTGTAAGATTTATATAAAAGCTATAATAAAATTTAAATGAAGCTCGTAAAAGTTGAAATCTCTCAATATATGTGGAAATTGTAATCAGAAACAGACATAGTTTTATTAACATATTAGATAAATGTAAAAATAATCTATTTGGGTTACAACATAATCTCCAATCTTTGCATATAGGTTTTTCTGAAGCTAAATAAATCGAAAAACCTTGATCAGTTGCCATAGCGACAGATTAATACAGCCGTTAGCAAAATAATTTTCATTATTCAATCTTCAAACAAACCACCTAAATTACAAATGATCCCATTGTTTACCCAACTGCGTAGGTTGTTGATAGCGTTCCAAACTTTCTCCATTTCTTGGGATGCGGGTAAAAATCCACGATGAGTAACGGATAGATTATTCTGAAAGAAACGGCGTTAGGCAGTAGTATTTAATTTACCCAAAATACGCGCGCGTGTCGAGTATATTTTTAAAAGATAGGTCAGCTCTCGTTAAACTGAATTTAAAATAAAATATTACTTAGCGAGTTTGATATGAATTCTAACAATTATCATCGCTTACTTGAGAATATACGAGGGGCCTTGCTGTGCTTTAGATATGTAGGTAAGTTTTCATTTGTTTATCGGGAATATATAATATATACGGATAGTCACTTGCGCACATAAATAAACTATATCAATATTAACACATTTTTTGTGATAAATCAAATAATAATTACACTTCATGCTTTAAATTTGTCATATACAAACCAATCCACAATTTTTATCAATAATCAGTTTGTTAACAATAATACAGATGTAACTTCACAATAATAAAAAAACATTGCATTTAAAACTTTATGTTAAAGGCATTAGACACGAGGTCGAATGGTTCGCTGAGGGCTGATTTTCAGTCTATTAATAATCTATATATATATATATTTTTTCTAGTTATCAAAAACACTTAATCAACATCTTTAACATCATACAGTTAATCTGTTGCTACGTATAATACGGCTTTCATTATTTTGCACTAAATTTAAAAATTATTACAGTAGGACTAGTTCCTCACTTTCAAATAATCGACACACGAGGAAACGTAAACTAAAATCCAAAGGTGCGCCCATAGTACTTCTAAGAATGATTGTTAAAATATTTTTATCCGGTACCACTTGGCGTGCTGCCAATTCTCACAGATTAGGCCGCTGTTTACTGGCCACAAATGACAGGCTCAAATTGCCGTCTAATAGTATTCAAATCACGTTATTATAAAGGTTCCGAAGTTAAAGTATCCTTTGCCAATAGTGGGAACTATTCCCACGGCTGGTAAACAAGGACTTTATTTTTTGATAGAGGAGGACAGACAAGCTTGAGGTTCTATTGATGGTAGGTGAATTATCTCAGCCTATAGCATCTAAACAAGATGCGCTGTTGGCCTATTATGGCTTTGAATATTCGGAAATCTACAGAGTAAAACCGAAGCGTTTCTCACTTCGCGGCTTTTTGATCTATGGACGGCGGTTCGCGACCCAGACGGAGTTTCGATACCTCCCAGTTAATATCCAGATTTCAGAAAAAATTATTAATTTAAAAACTTGAATTCTGGTGGGGATCCAACCCATGACCCGTTGATTATTAGCCGTACATTGCTACCACTGCACCAAAGAGCCCGTCAAAAAAACGCTCTCCTCATTGATTAAATTTAGGCTCTGTGATGAGCTTTGGTAGATAACACATATAGAATTTTAAATTTTAACGATGTTCTCTTTTGTGTATTGTAGAGTATGTTATAAAATACATAGATAAACATTTCTATGGTTGACTATGTATCGACTCTCGATTTCATGCAAAGCTTTCTGCATAAAATCGAGAGAAATATTATACAATAATAATATACACAAACGGGGTACTATTTTATCTTTATAAGGACGCTTACAACTTTATAAAAATGAATAAATATATAGTATATAGTGTTGTTTAATCTATATTTCATAATCTGTATTTTTACAAATTGGCGCCAGTTGTTTTATGACATTTCTCTATAGCTAAAATGGCCGTTTTCTGTAGGTTCTTTTCCTAATGTGCTTTTGTCATAATTTAATAAAATGTGTTTTTTTTTTCATCATGACATGAATATTTTTTATATATATATTTTAAAACAATTTCTTCATTGTATTATTTTTTGCAGGGGATGGCAACTACATCACGGAGTAGGAGAAAGGTAATTGGACTATTATTATATTAATGATTACGAAACAATTCTTGGATATTTAAAAGAAATTACTTGCAAAACAAGGATAATTTTAATAGAAGTGCCTAACGTAATTTGTCATGCAAATGTTTCTTGAAATCAATCATAATAGTCTTTCGCTTATCTTGATTTATGTATGGGCTGTCGCGAAAATTTCATATTTACCAACAAATTTATCTACTAAAATGTAGTATCACACTCTGCGTGTACATTTTGAGGGGACTTTGATTATTCAAAATAATATTACGAACTTTGCCTTTTTCATGATACATGAGTATAGAAAACCTTGATGAAAAGTGAAATACCCTAGCCACATAACATATTCGCAGGATGAGCTGTCGGCCTATTTTGTCTTTAAAGTATATTTTTGAATATAATACTTTGGTAATATAGATTATTAGATGTTTTATGACGTATCACCAATTGCAAAGTACAAATATATTATCGCTTTGTAAGAGGTATCAACAATTCAAACTAACGAAATAAATGTACTGTAACTGTCTTGTAGATTTAATTGATATACAAGCTAGCGGCTTCAACTTTGTACTATGAAATAATACATCGAATAGATATATCAACGATTATCATCTCTATTGTCAAACTTATCAATTTACGATATTAGGGAAGACATTCCTACAGTTTCTAATGACTGAGACGATTAAAGAAACACTCGATGCAAAAATTTGTTTAAAAATTTAAAATTTAACATAATGCGAGCGAATGAAACACGATCTACGTGTACGGAGTCGCGCAAACGGTCGCTCTTTCGCGTCGCTGTTCGCATCGCTGTTCTTCGTGGTCAAACGAAATAGCTGTCGTTTCATATACTTGAAGTATGTGAGTATTTCAACTGTGTCCGAAACAACTATGTACGAAATATGAATGGAATTTTAGAATGGGTCCTCTCATTTGGCAAACCAGCTAAAATATGTTATGAATACATTGTGGCGACGTTTCGCGTATAATGTATACTGTCAAATAAACACTTCAATAAAGACACAGTTAAAATAGAGTAGTTTAAAACGCGGTATATAGTAAGTACTTGTAAATTATTTTCACTAATATATATCGCGTTTTAAACCCGTAAAGTGTTTTATTTAAATGTGTACTACTTGCGTGAACTACAGACAGTATTTAAAGATTTTAATTCGCTTTTTATTTAATAATTGTCGAAAAGTCTTAAGTTCAAGCGCCGGCTATTCGAGTGTCGGTCAGATAGGGCACAAAAAGAAAACTACGTGTATAAACCAATTTCTTAGTGTAATTATTAATTATTAATGTATTCTTCTATAAACACAGTTCAACACAATAACGGAGAGAGATGTAACTTACTTAGTTTTGCTACACATAAGTGTGAAAATCTACAAAATATCTTTATTCTCGATAACAACTTATCCCAGAAATAAGTTGTATCTGCTTTTAATATAAGTTGTACAAACACATTAAACAAAACTGTTTAAAGGGAACTAGAGTAGGAAGGGCGATTAGTTTTTTATTATTATATACTCGTAAACCATTAAAGGCATTTTATTTAATGCATTTTACTAATTTAATTTAAAATAATTATAAAAGTCTGTCTGTCGTAAGAAACTATTCTAAGCTTGAAATTAAACAACTTATTTGACATAAGATAAGCCTTTATTATATACATTGCTTGTTTGTATATGTTACAATTAACCTAGATGCTATTTAGTAGTTCGCCTAGACGACTACCTCCAAATGTCCATGCTGTGTTGTGGTTAATCTTGTCCATACTGACCTGGTCCTGAGAATATTATTTGACATAACCAGCGTTAATTTTCTTTATAACATATTTGTCGTGAAGTGGATGTAATTACACCAATTTCAATATCGTAATGTATCTGTACTTGTGCGATAATGTAATGTAAAAGGCACGTGTTTTTATTTCTTAGCAAAGAGGTTTTATGTCAAAAACTTAATTAACTTTGGGAAATAAATATTACAAATAAATATTTAATTCTTTAATTTAATTAATTTTACATAAAACAATAAATTATAACCATTTATCTATAACAAAAATACAAAAATATTAATTTACTTTATTAGTAATACTGGCTGTTTTTGTACCTTTGCCTAAAAAAAAAACGTTGATGCGCGCGCATCGCTTATTTGTGGACAAGTAAAAATTTTTATAACTGCTTTAACAATTTATTAAAAATTTTATTAATTTCCTCGTAAATATCGTATGACGTATCTCATACGTGCGCTTTGAAAATGACACCTCTGCTTTCTTATAGTAATATCGCCTCGGCTGTAATTCTCAACTTACCGCACTTATATCATAATGTACTATAATCATGTGTTTCTTTCTTGATGAAATTTAATCTTCAAGACTTTCAATAGATTTTGTAACATTTCTATGAAATTTTGACCAGTACAGAAACAATAATGAACGTCAGTGTTATTTACGATGCTTACGTAAACTGTTTCCCAATTTTTCACGAATCCATGGCTCACGGACATAACTGTCGGTGTAAAACGAGTTAAATAAAATGTCGGGACAGTGAAGTGTTTAGCTGCGGATTGATTTAATGCTCTCTTTGAAGGCGGGATTATTACGCCACGACCGGTTTTACTTTGTTGATCCGCCGCACAGATGTCATAAAAATTAGGACCCTATTCTGCTCTTAACAATAGTCTGTGGTTGGTGGTCCGATAGACCATTTGAGATGAGACGAAATATTTAGTTTTTCTCTTGCTCTCATAATACTAACGTCACACGAAACGAAATTGTACAATACCAAAAATATCGAATACTAGCTATGCCAGCTACTTCGTCCGCGTAGAATGTCGTTCTCGCAAGTAAATCTTAAAAGATAGATATATTGTAGCACAATTTTTTTTAGATAATTTAAAGAGAAATCATTATTTCATAGATATTTTTGGGTATCTTCTAGGGTACAGTGTGTTTTAAGTAACCCCATTAAATTTATTTTATTTAAGACTAACTAATGTTGGAATATAACTAGAATTGGGTTGTGCTTAGCTGCCACTTATAAAATTATAGTTACCTGCATCTTTGTAAAATAAGCTCTGTCTCTTATCTCTAGCATCGCTCTGACATGATCCTGTCTCGTAAATTAGCAGAATTGGGACCAATTGGTTACTTTGTAATTTTACGACACTTCAAATGTTATATTTTTTATAAATATTAAACCGTAGCGGTGTTTAATGACCATGTTTCCAGCTGAGACTCTGCCAAACGCGACATAAGCTATTTCTACGGAAAATACATTTGTACGGTAAATTTACCGAATTATAATTTCCGTATTCTCGCTTCCTCTAGTCGAGCGTTACCTTTAATGTAACGTGCAAAACGCCCTTCGCGAACATTCTTGGCACCTCACATTTCTACATGACTTGTTGACAAAATATTAATGCTATAATATTTTATAACTGTATTATTAGTTTCGTTAAAACCTTGTAAATCACGGCTTAGATATGCGCCGCAAAATTCTTGGCATTCGAACGATTTGAGATTGCAATAGTATGTAGTAAAATTCCATTTCCCCTGCGTGGGGCATGGGACATTTCTATTTCATATAATAATAATAATAAGCTCCTCGCCTAAAACATTGCATAAATGAGCAACAAATGCGGTTCCGAAATAATTATTGTTTACTCGTAAGTTGTCTCACTTCGAAACAATAAACTGCCTTAAAATGTAGGAGTATACAAAGTTTATATTTTATCAGTGTTTTCAGTTTTTACACAATGCACTGATCAATACATAATAATATTATTTTTTGATAAAGCATAGGGACCGTCTGATAACACTCTACAATTGATAAAAATTGTACACTTGCCACTTGATTCGCGTTTCCGTACCGGAATCGTATTGTTTATGTTTTCCAATATTAAATTATGAGCTCAATAAAAGTGTTCTTGACATCTGATGAAGGTTCTGTGTTGCAGCAGGAAGATGATAAGAAAAAGAAAAAGGAGCCAGTCGACGAACGACCTACTGTGCCCGCACCTAGTGAAGCAATGCTCAAAAGTGAGTATCAATTTTTAGTATTCCAATGCTACTACCACTAATACGCGATATATAGTGATAAAGTTGTTTTTACGGCCAAACGGAACGTCAGACCGTAGTTCAATTAAAAGTAAGTTAACTTATATATTTTCCGTTTTAAACTGTTAAAAGTGTGTTATTTAAGTGTTAAGAGTGGACAGTGAGTTGTGTAAATTATCAGTTAAACTAAACAATTACGCTTAAAGTTCAATGACTCAATATAGTAGGAAATGTACTCAAATTATTATTAGGTAATAGAAATTACGAAATAACATAAACTAACCTTCGCTCAGATTGTAGAACCCAACGGTCGTTAGGTATTTTTCATCTATCAAAATAAGTCAAAATGTATAAGCGTTAAAAATGATCAAACACACAAAGTTTAGTTCGTATCGGTTTTAATAAGTAAATAAAGAACCTGGCTCAGTGTTGTGATCCACTGCATTGCGTTTATCACAAAGGTCTCAATCCAATTTTCGAAGGGACATGATATTTTGTTTGGATAAAGTTTATAAGGCTTACCTGTTTGCTTACCTCATTTGATAGAATCCTACTCAAAACTAGCCTTCACCGCAATTGAGCTACCGGCTCGTGTCAGTAAAAGCAATAACTTAACAACACACGCTATGTCCAGAAAGTCGTGGCTGTAGATTCGAATCCTATATAATACCAATTTTATTTTTCCGTTTGTGGTATTTTTAAAGCTACAATTGTATATATACTTTGTGTGTGTTCAGATAAAGAGCAATATAAGTAAATAATAATCCTGGTACATAATTGGATTAATAAATTCTCGAAACATAATCATATTGTATTGTCTGCATTTACACAAGTAGATAGTTTAAATAAAACACTTTAACGGTTTAAAACGCGATATATTAGTTTAACTTATTTGAAATTGATTTTTAACTTCGGCCCGACGTCTCGGATGCTTTGCAGCAGCCGTGGTCACGGGGAGAAACGTCGGGCTGAAGTTGAAAATCATTGTCAAATAAGTTTAACTAATATATCGCGTTTTAAACCGTTAAAGTGTTTTATTTAAATGTGTACTACTCGCGTAAACTATAGACAGTATTCAAGTAGATGGTTTTTAATAAATGACATTTTAATAAAACCATTTTAACTGTTTAAAACACAAAACACATTAGTTAACTTATTTGTACGACCGAACGGAACGTCAGACCGAAGTTAAATTAAATTAACAGTAGGTACGTGATATACCTTACCTAAATTTAATTGAAAGTAAGTTAAGTTATATATTTCGCGTTTTAAACCTTTATCTTGACTAACAGTTGTTCAATTTTCATAAGATTAAGGAACAACATGTGTCTACTTCAAGTTGTAAGATTGTTACACCATTACACAACAAATGAAAATAATAATTACTTATTTACCTTGAAAATGATATACGCAGATAAGATAAATGATGATTTCATCATGTAAACGTATTTTTAAAATGTATTCATTATGGCATTAAACTTGAGACTTGTCTGAGAGAGCAAACTAATTTAATACAAATAATTAAAATCAATGATATTCTATACAATTGTTTTATATTCGGTAGCTCAGTTGGTAGAGCAACAGCACGGATCGCTGATGATGCCAGTTCAAATCCTCCCCGAGTCAACAATTGTTTCAACATATTTTCGATTTTTAAATTAAGTATAATATTAAACTTACCATAATGTACAGATTACATTTTCCAAATTGTATCGCTTGTAAGAAACTAAATTTTGAGGTTTGCAATAAGGAGGAATTTTATCTGTGTTTGCAGAAACGTTAATAAGTTTACGGTGACTTACGATCTCATCAAGCTGATAAGAGATAAGGAGATTTTATGGTACTTTATTTATGTCCTATAAAATCAAATCACGTCATAATAATTGGTGAATATAAAGTTTAAAAAACAAAAGAGTTTTCTGTGTTTGACAAACAACTTATCAATATTTCGATACATGAAAAAAGTGAAAGTTAGGAAAAGTTTTTGACATTTGAAATTAAAAAAGATTTTTAAATAAAACACTTTAACGGTTTAAAACACGATATATTAGTTCGGGCCCGATGTTTCGGATGCTTTGCAGCAGTCTCCCCGTGACCACGGATGCTGCAAAGCATCTGTGGTTTGAAATTATTTTTAACTTCGGCCCGACGTTTCGGATGCTTTTTTTGCAGCAGCCGTGGTCACGGGGAGACTACACACAAGTTAAATGGGTTGTAGATATCGAAGGTACCGGTAACGAACAACCGTCCACAGATGAAAAACCGTATAATTTTTTTTTATTTTTTCATAAAGAAATCACAACATTAAATTATAAGATGTAAGTCGCAGAATGAAGGCGCAGAAGAGTACGAATCTATTTCACGTCGTATTTAATTATACATTTGCGATATTTTCGTGAAAGCAATAAACTTCCGGGAATAATACCGAACTTTACTGGTCATTACAAATACGTGGCGGAGCATTTGGCGAGGAGAGAATTACCAGCGCTGATTAATGGCGTAGAATAAAACTTTAATGCTAGAATACAATAATTGGGTATCCCGGAGAAAATACTTTACAAATAAAAACATCATAAATCCGTTGGATTTTTAAATAAACTAGCTTATTTTAATTATAATTTATGTTTGAATAACGAAATTCTGTCGATTTATGAACCACTCACTCGCCACGTTACCCAGGACGTCGTTGTTCTTGAAGGATATAGATAAATTGTTGTAAGCATTTGTTTAGATTATTTAAAAGATCTTTCATGCTAATTTGATGGTTCTTGAACCATCAAATGCAGCGCACGCAACAAAAGTCCCATAGGGAATAATTTTCCCCGTTTTTTACACACTATCCACTTTATCTTCCCTCCTATTTGTCTCAGTGTGACGTTATATATTCTTAAGCCTCAAATGGTCTATTCAACTTAAAAATATTGTTTCTATTAAAACTAGAAGTTCCAAATAGCAACCTCATAAACTTTATAATATTAGTATAGACTTGACCAGGCCAGATGGAAAAGCTGTGAAATGTAATTTCGCGATTCAGTTTCAGTCTCGGGCTATATATATGATATAGGGCTGCGTTGTTTCACATTCCATCAAGTATATCCATTACTTGTTCTTCTTCATTAAATTAACCATTATATGTTCAGTTCTTAGAACACGTTAACCATTTATACCTTCTTAAGTGCTTTTTTTTAAACTGTAGCTGAGTACTTTTGGTACCGCCGTTTCCTAGAGTAGAGGTGTTTGAATCCAGAGGAAACATGCTAAAGAATTATAAATCACCTACGAGCGACACAAGGACAATAAAGCAAAATGTATGTCACGTTATCATACGACAACTGGATTTGAAACTTCAAATTTCGTTGCTGACTGTACAGTCAAATGTCTTACTGTGTACGGATGTCGTTCGTGAATTTTTATGGTTACCGCTACATTTTCCTTACGAGCTCCAAAAAATATAGCTTTAAATGTTATTCATATACTTAGGGACTCATACATATATTCTACGAATGATAATACTATACTTTTAATATATAGCCGTGCGCCTAATTATAATGACAAAAATCTCATTACTTATTTGTAAATAAATCGATCGAATGCGTGAAACTGAACCCTTGGAACCACGTTCATGCATTTACATGCATGCATGCAACTGGATCTCCTTTGTGTAACTCGGTTTACAATACATGAATGCTATCGGTTCATTATGACTATTTAATTTTATTATATACTATGTTATTTATCTTCTAAACTTCACTCTTCTAACATACCCCGGCCAGTCTGAAAACCAGCGTTGCTAAGTGTGAGTGAGAGCTACTCGCCACAACGGCTGACACTGTTACCTATTGACTTTTATTATCTCTTTATCATTGTATTACGGATTCTGTAATTTAATAATTAAAATATATTGTTAAAACTGTATAAAAAGGCAATAAAATTTGTTAAAATACACAGAAAACGTAACTTAAAATAATGCGACGCTTTTAAACGCGTTAAAAAGCGATTTAAATAATAATGCTACATCGATGTTGACATATGAAAAATTCGTACGAAGTGAAAAACCTAACAACAAAAGATAAGAAGACGAAATACCTTCGCCACAACTATACGCCCATAATCTTGAGTCAATATTGTCTGATACGTTATAAGACGTGATGAAGCCTCTCATTTTCATAAAAACATCATCATAATGTCTTGAGGATCTGATAGTGTTACATATTTTTAAGTTGGAAATCGTGTATTAATTATGTCTGGTAAAAAAGATAACGATTTTTGTAAGTATTACCTGAAATTACGATTAACGTTTAATAATACAAGAATATAGAATATCACGAAAGATTGTCAAAGTGAAATCAGTAATTTTTATATAAAAATAGATGGAATTGCGTTAATTGTTGCATATGTAAAGTAAAGGAGAGTTTAATTTTCTCGACAAAAAAATGGCGGGAAAATGCTTGATTCTGCATTGTTATTAACTTTGATATATAATACATTGTTTGAGACATTAGGTGTATTGATTTTTTTTCATACTCTATAAGTTAAATTCCGTTTCTCCTAGGTTGAGAACAAGACAAACATATTTTTGTTTCTGTTTTACAGTTGGATAGACTATACAACTACATAAGCATATTAAAATCAAGCCAATCACATTTGCCCTGTGGCAATCCCCTATTTATTGTGTATTTTGTTTCACTAGGCGTACAATAATTACACCCACTCACTAATAAAAGCAATCAAGTTTCCATTGAAATTCAGTCATCAATTCACTACGAAGGTCATAAGGAAAACTTATAGTTATACAAAGATTTATATCATTAAACTAATTTGCGGAATTGCTGTTACTTGAAAAGCATTTTAACTGTAAACAGAAGTTAGCTTTCATAATTCTAACCGTGTTCGTAAGTATTACTCACACATTGAAACCTAATGTCGGTATGTAAGTTCGACTCTAGTCGTTATTAAAATCAATGTATACGCGAGTAGTACACATTTAAATAAAACACTTTAACGGTTTAAAACGCGATATATTAGTTAAACTTATTTGGAAATGATTTTTAACTTCGGCCCGACGTTTCGGATGCTTTGCAGCAGCCGTGGTCACGGGGAGACTATCATTTCCAAATAAGTTTAACTAATATATCGCGTTTTAAACCGTTAATGTGTTTTATTAAAATCAATGTATACGTGTATTTTCTTAGAAACATCTTTTGAAATTTTTTCTTAGTAAATGGTAGAAATGCCGAATTTTTTTTTGGGTTTTCATACCATCGCCTACAGAAGGAACAGCCATAGAATGTAATATAGTAGCGCGGTTCGTTTTTCTTCCATGTTCCAAAGCTGCTAAAACTAATATTCCACTGACATATTTCACCTTTAATCAAATTAGACCTATGTTTGTCTCTGTCTTCTATGAAAATCTTTCTCTGCACCCCTGTATGATAAGCATGTTATGATGTTTCCAATGCTTTACAACTGCTGCAATAAACATAGTTAAATAATGCAGCACAATAGCGGGTTGTAGTTAAAACAAATATATTGTACTTTCGTAAAATCAAAAACAAGATAGGTTATCATAATTCTTCCTTAGAGAACACAAGTCTTACTAACGTATTGCGTCCTTGCTTAGCGATTGTGTATATTTTGTACTAGCTGTGTCGACTTCGTCCGAGAATCGTTATTTTGAGCCTCCAAATTCATATTTGCAAACTTCTCCATCGTTGAAGTCGGTCCTTTCCCATCGTTTTTGCAAGATAATCTAAAAAAATTACATATGCGTTCCGGATTTTCTTTAGATCATTTAATGAGGAAGCATTCTTTTCTGATTTTTAGGTATCATGAACTTTTTTGTAGCGAACGCCTCGGAAACCCATAATGATGAATAATTTTCCCAATTTTTGACATTTTTGCTTGCCATATCTTGGCTTGTATTAGTCGCAGTGCGATGTTTTATAGCCTTTCTCGATAAATGTTCTAACCAACACAAAATGATTTTTTCAATTCGAACCCGTAGTTTCTGAGATTAGCGCATTCAAACATACAAACAAACTCTTCAGCTTCATATACATCTATACTAAATGTATTTTTTTTCAGATCTCCGGACGGCTTTCGGTCTTCTGGACCGGGATAGCGACGGACACGTGACACCAGCCGAACTTCAGTATATGCTTCAAAAACTAGGCATTGAGGTCAGCGACGACCTAATATCAGAACTTATTAAGGACGCTAGTAAAAATGGTAAGAACTTAGGGCATATAATATTTTGCCTAATATATATATATATAATATTTAAGGGTTCTGTCTGTAGTTTAGGCGCGTAGTACATATTCAAATAAAAAACATTAACGGTTTATATTTCGAATGTTTCTCGTTTCGGATCTCCCCGTGACCATGGCTGCTGTGTGGTCCGAAACGTCAGGCCATAGTTCAAGTAATTTTAACACGATTATTATTATTTTTTTAATATATCGTGTTTTAAACCGTTAAAGGGTTTTTTATTTCAATATGCATGAGTCATCAGAACTTTGATAGATCTATCGAATCGTAAATTTTCAGTAATTAAGTTAAATGGTTGTTCTTGTTTGGACGCCGATAATGAAAAGGAAATGCCTCAAAGAGACAAAACATTTTTACTTCTACATTACACTACTTACAGTCTTATAGATATATTATACCTATAATATTGTTATATGAATTAAGCAAAAAAAACCTATCCTACTAATTAAAAACGTGAAAGTTTGTATGTGTGGATGGATGTTTGTTACTCTTTCACACAAACACTACTAAATGGATTTCAATTAAACTTTTTAATAGCTTATACATCAGAATAACACATAGGCTACAATTTATAAAGATATTGTGTGAAAGTAGGAAAAGACCTACCTTACATAATATATTTATGTCATAATGTTAGTTCTTTTCTACGCCACGCTAATATAAACAATTCCAAATACTAATCCTGCGTAGACGAAGCCGCGGGCACCAGCTAGTATTTAATGAATTATAGATTTTTCATGAAAGATGAGGATAGACAGCAGACACTAGATGATAGGTGAAAATACATCAGCCTACAACATGTAAACAACATGCTCTGTCTATTTTGAGTCTCACCCATGGGTAAAGTTACTTTTAAAATAAGGCATTTTAAATAAGGTTCATTATAGTTTACAAACAGTAATTATTACAACGCTAAGAAAATTAGTTTTCGCCTTAATCCATTGTTTGAGGGCTTTCAAGCCCTCTGCCATAGCTATACTTGTGCCTCATAGCTATACTTCTTTTGGTCTACCTATTATCGATAATTTATCGACAACCGATGAGCCACTAGCCAAAATCTGATTACGGTTTAAAATAAATGTCCTTGCTAAAGTTCCCAGCGTCGCCCACTTTGCACTTCGAATTGAAGTCTTGCCAAAAATGACTACGGTGGCTTGTTACTTTTTATTCATATAAAGATAAAATAGGTCATTGGTGCTTTTGTGAAATTTGCGACGCAAACGGTTATTTATTTCCGTTTTAAGTTTCAAAGTAAAAGCAAATACTTGATAAGTAACTAACTACATGTGCTAAAACCTAAAATGTAAATTTTCTTCTTATACGTTTCGTTTTTAAAATATTCACAAAACAAAATTAGGAAACTAATGACGCATCAAAAAACACATATATTTCACGTTTTAAACCGTTAGAAGTGTTGGGATATGCTGTCCTGTGTGTTGTTGAAATTGTGATAAGACTAGTTAAACTTTAGTTAGTCAAAGTCAAAGTCAAAATATATTTTCACGTAAGTTTCACCAGTTAAAACTGATTGATGATAAGAATTGGCAAGAAACTCGCCGCTTGCCGAGTTAATAAGCATTTTTTTTATCGTAGCTAAAATAAATGCGTCCTTTTAATAACAAAGAAACGAGTCAATAAATGTATTGGTCCCATCGAATGGGGTCACCGTAATGGCGTGCAGGTGTGGGTTGTTGGCTTCCGGTGTTCACGGCCTTGCAAGGCTACCTTTAACTGTGACCCTGTTACCTCAACCTATCTACCTGCATATCAATACAGAATATGCTCTCCGGTGATTAGATAAGGATTTAGTAAACAAGGTTTGCGGCAAATATATGATAAAACATTATTTAAATAAAACACTTTAACGGTTTAAAACGCTATATATTAGTTTAACTTATTTGAAAATGATTTTTAACTTTGGCCCGGCGTGTCGGATGCTTTGCAGCAGCCGTGGTCACGGGGAGACCTTATACATATTTGTAGTATTTTAATCTTATGTGAAAAAGTTGCCGATACCATTCTTTTGTAAATTACATTTTTTATACATGTTTTCGTAAGTACACATTTAAAAAAAGCCGTAGTCATGGCGACCCCTTAACTCTCTAACTAGGTCCCGACGTTCCGGATGCTTTACGTGACGAACGCGTCAAGTTGTGATTACAAATAAATTAAACTAACACGTTTCGCATTTTACAGCGTTACTAGTGTTTTAAAACCACAATTAGAGAAGGATGTTTTCAGTCCTATTTACTAATACTTATAACGGTTTAAAACGCACGTGTTTTGCAAAGAGTGCTTTTTATCAAGAAATTAATTCACCATGTCCGTTCCAGTATAAACTGTAACCTTATTTAGTATCGAAACAAAACGTATTACAAAAAAATATCAAGTTGAAGAATAACTATTTTTTTATTAGAATTAACTCATTTAAATTAAACATATCCTACGTTAGTATGTATATACCAACTCATATGAACGCGAAAGAATTTAAAGCTATATAACTCTATAAGAGGATATAATAAATCACTAGATTAGCAAGTTAGTCACTCTACCATGAAAACACCATGAATTTACTGTGCGAGACTACGTCAATGTAATCAAGGCATTGATCTCCTACAAGTTCGTGGAAAGCACCCCAACAGTGGATAAAAATACATTGTTGTAACACGCAAAGACTGACCAATAACCAGTAATCACCTTTATCTTACATCAATGCTATGACCTACTTACATCAAAATAATCACACACATCACAGAAGGGCTTCCTTCATAGTTTAAAGTGTGGGTAGTGTTAAATAGTAACATAGTATAAAAATAATTACAATATATTTCATAGGAAATACCTCTGTCTGTAGTTTACGCCAATAGCACACATTTAAATACCTACTTATAACGGTTTAAAACGAGAAAAGTATTCATGAAATTTATAAATTATTTTGACTATAGCCCGACGTTTCGGATGTATTGCAGCTATAGTCACGGGGAGAAATGTTTTATTTAAATATGTTATGTAAATAAAATAAAAATAAATACACAAAAAAACTTATTACTATCTTAAATTTAATAGAAATGTTACTTATAAAATTATTAAGGCTAAGAAAAATATTTAACAGCTAAATAAATCAAGAATTTTTTTTTTTAAGTTCATAAGTAAAAAACGTTTATATACATCGCATATTGTCTGGTTTTAAGAACTATTATCATGCTATATACAATTCCTTTCGAGCCCCAGAAATTTTTATACATTTTACCCGTAGATTGTTTGTAAAATATTATCACTAGCTAAAGAAATCGACTTGCTTTGACGATTTGGATTTACAATTTGTATTCGATTCCTAGGTGCTCGGATGTTTTTAAATAAATTTTCTTAACATTGATTGGTTTATAATCCCTTCATAATAACGTAAAATGTAGGTACTTTCCATCGCGAATAAATATAAGGGCTGTCGATAAATGAATATGTATGTTTGTTTTTAGTGCAAATTATAACCGGGATTAAAATTGTTAATTTTAATTTCTAGGAAACGGTTTAATAGACGAGAATGATTTTATGCAGTGGGTGACAAAAATACAGGCGATACAAGGCTTAGACGTCAGCTCGAGTGGAGGTGATTCTGAGGAGGAGATCACGAGGGATCTTTTAGCGGCGTTTAAGTAAGTCCTAGAGACGTTTTACAAATAATATGATAGCTTGACAAAAAATTTAAACAAAATTAAATTTTGCCTTTGGCGGGACTCGAACCTACAACTGTTGCTCTAGCAATTAAAGAAAAATATTTTAAAACCCCTAAAAATATGATCAAGAAAATTACTTGTTTTCTTAATCGAATCCAAAACTACTGAACAGCTTTAAACAGTTTATAAATTAAAAATCGATTATAATTTATAACGAACCGGAATCCACAGCGTTCCGTGTTGTTGCTCTAAAGCTGTGACTGTCGTATTTTTTTTAAAACTCATAATAGATTTTGCATTTTAAAACGCTTTATATACGTGCATTTCAAAAAATAATTTTAAATTTTCAGGGTTTTCGATCGCGACGACAACGGGTATATAACACGAGACGAGTTAAGGACAGCACTGGAGATGATCGGGGAGCCAGTGACAGACGCCCAGCTTAACCAAGTTTTGGCGTTGGGCGATATTGACCACGACGGACGGATCGATTACGAGGGTGCGTTACGTCATAATGATTTAATTAGAGAAAGGGGCGAGAAATTATTTGTCACAGGACGCCAGTAAGACTTGAATATCAATCATCTATGTTATTGAGTAATTTTACAAAGAATTCTACAACTCTAGGACCCGATCCCCTTTTAAAGAGACAATACTGAATTATTGAAATAAAACCCTTAACGGTTTAAAACGCTAATTAAAAAAAAATATTTATTTATTATTTGTTTATTTATTGTACTTAATATTAATTAATTATACAAACTATAGCTACTACTTTGATACCTTTGATTTGGAACCTGCCTATCACAACACCCAAACCAATTTAACCCCCCCCCCTCCACACACAGATTTGGGCAGTGTTTAATAATTAACTCATTAAACCAATATATAATTCAAATCAATAAATAAATATATAACATTTTACGTTTAATCATCAAAGCCTATTATTTAAACTTTTCTGTAATTAAAATTAATTTATTTTGTGACGGCATATTTTTTATTATAGTATTTTGTTGTTTACTATAAAACTTATAATGTGTGTGGTAATTTTTTCCAGAATTCGTGAAGATGCTGTTGTAGCCCGTAGTTACGCCTGAAGTAAAAGACCTCACTAGATTAAGGTAGCTCCTATATAAGTATGCCTAACTGTTGACCCCCAGCAAAAAACAACGTATTTTTAAGACAATATTTTTGCGATATTTTTGATAAGAAATATAGGCGTTGGCTGAATATTGCCGAGTTAAAATACGACATATTAAATACAGTCTACGTTTATTGGCGTCTTCCATTAAAAAAATTAATTTGTGCTTCCGTTGGTTTCAATCTGTCTAAATTCTCTTCTATGAGTTACTAATATCGAGATTAGCACCCAGTATTTGTTCTACCTATATTGAAATTATATGAGGCCGCTAGAGGAAGAGCCATAAAATTGCAATTTTATGGCTTGACTTCATATTTTCATAGTTTAAAAAAGTTAATCTACAAGACCACAACGACCTAAAATTGTTAACATAATTCTATCACAAGTACTTTTGTTTAGTTAATTACGCATCTATTCCTCCTTATTGAAAATCATGTTTTTTGTTATTAGGCCACTCTGCTTCTAGCAGCCTCATATGTATTATTTTGTGTGTATACTTCTTGTAGATAGGCATATCATATAAGTTAGGTAAGATAAAAATTATTTAGATGTAGGGACGCTGAAAGCTGAAGCTTATTAATTTTTCAGGACACTGTATTCAAAGTTATTTGCAGCTGTATGTAGATAAAATAAAAAATCTGTACTTGCTGTTTTCAATCATTATTTTACATTAGTTTATGCTTTCAGCAGTGGCGTAGCTAGATGCACAAGGGCCCCGGTCTGCCCAATCCTAAGGCTCGAGAAAGAATGGAGTCCCCATCTTCTCTTTTAGCATAGCCTGAATTAAATGAACCTCCAAAATTATAAATAGAAACAAAAACGTTTTCTACGCTTATTTTTATCGTCGCGTATACCTATCGTAAAGATAAGGTGAGAGGGGCCCTGGTGAACTGCACTATCTGGCCCTATGATAGCTACGCCACTGCCTTGCAGAATTGTTTTTGTAGAGCCTTTTATTGTATCTACATACCTAATATTTTACCAATGAGTTATGTCCTACGTGTCTTCATTTTACATACGACAGCTTATTAAATATTTACATTGTAATATTATGGTTGTGAAAGTTATTTAACCAGGAAATTGTACATATTGAATACCTAGGAGTTAGGTACGACATTGTGTTATCGCGTAATTATAGAACCGATACAGAAAGACAATTTTGCTATCGACGTATAAATAAATGTATACTAATTTGTATTTTATTACATTGAAATTCATAAAATATGCTTCTAAACTACTTGTTCGACGTTTTACATGAGTTTTAATAGTCTTTAGTTAAGTTAATCAATTGCAAGAACGTATTATGTTACTATTGAATTCGAGCTTTATAAAAATTTCACGTTAATTTATTTACAATATTAACATCTTATTTCTAGTTTAACAATCGTTTCCTATGAGTAATTTTGTGATTGTATATTTGCCTTTGAAAGGCTTGTGATGTGAATTATAAGTGATGAAATAAAACATATTGATTTGTTACTTGTGAATTTTGTTTAATGAAAAATACCCTTTAAATTGTGTTAATAAGGAAAAAGTTTCAGTGGCAAATTAATCGACTCCTGACAAAAATTTACCGACAAAATCGCACGGTTTCGGCTCGGCTGTTGGTTTCCAGTTATGCATCAGGTGTCCTTTTTGCTGCCAATTATGGGTAATCTCTTTCAAGTTCATGTAACCCTAGTAATATCCACATATTTAAAGATTCCGCACTTTAAATATAAGGGGATAAGTAAACATTGCCTAGTTAATGTTTGGTGCAAAACATGAACCTAAGCAGTATAAAGAATTTAAAATATATATACTGGCAGGCATCTCTCTTATTTGCTTTTATTATCTTGTAAAAATGGAAAATAAATTGAAAAAAATTTCGACTCGGGCAGGACTTGAACCGGCATCGTCAGCGTTCCGTGCTGTTTCTCTACAAATTGAGCTACAATTGTCAATGTCGAATTTTTCTGAATAAAAATAAATTCCTACATCTAATTACATAGAAGTATGTTGGGATCAGAAGATCCTTTTGACTTTACATACTAGTGTGTAATTGTAAGCCAGAAACATGATATTATATACCTTGATAACTAACATATCAATAACTCTAATATCAGTTACACAGGCATTCTTGTAAAATTGTTCTCGAAGTTTCCAGCGGCAGTCCTCCTCACTTTTAGGTATATCAAACTGTCTAACTAAAATAAAAACAATACAACCGATTATATGTTCAGAATAAAAAAGTCACATTGCACAGGTAAGATTATAATATTACGTGATTACTTACTATTTACAAAAAGTGATATTATGTAATAAGGTTTTCAGGCTACATTTTTTTTGTTATTTAGCCTGTAAACCTAAAAAGCCCAGTAAAAACTTTATAAAAATTATTATAAATAGTTATGTAAACTTTATCAATAACCAGCCTATTTTCCCCCAATATTCTCAGTTTCTGTTATTTATCCTGTATCATTACTACTTATATAATGTGAAATAAATTTTTTATCCACTTACTCAAGTAAGGGATATAACGGTAATAGGCCTTATACAATCCAACCACTCGCGTATGAGCTTCGCAGTAATTAGTGGAAAGGAGAGGTTTCACTACTTTACATCCGGTTACTCTTGAAGCCATTACTAAATGAGAAGCTGCTAATTTATTTGGAAATGTTTATCCATAGAAATTTTATGTCAGTAGATTCTGACAGACTTCAATATTTAAAAGAAAAAGTGATGATATAAACTTTTTGTAATAAACCGCAATTATTTGTAAGCCAAATTTCATTTATATAACTTATAAATCACGTGTACTTATATTGCTATTATTTGAATTAAAAATTGTCCAACAAACAATTAAATAACTCTATTGAAGAAAAACATTTAACAAGGTTTATTATAAAATAAATCTTGTAAAGAATAAACCCTTATTCAGGTAATTATGTTATGCTATATTTGAACTATTTCATTCTATGTACATTGGCTTATTCTAATCCGGAGAAAAATTTGGACAAGAAATCCTTCGGTTTGGGCTCTTCTGTAGGTTTAAAGTATGTCATGATATGACCTTTTTGCTTCCAAATGTTAATTACTTCTTTAAGTTCCATTTGTCCCTGAAAATACAGAAATTGACAAAACAAAAACTCATGTCAAAATCCTGTGTACTTCTATGTTCTGCAACCTCTCATAATATCATTAGTGAACTGTATAACAAAACAGACTCTGATCTTGTCCAATCACCTTTAAAATTGTTCTACAAATTATGAAATACAGTACCTTGATAACAAGCAAATCAATAACTCTGACATCAGTAACATCCTTGTTCTTAACAAAATATTCCCTTAGTTTGGCGCGACACTGTTCCTCACTTTTTGGTATATCATAATCCTTTACTGAAAGAATTTAGACAAGATAAAATACTTCATCATAGGTGATATAAAGCAATATTGTGATGACATAACCATGGACCAGACCTATGTAAGGGATTTGACGATACCAAGCTTTGTATAGGCTGAGTACTCTAGACCTAGCCTCTGAGGAGTCTAAAGAGAGTACAGGCCTTACGGTCTTGGTACCGACTTGAATAGCTTGTCTCGCAGCCATTTCTTCTTACGAAAAATATTAAATAACTTTGCTTATATTTTTAACATCGCAATTCGTAGCATTAATACGATGACATTTGGCATTTGACAGTGTACAACATGGGTACATTTTAAACGTCAATGTCAGAGAACAGTGACTTCGATTAATATAAAATACAGTAGTTCAATTTTAATATAATAAATTAATAAAAAATATTTTTCAAAAACTTACGATATGTTTTTTTCGGATACGTATGAAAAGTGTGTCTATGACATCCCTCTGTGTTCAAATTATCTATTAATGCTGATTTCCCGCCATTTTTAAAGTAACACATTTTTGTCGTTTAATGAGAATAATCAATTAATCAGTATTTTTAATAAGTCGGTTGATTAAGAGTATATACGATTATTTACTAGCTATCATAAGGATGTAATTCGATATGATTATATAGCATTGTAACGTGAGTACAAATGAGATAAGGGCTAAAACACAAACTAGGTATGTACCTACTACACGTTAAACAAACACATATTGTAACGACTAATATCTTTATTTTTCACTTTCGTCTTAATTGCAGAATAAAATCTCTATATGTTACGAAGCCACAATACAATGATAATATCAAAAACAAGCCGTACTTAATTACAAAAACATGGTGACAATACACCCACATTATATTCCACGACATAAATAATACAATGTTATTTAACACACATTGACATATCAACTCGTGAATGTACGTACAATCAATGCGACAATACAATAACAAGGCACCAATTTATTAGCTAGTAATATCTCAATCAAGCCTAATTCCCTAATGGGCACGTTTTTGCACCATACTTAGGCGTAAGCTCCGAACTGTAGGGGTTTATCAAAAATGTGTCTTTCATTCTTCCAGGCATGTATGTGAAGAAAATGTCACTGAAATTTAATGTATAATCAGATCACTTATGTGCTACGAGACGAGAGCATGTAGAGTACCTTGAATGAGTTTTTGGACATGCTCTTTTTTGCGTAAATATTTGTTTATAACCCATTGAATAAATAAATATATTAATTTGTGTTTTTTTTTAAACAATGCGAACTTACAGAAACGCTTTACTGGGATATGTGTCGTATTTCGTGGTGGTCCACCAAAGCCTTGTTTGCGTCAACTGATTTAGCCTGTTTCTTGTCACGAAATCGTCTAAGAGGATTTTGAACTAAAATATAATGTTACAGGTTAATAGTGTTAACATTATTTCACCTCCTTCCCTCTTTCGTTTATAGTTAAAATGTGTTGCTCCTCTTTCTTACCAGAATGCTGATTCCGGTAGGTGAGGTCCTGGAGTTGATTCTCGGGGACATAATAAATAGTTTCAGTGGACTGAAGTCCAATAAATTGAATGGATGAGTTAGACGGACTCAGCTGTGTTCTCCACATGCCCCAATAGGGGGAAACGTTATTGCAGTTTAGATTAACACGTCTTTATGTCACTAAGTAAATAAATACTTCAAGGTTTTACTAAGTTCGGTCCAAACTTACTAATTTTTGTACAAGATGTCTATGTGACCAATTCATATGTTCCAGTTGTTTCAATGTGAATGGTATTCGATAAGCGATGGCTCTAAAATCAACGTGTTTTAAATCGAGCCATCTGCGTTGCGACTGCAGGATTAATCTCTCTAAAAATAATAATAAGTATCGTTACACAATTAAATTAAAAAATTTTACAACTAATGTTACATCAAATACTGTCTATAGCTTACGCGAGTAGTACAAATTTAAATAAAACACTTTAAAACGCGATATATTTTAGTTAACTAAAATATATCGCGTTTATATCATCCGTTTCCCTTTTGACCACCTCTGTAGGCAAATAGTTAAACCACATTGCCCAGCATTGGTTTAAACGCGAGAGGTCTTGGATTCGAATCCCGGGCAAACAATAATGTTGCATAGAAGGTGGGATCAACTACTTATCTGTAAAAGAAGATATCAGTGACACGGTCACAGTAATGTGTTCGCAAAACATATTTCTGCGTCATCGAGAAATCCGAATTTTACTTGTGTCTCTCTTTTACGTTCTGTTGAACCTCTTCTATTTCTATCGCATATAGAATATTCTAGCGCTGAAGTTTCAATGTGTACATACTATGTTCTTCGGGAGAAATTTTCCCTTTGACTCTCTTTCGCACCCATTCCAAAAGATTGTTCAGAAGGTTTGCTTTTGGTAAATGTGGAATTAAAAGCGGCGTGTCGGATAAATCCGCTAAGAATGCCTAAAAAGAGAATGAAATATTTATATTAGAAAATGAAATTGTTTCAAATTCAAAGATATACATACTTCTAGTAGATCCTGTAGCTTTAAACCTGAAGGTGATATTGTGGGCATTGATGGCTCGGGCTAGAAGAATATAGATTAATTATGAAACAAGAAAACTGAGATTGTTTAACAAAGCACAAGACTTTAGTGCACAACACTGTCTCCTAAAAACTTCTATGGTGCAGTCCAGCTATTGGTCTAGCTGTAGTTTGCTAAAATATTGGTAAGGGTAATCTGCGAAAGTGTAAGCATTTTTCGACAATTTCCTTTTCCATATTGTCTATACAATGTAGCCACACGTAAAAAGAGATAAGTGATTTTTAGAGCGAAACAAATTCTTTAGATTTATCACTCTAGATAGAAATTATTTTAAGTAGTTTTCGAGAGCAGTACAAATTTAATTAAAACACTTTTGGTTGTAAGCGCGATATATATTGGTTAATTTTTTTCCACTTTGCTTCGCAGCGGGCCGGGATCATATTGTGTCAGTGACACATCGCGAATAAAGTTAATATCAAACCGTCAAGTGTTTCATTTAGAAATTATTGTACATAATTAGCTCGTAAAACAGTATAGTATACCGTCGGATCGGTAGACATAAGTGCATCTTTAACAGTGTCCCGTATAAAATCCTCCATAGGATCCAGCTGATATATTTTCGCCTGGTCAAACCACAGTTTGCCATGTCTCGTAGGGGGGTAGAAGAACTTCTCTTTCGTCTTGCCTTGGTTTTTAAAATCGTAGAGATGTCCACACTTACACTTCGATGTTTTCAAATACTCCATGACCGAGTCGTCCCTATAAAAACATTTGCTATCACAAAGTAAAGAGAGACAGTGTGAGACAGAGAGTGATTATATTATTTATATACGATATAAAAAACATTTTAAAACTGTTTTTTTATAATTAATTTTCATGAATACTTGTAACAATTACGTTAAAAGACCTACATTATGACTTGAGTTACTAATATTTTCTTAAAATATTAATTTAGGTACAATTTGTTAATTCTTACACAAATAATAGTACAAATTCATTTCCGCCTAAGGTTTATTTTCCTCCTTACTGAAAATCATGTTTTTTTTTATTAGGCAACTCTGGGTCTAGTGACCTCATATTTACTTAAATATATAAGAATAGGTACTTACCTATTCTTATGTAGAATATTGTGATGAAAACTTAGTACTCATTTTACTTAGACTAGATACAACAGTCAGAACCTATACAAAGCGTACCATTTTTCCAAGCAGTCACATGTCTCGTCACACTTTTCCACGAACAGCCGAGGATATTTCCAAAAGCCAATTATGGTGATAACTTGTTCGCCCTTCATAGTCACGATTCCAGCGTTTATTGGTATATAGCCAGTTGGAAGTAAATTCACACCTTAAGATAAAAATGAATATAGAAGTAATGAAATACGATTGACTGTTGTTGATATATTGTAGCTAGCATGTGTTTTATAACAGATAAGCATAGCCATATAAAATCTAAACAAGATGAGCTGTTGAACTATTTTAGCTTTGGCTGTTTGAAAATCCACAGACTGAAATTTAAAAGCGATTAAACTTGACGGCTTTTTCATTTGTTAACGATGGTTTGCAACGAGGACGAAATTTTGAGAAGTCGAATATGTTACAGAAAAAATATAAATTGATAGGAAAACTTTTGAATACTCTATAATTAGCTCTACATTGCTACCATTACACCAACGAGTTCGTCAAAAAAGAAAAAGCAAAGCCAATTCAACGATAAGCTTTTAAAAGAAACAAAATATTATCGTTTCATCGGGACTTAAATCTAACAGACTTAACGCAATTGGCAATCGTGACTATAAACAGTTGATAAGCTGGGTTATTAATTGTTTTACCTTAAAGTTAGGAATTAAGTGAAGTCTAGATTAATTACCATTTAAGATATAAGAAGGCCTTCCCCCACAAAACGCGACTCCACCAACATTATACTGAACGTTCTTATATGGCGCTTTGTACTTTGGCTTCGCCTTCTTTTTCATTTCTCTAAGTTTATTAGCCATCGCTGCCAACTTTGGATCTCTGTTACCTGTAATATTTGATAATTAGCTTTGGAAAAACTATGCGAGGAATATAGGTTATAAGGCACTCACGTAAAGTACTAGGCGGCTCCCAAAATTTGTAATTGCAAACACGTTCCTCTTGTTTTTGCTTCGTGTTCCTTTCTTTCCTTTTCTCCAGCTGAAATTGAAAATACAAATAATCGGCCAAGATCATAGATTAGAAATCAGTATAGAAAAGAGCCGTGCAGTTTAATCTCGTTTCGGTTTCAGTCTATTGATTTCCGAATATCCAATGCCAACATAAGTCGACATCACATCTTGTTTAGATGTTCTATGGCTAATGTATTTCACCTACAACCAAGTGGACCTCATGCTTATCTGATCTCTATCATAAAAAAGTGGGAAAAAGATCTACTTACGAAACTGTGATCTCTGGTTAGTTTTTCATAACTCTGGAAATATTCCAAAGAGATTTTACTGTCTTGTAACAAAATAAAGTAAATAAGGAGACAATATAAAAACATACGAAAGCATACAGTACCTCTACACTACGAAGTCTCACTTTGTATCCCAAGGGTAGTGGCTTATCTTTATCAGGGCTTTTCTTTGAATGGTTACTGTAACATGGTATGTAGCATTTCTGCAGGTACTCGCCGTAGCGCACCTTCGGCTGCGTGTTCCTCTTTTGTTCTAAAAGTAGAAAATATTTCAATGGGCATTACGAGATATTGAGGAATGGAACAAGGTGGGTATGGAATTGATTTAGACGTTTAAATTAAAAACGAACGGTTTAAAACGCGATATATATTAGTTAAGCTTATTTGAAAATTATTTTAACTACGGCCAACTTTTGGATGCTTTGCAGCAGCCGTGGTCACGGAACTCAAATAAGTTTAACTAAGATATATCGCGTTTTAAACAGTTAAAGTGTGTCATTTAAATTTGTACTACTCGAGTAAACTACAGACAGTATTTGATTTAGATGTGTTTAAAGCAATGTGGTATGAATTTAAATTTTTACTTTCTTCCTTAATAGTTGGTGGTAATTTTTCACAGGCAGTTAACTTCTCCAATCTTTCTATGCATTCATCAAGATCAATAAACACCAGACTTGACATCAATATCATCGAGTTCATATCGTAAACTAGAAAAAAACAATAATAAGTGTTATTTTACTTTAACTTCTTATCTACTTAGTTGCATAAAATACATTTTACAACATTGTATGTTTAAAAACTTCATTATTTTCCACATGTATATTGTACTTTGCTCTATCCATAGTAACTCAATTGATTAAAGCAACAGCACTGAACGCTGTGGATGCCGGATCAAGTACCGCACGTGTCGTAGATTTTTTCTAAATTCAATTTTTAATGCATTATACGTTATAAATAAACTCTTACCCGGTCTCAATTCGCTCGGCGGCTTCTTATAATATTCGGTATACAAATTCCATATAAAAACACCGGGATCCTCAATAGAATTAGTCATCGCTTTCATCAAGACACTTTTAGGTATTTTCAAGGTAACGCCTAAATCTGATAAGGACTTGCGAATCCTCCTTGGTATATCTTCAAGTAAATCTTGGTGTATATTGATCTTCAGGTCGTGGAGAACTTCTCTTTGAGAACTTGATAACTCGAAATACCACGGTGGCCCAACCTCGGTGCATAATCGCTTGTACTTGCGTTTTGCTATAAACGTTTGAGAAATATTAATTTAATACTGTCTATAGTTTAAGCGAGTAGTACACATTTCAATGAAACACTAACTGTTTAAAACGCGATATATATTAATTAAACCTATTTGAATGCCGTGACCACGGCTGCGGCAATGCATCCGAAACGTCGGGCCGAAGTTAAAAATCATTTTCAAATTAGTTTAACTAATATATCGCGTCTTAAACCGTTAAAGTGTTTTATTTAAATATTAATTTATTATTTCTTAATGTTATATTTCTTCTCCCTTATGATATATATCTTTTACAATAGCTTGTCTTAGGTTCGAAACATACGCAAAACTTCTAAAAACGCTATTAGGAAGTATAATATGTACCTTCACAGTAGAAAAAATATTTCAAGTCTCTCAAAAATTTCAACCATGCTCCTACTTTTTCGTTGTAAGGTTTTTTGTCGACATTTTGTCTCATTTCTCTTTCTAAGTAAACCCATACTGGTTCTTTTTTGTCGTAAATTATCTAGAAATAAATAGATGATTATTGACTGTTGAAACCTAACCAGTTTTATAATATACTATGCAATAAGGGCTCTTTTTATTTAAGAACATATTAATATTTGAAAACATGATTTTTTCGCTTTCACTTGTTAATGATGCTTTTCATGCAAACCTTTTTCTCAAGAAACTGCTGTACTGTGGGCATTTTGTATTTTCCCATTTTGCCTTTAAAAAATTCACGACAAATTTAAATATAACTGAAATTTCGTCAATTTACATACAAATTAACAAATAATAGATACTAAAATTTTGTAAGCTAGCAGTCGCTAGCACATATGAAATAAAATTAATGTAGTGACATAAACATTGTATTTTCTACTTTAAAAAGAGTTTTATGTGCCAGTACTTTCTAATATGACAAACTATTTGAGGGTCTTCAAGAAAAAAGTAATTTGATACTCCCAACATTTAAATAGGGACTGTACTCTGTACTCTGTTGTGTAAAAACAATCAGACCAGCTCCAATAATAATAAGATATGTTGGCCTTAAGTAAGGAATCTAAAATAGCCTACATAACTAACCACCATTTAATCTATGGTTTATTAAATTATTAATAAAACTCCAGTGAAATAGTATAATCTTTTTTACTTATAAATTCTTAGTCTTATTTAAAACATCTTTATATGGTGGATTAATGGGACCCTGCACTGGTTCTCTATATTCATAAGATTCTTGTCCCTCCAGTATTAATGGATAAGATGTATCGGAATCATAGGCATTTATGTCCCCACAGGCATTGAATGGAACAATAAATCTGTTTATACCAGTAAACTGATTAAAATCACAGTATTTGTGATCTAATAAAGGATTAACCATTGTAGGCACATAGCCTGGTGGAGGATTATAATTTTGACAGACAACAAAAGCCTCTATACTCGAATTTCTTGAACTTCTTGGTTTAGTGACTGTGACAAATTCAAAAAACTGTTTCAGTTGAGAGTATAATAATGTTACATCTTTTCCTCGAAATATTTTAGCAACAAATATTCCCCCAGTTTTAAGCACATGAGTGGTAATATTAAGGGCTGCTAGGAGAAGCTGTGACTGTACATATTCGTCAATATCGTGTAAGCCAGTGACATCTGGTGCTCCGTCGCACACGACCAAATCAGCCTTTTGCCCTTCAAATTCTTGAATGATTTCATTTGCTGTGGACAGTTTGGTTATGTCTCCTTGTATTTGTTTTACACCTGGAAGCGCAGCCATCGCCTGCAGGTCAACTGCAACGATCTTAACGTCATTTGCATTCTCCGTGTTTTTCCTTAGGTTCTTGCTTAAAACTTGACTCCAACTGCCTGGGGCAGCACACAGATCAACTGCACGGACTACACCATTAAATATATTGTACTCTTCATTAATTTGTAACAGTTTGAAAGCACTTCGGGCTCTCCAGCCCTCTTCTTTTGCTAATCTATAATATATGTCACGTTTATCTTTCGAAGTCTTCCCCATCGCTGTTAATTATTTTTAAAGTTCGATTATATATTTTAGTTACAATTTTATTGAGTTTCAGAGATTTCTTCGTACTTTATTTCCCATGTGTTATTGTTTTTCTATCTCAAATGTTCAGATGTCAAAGTCAGCTTTTGACAAATCGATTGTCTATCTCGGTAGTCATAGACAAAAGACATACGAATTTTGCGAGTTAATCTTTCGAATGTCTATGGTTAATAATATTCCATTCATTCATTTCATAATATATATTCAAATACGAATGACGAGCAAAACACAAAAGCGCTAAGTAATTTAAAACTCGTCTCGCAGTCATAGTTTGTATGAGTGAATTTGTAGTTTCCCGTTAGTAAAAGGTACATATTGTAATAAATATTAGCTTTCCGTTTTTCTATATCTATTAGTATTTTTTTATGTATTAAAATAAATTTAAAAAAATAAATGCATATCATATTTTTTTTCAAACCTTGCAGTGCTCTTAAATGTGATATTGGGTATCCAGCTATTAAGTCTCATAATGGAGCTTAGTACAGGAACAAAGAATTTGCTATTATTTATTCAAGAAGATTGGAAGTTATTATTATGCCTCACAATACTATTTATTTTGTATTTCCACTATACGAGTACATTTGATTATTTTGAAACAAAAGGAATTAAATTCATGAAGCCTACAATACTGATTGGAAACTTAGGACCGAGGATATTTGGTGTGAAATCTTTTCATGATATGCAAATAGATGTTTACAATTATTTTAAAGGAAGTCCTTATGGTGGTAAGTGTTGGTAAAGCTTATATTTTTATCTATGTATTCTTTCTACATGAATACATTTTTATTATATTATTTTGAAAGTCAGATTTTTGTTTGATTCAATGATACTCTATTGCTGTAGTATTTATAATTATAAATATTTCAGTTATTTATATAATATTCATTGCAGGATTCTTTGAAGGGCGTAGACCAACATTATATATCATGGATCCAGATATTATAAAGTCTGTTATGATAAGGGACTTTGATCATTTCACTGATAGAAATACCTTAGGAACTCGGGAACCTAAGTATTTGAGTAGGAGTATTCTCAATTTAAAAGTAAGTAGAGAACTTCAGTAGTGATGATTATTTTCTAAAAAAGATCTTGCTGCATCGTGATACTATGTTTTAGGGATCTGAATGGAAAGCAGTGCGCAGCATTATGACTCCAGTTTTCAGCTCCTCTCGTCTGAAAAATCTGATACCTTTAATACAGACATGTGCAGATCAATTAGTTGAGTTTTTGAAGCAGTATGGTAAGTAGTTTTTTTATTTAGACTCTTTTAGGTGATTGAAACGCAAACAATAATAGTATATTATAAGTATAATAGTATAAGAGACTCAAGAAGGGGGCTCGAACACAGCTTCCAAAGCATCCGAAAGTCTTTTTGTAGTTAAATTGAGTTTGAATGGAAAAAGTTCCTTAATTTAAAATTTGTTTTTCAGATAGTAAAGAAGTAGATATGAAGCAGATAATGGGACATTTTACATTGGAAACTATCAGTGCTACTGCCTTCGGAATCAGAAGCGATGCCCTTACTGCTGAAAAGTCACAGTTTGTCAAGGTCTGTAATAATTATAGGTCTTGAGATAAATCCTTTATTTTACTGTATTTCTGGGAGGCGTTCGTTCGTGTTTTAACGTCCTTTTTAGCATTGTCCTAAATGTGAACGCTTTTAAAGTCAAACTCAAAAATCATTTATTCTCGTAGGTAACTAGGTACACAACACATCAGTTAAAAACTAAAGACTCAAAATACTACTAGTCAACTCTATGGCCTAGAACGAACGAGAAGAAATGGCAAGAGACTCGCCGCCACTCCTATCATCGCCAAATTTCATTGATTGTTTTTTCATACTTTAAGTGCATATTTTGCCTTATTAGAGCGGGGTTTTTCAAATCCTTAGAAACCCCTTTTTAAATATTGATTACCGTTGTAATAATCCTTTCCAAATAGTTTTTGTTTTACATATGATTTAATTTTTTTAAATGACAGCGCTTACACTTCCACAAGGATTTAGTGTGCTTCTAGGGTAATTACGCATAGTTCCAGTTGCACACGTTGCAACTTCAACTGTTTTCTAAAAAAGTAACAATTTAATTACTTAAAACGTTACGAAACTTCTTAAAATGTTAACAATCTTTCAGGAAGCAGAAAAGTTCAACTATATGCCCATCTACAAGCGGTACTTTATATTCTTCATATTGACATTTATGCCAGGCCTGTTCAGGTATTTGAATGTATCTTTCTTAAACATGGAGACGATGTCGAAACTCAACGATATGTTGCAAGCTAATAAGGAGCAGCGGAAAAAGACTTCAGTAAAGTGAGTATACAATTTTCCTACTTATATTGTAGTTAGAACTCAGGTTTTGTACGATAGAGCAGAACAAACAAGCATGACAATTTCACTTTTGGCTTTTCCGTGACCCAGACGAAATTTTCGAATAACCCCACCCATTTAATAGGTCAAGACAAAGTTAAAAAAAATAATTAGAAACATATTGGAGCCTGTGGGGATCCTGTAGGCATAGATTCCTTAGATACCATTCTCGCTGCAATATAAATCAAACTGTCTGTTGTAATAGTAAAACGTAAGGAACTTTATTTATAAGACACTAAGCCTATTGTAATTATAAATGTACTTTGATAAGGGTTCACCTTTGATAAAGTTGATTCATACTACTTATACTATGATACGGCAAAGTCATTGTAAAAAATCGGTTTCGAGAAACAAAGTTAATAACTAAATTACTATGCATTAAACCGGTGACCTTCGTTCTTTATATTCTGTATAGCTTACGCAATTATAAATCTACAAGAAACGTCTACAAATAACAATCATTTTTAGTGCAATTAAATAAAAAAATATCCTACAGTCATATATATTTAAATTAAGTACATATAAACACTAAAATGTTGTTTAGCAGACCAAAACTAGTTTTTCATATAAAGATTAATATAAGTAAAGGAAAGTAGGTAACCTAGATTATTGTCGTCTCCGAGTCGTATTTAATAAGCCAAAATACAGTTCCTCATTACAAATTCACGATTTGGTCAACTTTATTAGTCTAACCACGAACATTTTATCGTCTCATAACAAAAATTCCACCGACGATATTTCGTTGTTTGTATTATTTGTTGAGTACTTAAGCACACAATAGGTATTCGTATGATAAAGTTTATTAAATTTAGTTTTAAGATTCTTTATTTACATCGTTTTATAAAACAATTGAAACCTTACATAAATATTAAATACAAATATTTGTGTAGGGAACGACAATGTTTTATTAGGAGTTTAAATATATATGTCATTAAAGTTATAAAAATCCGTAAAATACATCCTGTATAAATAATTAATTAGTGTTATTGGTTACTGTACCCATGCTAATTAAAACAAAAAAAAAATCTTCAATTATATGTAAATATAGTTGAATAAAATCTTTGATGACGAGAGATGTAGCTAAGATCTTATCTATTTTTTTTTTAAATCGGTAGATTTTTTATGCAAAGCAACTATGCGCAGTAACGTTTTACAAAGGTAAATAAGACCTTTATTATTATTCGAGTTTGCCTTTTGTTAATAGGCCTTTAACAATGATTTATAAAAGTTATCAGTCAGCCAATATGCAATAATGCTTTTATCTTTTAGGCACAATGACTTCTTGCAACTTATGCTTGATGCAGCGGAGAAAGAGAAAGAACATTCAGATAGTAAACAACCATTGCGTAAGTTTATATGCGTCGAAATATTTTGAATTAACTTTTTCCTTATCTATAAATGTCCAGTAGAAGCTGGGCGTTTAGTTTACATATATAGATTAGACAATTTTGCAAAGACTCAACCTGGTTTGCTGAACCCAGATGGCAGAGCAAGAACAGATGGCGCTAACATAGCAGTTTTTTTTACTTTGACATTAGAGTCACCCTCCTTTAACCTCGGCGTGACCACGGCTGCTGCAAAGCATCCGAAACGACGACGATAAAATACTGTCTATAATTTACGCGAGTACTACACATTTAAATAAAACATTTTAATGGTTAAAAACGCGATATATATTAGTTAAATTTATTTGCATCCGAGACGTTTTTAAAGGCGTAGTTAAAATAATTTTCAAATAGGTTTAAGTAATATATATCCCGTTTAAAACAGTTAAAGTGTTTTATTTAAATGGTTTACATAGTAAGATTTTTACAACACTACAATATTACTTGCAGACCTAGACGATGGAACAGTGGATGCTCAAATCATAATTTTCCTATTAGCCGGGTTTGAAACATCCAGTTCCTTGTTGTCTTTCGCGATCCACGTCCTGGCTACACGACCGGACATTCAAGAGAAACTCCGAAAACACGTTACTGAAGTCACCGAAGGGAAGGAAATAACTTACGACCTTATAGCACAACTTGACTATCTAGAAGCCTTCTTACTTGGTAAGTTTAGAATCGATTTCAGATTGACAAAATTTTACGACATTGGCAGGAGTTGAACCAACCAAGTTTTAGGGCTGAAATTAAATTGCGCGACTTGCATGTATCAAGGTTGAAATGTAATGTACCTACAATAGATTTTTAATCTATAGCGCTAACATGTGAAAAATATTGAAGTACTCAAATATGTAGACTTCACAATTTATTGTTTATTATTCTATGTCACTTATAATATTTTCATTTATTTACTTTATTTTTATTGCAACACACAGAACGTATATATACATGATTCCTTAAAACTATTCCTAATAATACGACTCTTAAAGATAAACTATTCTTACAAGGTATGGAGTGCAATGGGCGGCCTTATCTATAGAGCGTTCTTTTCCAGGCAACCCATAAATATGAAGAGTCGTAGAAGTTAAAATTTACATGTCTTTACGCATTTTTACGCGGCTCATTTAATTATTATTAATTTCAGAAACGTTACGCATATACCCACCTGTGGCAAGGGTAGACAGAGTCGTGACGAAACCATATCTCCTGCCAGGATCGTCTATCAAGTTGGATGTTGGCCAATCGGTGTCTATCCCGATTTACGGTATCCACATGGATCCAGATATATACCCAGAACCTCACGAGTTCAGACCGGAAAGATTCTTTAAAGAGGAGAAAAGTGATAGGCCATCACATCTCTATTTGCCGTTTGGAGCTGGACCGAGAGCTTGTATAGGTAAGTTTTGAAATTGTTTTATATTATAAAGTTTATGATAACACCTTAAATCAGTAGTTTTCTAGACAGTAGAAATAATGTGTTAAAAAAACAAAAACAAAATTTCATATAAAGCTTACATGAGCGTTAATCTTACAACATACCTTTTAAGATAACACCAACAAAATGTTGTTTTTAATGAGTTAAAACCGTAATTTCAAATATGTTTTAATTATTAAGTCTTGTAAAATCCATAGGAGCAAAAGTTGTAAGTTTTAACTGACTATATGTTTTATTGTTTGTTTACCATTTTGGCCAGTTGCGAAAGTTCGTACTACACATTCAGTATCTTAAACTTTACTTAGCGTCTGTATTGTTTTATTGAATTACTGAATCTGAATACTTTTGCACACAAATAATTATAATATTAGTTTCCATTAATTAGCATATTATATGAGTGAATAGATAAGAAATTCGAGTATATTTGTACAACTAAATATGTCAATGGCACTTATTTGTGTAGTCATTGTTGGCAGAGATTAGTGAAACCTACTCCATATTTAAATAGTCTGTAGTTTGCGCGTTTAGTACACATTTAAATAAAACAATTTTAACTGTTAAATTCAACTTCTAATTTCAACAATACAATACAAAATGTATTAGTTAACTTATTTACTATTTATATTAACTACGAGCCGACGTTTTTATCAAAATGTTATTGTATGAAATGGTTTCCAATATTTCCTTTTTTCAAGTAGTCACTACTCAACATTTTAACAGGTTAAAACGCGATATAATATATTAGTTAAACTTAATTGACAATTATTTTAACTATGCCCGACTTTTCGGATGCTTTGCAGCAGACGGGGAGACAATGTCGCTTGTACACGTCATGATAGTAGAGCTCACGGTATACTGTTGCTCGTGAGTTCGAGTCTCCTATCTTTGTTAATATCAAAAACACTAATATACAATCTCTCATGCGCGAATAACGAACGTTTTACCAGTTGTTTACTTTTAATTAATTAATAAAAAAAAAATAATAATAATGAAAAAAAAAGTTCAACATAAAATATCTCTTTTCCAGGGCTTCGCTTCGCAATGATAACCACGAAGATGGCAATGGCTGCCCTTGTTAAGAACTTTGAGTTCAAAAAGTCTGAGAATACGCAGCACCCTATACAGTTCGATAAACGTGCCCTCCTGCTTAAAGCGAACAAGGGTTTGTTTGTCCGTATTGACAAAATTTAGTTTTTTTATTAATTTAGTATTTAAGGTTTTGGTTTATATTTGAGTTGGGCGATGGTAATATTCATTTAGTTGTATTATGTAGTAGTTAAACTTGTGAACGCAAAATGTTGGTAGATAAAAAAATATAGACCGACAACACATTTTGACGTGCTACCATTATTGAGGTGCATGGTAAAACTGCTAAATCTAAATTCTGATGATAGATAAGCATACAGTTCACTTGATGGGTATAGGATGTGTTGTTGGTCTATTATATTTCGCTTTGGATATTTCCCTGTCTGTCAATCTCTGTCCTGTGATATACAGATATGCACAGCTTGTGGCACAGATGAAGAACAAGTTTCTTTAAGGATTGGTAAAATACCCACCATTAGGTTTGTAAAAATTGACAGCTGGATCCGACAACATAAACTTGCCCCTTGTAATTTAATAATTATTTTATATCGTAAGACCGAGTGATCTATAATGACGAATATTTACTGTTACAATATTATTTTAGTAAACTCCAGTATCTTTTGTGTTGCTAATATATTTAGGTTTTTTTATCAGAAACAGTACAAGAAATGTATAATATGTTATACAGTTACATATACATGTGATACAGTTCCTAATTTTTAATATTTAACAAATACAAAATACCTAAACAATAAACCAATATTAGAAGTGTACAAATTTACTTGCATTAGAGAAGATAAATAATGATACGTTTGTGATATTTTAATTTGTGTTGAATATAATTAAATGTTAATCTACAAATAATAGTCATAGATTTATTAAGCAATTGAATATATTGCGTTTTTCTCAATCGAATATTGTGTATATATTTTATAAAAATTATACAAATCATGTTTATATTTTACACGTAAGATAATATTTGTAGTTTAAGCAAGTAATACGTTAAAATTAAACAACATTAACGGTTTTAAACACGCATTATTTGTTTTATTATTATCAACTATGTTGTTTATGGCGTTTTGTACCGTTTTATTTAAAAACTTGAGATTTACGAAATGTGATATAAATGTATGTACACTATTTACACATATACCATTTTATAGATGACAATGTTGTTTTCTTTCATATTACACTTTCCGAAAAGCCGCTATAAAGAAACCAATAGAATTCTTGTAGATCTCGTCAACTGGCCGTAAAGGATCGTCGTTAGGACCGAATCGTTGAACCATTAACCTTAAAATAAAGGAGTGAAATTAGAGATCATATAATATGTATTAATATGCGATTGATTATCGAGACTTCGCTACATAATAAAAAAAATCAGATTTCTAGACGAGGTCCAACCCGTTTCAGAAAAATTATAACTTAAATTAAAACTTGTAGAAGGGATCAAATCTATGACTTGTAATGTATACAAGTCATAGATTTGATCCCTTCTATACTTTACTATTAAATCAACAGCCCGTCATGTGTTCGTATTCTAAAGAAAATATATATTTAATACAATATACAAGCGAAACATGTGCTTTTGCCCTATGACCAAAAATTTATAACACCCACTGATTGGAACTTGTTCTTAAAAAATAATTTTTCTCTATGCTGATCACTTTATATAAAATATACCTTTCACTGTCACTGAGGCCAGAATCAGGTAGACCTGGTCCGCCACAAAGTGGTGCAGCTGGAATCAATTGCAAGCAAGGGTACTTCTCAAGCGCCCACTTCACTAAACCTTCATTTTCACCCATTGTCACCGTGCATGTACTGTATACTAACATTCCACCAACTTTGAGGACATTGACAGCCTGGAAAATAGGAAAATATATCTACATTAGTATTTTTTTTATCAACAAACCTTTTCTTCATAAAAATACTAGCCATTACCCACGACTTCGTCCGCATCCATCGTTGTTGCGAGTGAATCTTAAAAAGTAGACATTCTGTCGCAGATATTTTTTTAGATCATTTATATAAAAATCATTCTTTGACACATATTTCTTCGCTCCTATTAATGTTGCTATATAGTCTGAAGCCTTCCTCGTTAAATGTTTTAACTAACACAAAAGACTTCAAACCAAACAATCAGTAGTGCCTGAGATTGGCATATTCAAACAAACAAACTCTTCAGCTTTATTATATTAGTATAGATTATTAATATTTTCTTTAGAGAACACAGATTACAGATTAGAAGATAGACAGACAGACAGATAGAAGGCAGTTGTAGTACTGACATCTCATTAATTTTTCTATCTGACAACACAAACCGAGTCTTACAATTACTATAAGCTTGTTCAATACTTACAGCATTGAATAACTTCCTCTGCAATATTTCATATGATTCCAACATTTTGCAAGACATATCATTCTGGACTAATCTTGGCCTCTGTCCCAAGCCACTGCAAGGTGCATCTAGAAGGACTTTGTCAAAATGATTTGGCGGAAAAGGAGGACCATCATTTCGATGTTTTTCATTTGATACACATCTTATTGAGTTATACATAAAAGCCTTCACGCAAGATACACCTTGTATTTCACAGTTCTTTCTAATTGTTTCCACTTTTTTGTCTGTCTTATCTAAAGCAGTTATAAATGCCTGGAAGAAATTGTACAGTGAAATTTAATAATGATAGGATAAGTTCTATCAATTTAAGAATCGCATTGAGCGATGTATTTTTGAGTCAAATAAATCTTATTAGCCTACCGAAAATTGAACAGGGTAGAAATATGTTACACAATGAAACAAGCAGAAACATCGCAGTATTCTAACATTATATCATCAGGAATAGAAAAAATAAGTATACAATATATCTTTAATTTCTCAATTAAAATTGAGGTTATTATGTCTATAAGAGCTGTAATATCCATGTCTATACACATAAAATTCTAATGATTCAAAATAGTGCTTGATGCATTAAAGTTCTATATAATTTTTGGTATAACACAAGGACAAGTCGCTTATATATGAGGGTAATAAACATTTTAAACAAATACATATTTTATTATCTTTCATTCCTAATTACTTTTCCATTTATAATATAAGTAGTGAAATAATGTTCAACTCACTTTATTATTAGACATTTCAGCTAGGTGAGTGGTTTTGTTGCCTGGTGAGGCACACATGTCGAGAATATACTCGTTAGGTTGTGGATTTACAACCCAACCACAAACAATTGAAGGCAAATTTTGTAATACAACTTGCCCAGTTGGAAAGCAAGATTCATTCAAAACAACTAGCTTGGAAGCGGGAAATAATGTTTGGACAGCGATGCCACTGAAACAGAACGATAAATCAATGTACAAAAAAGAATGTTACGATAGTTTCATATCAAACTGAATATCTCATCTGTGGAAGACTAGTTAAGCACCAGTTGGTTACCAATTATATGCTATTCTGTCCATCTCATGGGTGATGATATTTCACACATTCTGACTCCAAGTATAATATATAATAGAGACAGTAGTAAATTAAAATTACAATGGTAGAAACCAAAAATTACTAATTTGATTGCTGCGGTGTGAAAACAGTATCTAACTAAAATTATTCCTGCTTTTTAAACATATTTATCTGTCTTTGAAAGTACCTGCCTTGGTTGAATACCATCATCAAAGAGACTGCAACGGAGTTTCTTCAAATAACCACATCCAACATATTGCTTTCTACCTGTGTATTCTATTTTGAGGCCTCGTTTACATTTGCCATCAATGTCACTGAAAATTTTTACTACTTCATCAAGTTTGCAATCTAAAAAGTATAGATAAGTTTTAATTTATAAGATTTTACTAATTCATAAATTTATGCGATGGAAATAAATGCTTTTCGACTTAATTTATTATTAAGAAGAGTAAAATGTGATTTTAGTATTGTCTACTGTTGAATTGTTAATATGACATAGCACACCAGATTTTCAATCCTGATTTAAAAGTGTGAATTTTAAATAAAATTTCAGAAACTAATAATAATTCACTGATTAATATTCAAAATCAGCTTAAGGTGAGACATACCTGAAGCTAATCCCATAACACCTGGTGCAAACACATTGGATCCTCTTAAAACTGCTGCACCACATGAAGGATCTACAATTACTTCATGGCTCCCACTATTAACAATAATATTATCGGGCCATCGATCTATTATCAAACAGTCTGGTTTTAAAAAATAATAGTGCGGTAGTTGTGTTGACTTCAATTCATAACTTTGCTAGAAAACAGAGTTTTAATATAATTAAGAGCATAGCAAGTAGGGTGAATTACTTTTGATGTATATATTATTCCTTACCGCTGTTAATATTCGTTTTAATTCATTCTCGTCAAAGTTTCTTAATTTGTTTACTCTAAAACACGTATGGTCAGGAGTTTCTTCCAGCCACAATTTTATGTGTTCTATAGTCTCCATATTTGTTTAGATTCCTACTTCTGGATCTGTGGTCCAAATTATTGTATTTTTTTTGAAAAATTATTATTGGTATTAGTTTTTGAGAGTAATTTAAAACTGCATTGTGCTGGTAAACTTGGTTATAATTTATGTTAACACAGATAATTATTTGTTTACGCCTATAGTTTATGATACCCATCACAGATAATAAAGGATTGTAATAAAAAAATATAATTCCATAAAGGAGTTTGTAGTCTATATGTATATTTCTTCAAATATTTTTATACCTCAATATACCTTCCTGTTTATTTTCAGTTAGAAATTGGTAAGAACTGAAAAAAAAAAACATAGTATACTTAATGGTATGAAATACCGTTTAAACGTATTAAATGGTATTTATTGATAACTAACCAATCCCTTATTTTAAAAGTTTATTACATACTATCCCACTAAAACACACTAAAAAGTTTTACATTTTGCCTTCAGTATATTTTTGTTGCTGGCCATTTTTTTACCGATACGTGGCATAGGCACGAACAACTTCCACGTTCGCCGCCATTTTGACACTCAGCGAAAAGTAGTGACTTCATTGAATTAAGATTGTTTCTTCTATTAACGTTTAAATTTGTGTAAAAATGTAAGTATATCTATTTACTGTAACAAATACGCTGTTTTAAATTAATTCTCGCGAATAAACGTTTTCTATTACGATATTATGAGTGCGAGGGTGGTGACCGCAACAGAATACCAACAGCGATGTCGGCTAATCTTTGTTCAAATGGCTTTGAATGGTGTATTGGATTAATATCGCCTTTCAGAAAGAGTATTTGGTCTAGGGCACTCTAATTGTTTATTGATCAAGTCTATTGTTACCTTTCACCTTTAATTTGAGAAGTGACTTGCCATGTCATTATCATTGATTTGCGTAGAGTAGCTGATGAGTCAGTAGAGTGAATGTGTATGAAATAATTTCGTGATTTCTCTTCCAGAATATATATTGTAAGTCGTCAAAATGGGGAATATGTTTGCAAATTTATTTAAGGGCCTATTTGGCAAAAAGGAAATGAGAATATTGATGGTTGGTTTGGATGCAGCTGGTAAAACCACAATTCTATATAAACTCAAACTAGGAGAAATTGTAACAACAATTCCTACTATTGGTAAGTTATATTTTATGTTATCTTGATAAAAACATAGTTGAGCATGTGGCAAATTTCAATTGATTCGATCTCATCTAATATTCTTGATTATAAATAGTAATGTATGTGTTCAATATTGTTTTTCTGAAGAAAAAGCTTATATATCAACCAAGTTTAGAGGACTGAATTGAAAATGATATTAATTATTGTTCCTTTAAGTTGCTATTAGTCGAACCATATGATACCTTTTCTATTAAGTTCTACCATGTTGATGTTAAGGAACAATACAAAGTATTATAAATTACATTTACCATTAAATGTAATAACTTTAAACTGGTTCAAATGTCTTATTGTGTTGTTTAGTGTTTTATTTGGTATGTTCTGCATTAGTTTATATTATCTATGATCCAATGTTTTGAATGCTTTTATCCAGTCCTGGTCAAGGGAGGCTACTTAACAGTCTATGTTTATTACTAGATAACTAGATAAGTATACTTTATTTACTATTATAGAGAATACTCTAGTTTTTAGTGTCTCAACTAATTTATTTTAAATTGTTAATGTTGATATTGACTCCATTGGTTTTCAGGCTTTAATGTGGAGACGGTAGAATACAAAAACATCAGTTTTACTGTATGGGATGTTGGTGGTCAAGACAAAATCAGACCGCTTTGGAGGCATTACTTCCAAAACACACAGGTACATACTTAATACCTTTTTATAGTTTCTGGACATGAAGTGGAGTTTACATTATCCAATGTTTTTATATAGTTATCTATATCTAGAGTCCTTGGTGTTTTTTTTATCTAGGATATTGTTTTTTGTGGTTGGAAGGGTTTTGATATTATTTAATATCCAGAGCACTCATCCCTGAGTTTTCTCTAAGTGACATAGATTCTATGTTGAAAGTAGCTTGGGATATATAAAACTTAACTGAAGTCTATGGGGCTGAGCTAGAAATTTGTTTTAGTTTTGGGACGTTCTCTATAGAAATATTTGTAAAACTGCTGTTATCTAATAGGTCATCCTTTATTATTTATAAGGGTCAACATTTGTTTTCTATTATATTTTAATGAGAAGTTTTGTAGATATTTTTGGGAGGGATAAAGATTTTTTAATTATAAATCATATTAATATTATTAATTAATAGAATTATATGCTTTAAGTTTTGGAAGTTGTGACTTAAATTTTATTGTTTGGTGTTTAAAGTATGTACAAATGGAACATTTTTGTAACTGTAAAAAGTCAAAGGAGATTAGTCTCCGTCTATTAAGTATTTAGTCTTCATTATTTTATTAAACCTTTTTTTTAGGGTCTCATCTTTGTAGTAGACAGTAATGACAGAGAGCGTATTGGCGAAGCACGCGAAGAACTTATGCGAATGTTAAGTGAAGATGAGTTGCGGGATGCTGTTCTCTTGATATTCGCAAACAAACAGGTGAGTACTCATTTATTTATTTCTATAGCCTTATTAACAGGACCCCCCATGATCTTACACTGTAGTTATATTGATCACAATTTGTCATAAATTTCCTTCTGTTATATTGTATGAAACGATATTTATTTGATAAAGACTAAGCTGCATTTTCTAAAAGCATATTTAAATCGCTTAAAAAAATTCAAGTTCATCAAACATTTTCTAATTAACTTTCATATTACCATTACCATTCAAAGTATTGTTTTTACTTTTATTTGTGGTTCCCACAAAAAATATGGTGGAAATATTGTAAAAACATTGCGTGATAATGCAGGAAATTATTTATGATATCATAAAGATTTACAATGTTTATGATAAGCCGACTGGCACACATTCAAAACATTTGATAGCACATATACTGTTACCAGTAAAAAAATTACCTTTATTTTTCATCTATATGAGAAACAAAACTTTCTCCACAAGAATTAATTATAACATACAGGGCTCACAATAGAATTGGGCTGTTATAAATATCTGGCGAATATTGTTAGCATTTTTGTGTGACTCATCTAATACAACTACTGATGTTCTGCAACAACTACCTTGGAATGTAGTGTTTCAGGAGAATATAGTTATATTACTAATACATCAACGCTTATCATAAAATTAATTAATTGAAAACTAACTAAAGGATATAAAACATAGATTAGCATTGTTTTGATATTTGTTGGTTTGAAATGTTTGGTAATCATTTGATCAACATTCAAATGAACTGAAATTTATTATGGTCATTAGCACTAAAAGTTAGTGTTTATTATTCTTAGATGATTTAAAGAAATTTTTAAGAAAAGAGACCCCATGTAAGTTATGGTTATGAGTGTTTTTACAAGCACTATGTCCATATCAATGGTACTTAAAGATGAAGTGATAATAATGCCTTGTCCAGGATCTGCCGAACGCGATGAACGCAGCCGAGATAACGGACAAGCTGGGCCTGCACTCGCTGCGCAACCGCAACTGGTACATCCAGGCGACGTGCGCCACCTCCGGCGACGGCCTCTACGAGGGCCTCGACTGGCTCTCCAACCAACTCAAGAACGCCAACCGCTAACGTGCGCGCATCCGATCACTGAGAGACTATGGTTTAAGATATGTTCACTTTATTTGCTAATGTATTATGTGCGGAATCAAATGTATTACTGTCGCGTCACCCGCCGACCGAGCGACGCATCGCATCGACGCTCAATAAAATTTTCGTTGTACAAAAGCCCACGTATTATCCCGTTCAAATCCGGATGCGTTCACCGTTCGATCTCTGCTGGCGTCGAACAAATAGATGTATGCGAAATTTCCCCTCTCTCCTCGTTTAAGCTCTACTCGCGCATCGTGATGTGGATAGGTAACTGACTCGTGATAAAGTGAATCACAGCATAACATGTTTTATAAGTATACTATATGTGGAATAAGTTGTCGTAATAAAGTATTTAAAGTTAATTGACTTCTATGATTTTAATTTATTAGCGTTAGCGCACCTTTTGTGAGGTTGGTTGGGTTGCGATGTGTTTGATTTTTGATTTTGCTCTCCGGAGCTCTGTTGGGGCCATCCACATATTGCGTCACATGTTTAGATCAAATGTGACACGAGTAGCAAGGCGGAGGGAGGCGAATGAAACGTTACGAAAACGAAAACTATATTATAAATATATAGATTCTATTTGTACCCATAATATTGCAAAATATTACATCACACTTGGAGGGGATCCCACAAATGTGTGACAAAGGGGGGCGGGGTGTCAAGAGATCACTCAAGCCTGACGTAATGTATGGATGGCCCCAGATAGCTCCTAAACTAGATCCTATTCACATTGCTTTGACTTAGAAATCAAGATGAGCTCCGATAACCATTGGTTTTGTGCATATTCCATTTATTTGACTTATTGTACGATGATAGTTTAATTTTTTATGGAAGTTAACTAGGTAGATTAAGCTGTTATGTAATTACATCGGAGACCAGTTCGCGCGGTCCTCTCCGGAGGCCGCGGCGCAGCGCATTTATAGATGACTTCTCATGAACCGATAATATTTAATTTTAGATATATGTATTAGATTACTGTGTCTTGGAGAAGTGTTTCTGTGTGCAGGGGTGGTTCGAGGTGTGCTCAGAACCTCTTTGGTACATTGCTCTTACACAACTAATTATAACTTAGCATTTTTATAATAATTTAGATGAGATTGTTAATACAAGGATACGATTTTGAGGCGAGTGTGGTTAAGAGAGTACTTTTTAATTTAATGGATATCTAAAGGTTTACCGAAGCAAAATGTGACATTCCGGTTTGTCTTACGCTGTATTATGGAATAAAATATCCTCACCAAAATTTCGTTTTTCTATTCAATCCTTTTTTTTGGGTCTCTGTTAAAGGTAAGAACGACCCCATTGGTTGATTTCACAAGATAGTTGGTCTAATAGCAATTAATGGGTAATAATCCACTGTTAACATGTTTCGTTAATAATTTTTATAAAGCGTGTTGGTAATCTGGCTATCAAATGGTCGAACCATAATAACATTAAAGAGTTAGTGGATTTTAATCAGTTTTTTTTCGGATTTCCGAATATCCAAAGTCAAAATAGGTCTACAGCGCATTTTCCCTATCATAAAATATAAAAATAAGTATTTAGTAACGGTTCTTAAAATATACATATTATGAGACTGTCACCAGAGTCTATCTTAAGAACAGTAAGGGCTTTTCTGGAAATTTTAACTGATTACGTATTTATGGCGACATAAATATATGGTATAGCTGCGGAGCTATACCATTATACACACATATATTTGCTCTATATCGATAAATACTAACAGGGAAACACTTGAAATAAGTAAACATAGTTACAATATGACATTTTTATACCCATTCAAACACTTTGTGCAAGTCCGTAACCAGTGGCGTAGCTAGGTGTTGAGCCTTAGGGTAGGCGTACCTAACCCTAAGGCTCAAGAAAGAATAGGGCCCTCATCCCCTCTTTTAGCATAGCTGGAATTAAAATAACCTCCAAAATTATAAATAGCAACAAGAATAACTTATATTTTGTCAAAGATAAGGTTAGGGGGCCCCTAAGTACCGGTGCCCTGGTGCACTGCACCACCTTGCCCTACGATAGCTATGTCCGTAACTTACATGTATTATAACAATATGTATTAAAACTATAATTAGCTTGAAAATCTTAAAAAAATTGAACAATTTTTCAACTCGGGCAGCTTCAAGTCGTCCCTTTGGCAGATATATGGAAATATTACCCTTCTCCATATGTTTAGTTCAAGAAGAGAAAAGAAAAAAGAGATGGGCATATCAAGGAATAAATTTTGCAATAAAAAAGTGGGTGCGTCCATGTTGTATTTATAACTGATACAATCTTTTAAAATTGATTTATCTGATTAGCTATCTAGGCCCACTAGATCGATAAGTCATTTAGTTGTAAATAAAGGTACACGATAACAACTAATTAATATAAAGAATAAAAAATACTCCATACCACACTATATTAGGAATTTGTGAATTAAAGTTAAGCCTAACATCTGAACAAGATATGCTGCCGACCCATTTTAAATTTGAATATTCAACAATCGACACGCCATTCAACTTCACGGCTGCTGCAACTGTGGTGATTCGTCACTCGAAGGGAATTTCGATATTCCTACCAACCATTTAATAGCCAAATTCCCACATGAAGGTTTTCCAACAGGTTTTAGAAAAATTATAGGTAAATTCATAGTAAAAATTTGGTGAACCAGGCGAGAGAAGAAGTCTTCTCGTGAATTATTAGTAATAAGTTACCACCGAAGACTCCGACAAACTGAGTCCAATAAACAAAGAAAAACAACGTAACTTACCTTAACTCAATGCAGAAAGCAAAACTAAGTACTTCATCTGTTTTATTTATTGATTATTTTGTGTCAGGTTAGAAGAGTTCTAGAACTAATAAATCTTAGGGTTGGGTAGAAGATGTGTTTTTTTTAATAATATTAACGTTTATTTAACTAGACCGCCCCTTGGTACTGGCGCATACCAAAATTTTAATTAATTGATACCCATAAATCATTGGAACGGAATAAATAGACGTAAACAGACACACATTTTATCCGCAAATCGACTGCCAACAATTCCACTAGCATACATCATCTCCCGAGTATGTATAAAATTAAATTAGTGCATCGGAACAACAAAGGTGTAATTTCTGCAAGATTAATGCTCTCTCCGACTGGATAGCGCCATGCTGTCGCGTCCAAGTGCCAGAGTAATATTTCTTCAGCTCGCAACACTACATCATAGCGAGATAGGGTTGTTAAATTAATTTTAGAAGTAGAAAACAAAAAGCCCGAAGATGGATAACCGTATTGCGGATGCGCTTGCGATAAATACCAATTAGTTTAGTGTCATACGCATTGAATTTCTTTATTGCCAAGTGTATCAGACATTGCTTTTAAATACAGGAATCGTTGCTCCAATGGTAGCTATGTGTGGCTAATCAAATTTCGATCCCCAACAGGTCTGATTTATTTCAAACAGTATATATAGGAACATCGAAAATCTGTACGGCTTGAAACACCGTCCACAGATAAAAAAAGCCTTGGAATGTACTTATGATTCGGTTTCAGTCTGTGGTTTTCTGAACGTGCAAAGACAAAATACGTGGACAGCTTATCTTGTTAAGATGTTAAATAGAGTATTTCACTTTACATCGAATGGTTCTCGTGCTTGTCTATCAAACAAATTTGGGTGTAAGCTCATTTCTTAGACATGAAATCTTCAGAGCATCAAATACAAGCCACTGCGTGAAATTCGTGTAAGATAAGTGTTTGAACGCTATAAAAGTCATCTATACGAATATTATAAAGCTGAAAAGTTTCTTTGTTTGAACGCGCTAATCTCAGGAACTCAGTTTTAAATATTTTTGTGTTGAATAAAACATTTATTGGGAAAGGCTACAAAACACCACGCTGAGACTAATATGTGGAAAAAAAAAACGGGAAAAATTATTTATCTTTATCGAAAACGTTTCGAGATATCCAAAAAATATGTCTGTAAGGATGATTCTTCTTTAAAAGATGTTCCCGACAATTATATATGTCTATCTTTTAACATTAACTTGCAAGAGCGACAGGACGCGGGTGACGTCGTGGGTAACAGCTATCATTTTTAAAGAAGGGGAGAATGTTTGCAAAACGTAATTTTAATGCCAAAAATAATTTTACGAGGACGAAGTCACGGCCACAGCTAGTAGCTTAAAATGAAATCTAGAAATTCATCCATGTATTTAATGGGTATAACAAAAATATGTGGCACAGGCGGGATTCAAATCTACAACATAAACCGTACCATCGGGGTCTTTTAGGTACCTATAGCTACAAAACCACGTCTGTAATCATCGATTTTCACAATATTTTATATAATATGTGTTATTAATTTCAATTACGTTAACATTGATAGTTTTATAGCAATACATTTTTATACCCATTATATACGGAAACATTCAGTTATCAATATGAAAAAAAAAGAAAAAATATATAAACAGCCCGTTTATCATATTATAGCTTGAAATTCGAATAAGATTAGAAAATCTTTATCTCTTATTTAGCTAATTTTTAATAATAAAAAAAATCCCGCTGTCTCATCGTTTCTCACAAATTAATTTTACTGACCAGTAGAATTGAGTATAGCAATATAAATATTTTTTTATAATTTCCCGGGACTCTAACCCAAGACATATCACGCATCGCTAAGCTACGCATTTAATATCACACTAGTTTGTAATATAAATAATAAATAATTTCCCAATCTTAGAACTAAATTATATTTACTTATTTACGTCATAATCACGCGCATTGGATAAAGCTTAAAACTGTAGGTACGTACAGATTATATATTATACATAACTTGATACCTGAACCGAGTACTGTATGCAAAATAATGCATGTGTAATTGACGTAGGCGTGCCGAACGCAATAATTTATAATACGTGTCTTTATCCTAATTAGGTATTTTACATTTATGACAAATCATTGCGCAAATAAATAAAAATAATAATTTAATATATGTTTTTTAATATAAAAACAACATGTGCAAATTGTATATATATTTGTTATCCCAATAGTAACCGGTTGGAAGGTATCACGATTAATCAAAGCAAAGTGCGCCGGCAAAATATGCGCGTGAGTTGCAATGAGTGGTGTGATCGCGGGGCGGGCGGTCGCAGAAGGCGATGTAGTTTTCCCCGCCCGCGGAGTACAGCGGCGTCACAGCGCAGTTTTCCCCGAGGGGCGCGTCTGCCCCCGCCCGCTGCTCGGGAAATCTGACGTTCTCCATTCGCCTTCAGTCTGACTCGGCCGTCGTAACGTGCGAGCGTCCATCGCGGTGCGGCTCGTTTTAATATCGCGGCGAAAATAGTGAGCTAGGGCCGGGCAAACCCGGTGAGCCAGTGGTAGGTGCCATGGTGCCGCTGGTGTTCATATTGTTGGCGGTGGCCTCCGGGCCCGCGGCCGCCAGGCGACACGCGCCAGATCTGAGAGAAGATGAACCAGCTCGTCGCACCACCAGACCTGCCGGTAAGCTTATAGAACAGACATGAGCGTTTCGCAATGCCCTCTGAGAATCTAGCAAGAGTATCTCATTGCATCCGATTCAAATATAGATAGGCATCCGCTAGTGCATTCGCGTACAACGGCGTACCTACATATTATAGGTGTTTAACTAGTTTTATAGATAGCTAGATGTTATATCGGATAATAAAAACATTGCCACGTGAGAGTGGCCAGCTTTCCATTCGTATCAAACACATTGAAATGTCAACCGATCTATTTTTGTTGTGTGATACAATCTTTATCGGGCAAAGACATTCAGCAGATATAGCAGATATGTCACTCAACTGCTAGAGGAAATACTGTGCAATGGAATTCCCATAGTTTAACGTCTAATAAGACGTTTTCAAAGAATACTTTCTATCCTTTGCCGAAGAAGTTTTACTATTCATATTTCCCATTCAATGTGTATTTAGTTTGACTTATATTTAGGTAATATTAAGGTTAGGGCAGATACATTTTTGTGTCTGCTTTATTGGTCGATTGAACAATCGATCAGACAACACATGTATGGTGTTTCCCCTGGAATCTCTCGTGCTTAAAATAAGTTACTTGATAATAACTAAGGTTTGAAAAGACTGACGAACCTGGAATCCAATTGTAAGCGAAGTGGTGCAATTGATTTATCATTCGAAACGTCTTAGTGAAAAGATCAAAATAAACTGGCTATATTTATTTTGGATTTTCTGTGTCAAAAATTATTTTCCTCATTCGATCATGCCGCACTGCCAAGAATAATACTTATGGTTGCTCTTTGAAATGTATATTTTAAATGCTCTCAAGAAGTTCATCACTTTTTCATTGTTTGTTTAGTATTTTTAATTACTGTGTCGCGTCTTAAAATACTGGTGTAATGTAATTAAAAATAGATTTCTACTTTATAATAATAACTGGAAACATTTTTATTCTTATAAGATTAGTGCAAGAGAGTATTATAGTAAGGACTAAATAGAAATTGAAATAATAAATGGTAATTTAATAACACAGAAACACAAGAAAGTATTACATCATTAAAATAATCGGAAAATTGCATTTTGAATGTTAAAAGTGAATCCGCTTATGTACTGTGATGATTGAGGGATATGAAAAATCATAGTATTTGCTCCAGAACTAATTCACTACAAGTCCCATTATTATATATAATACGTTAACTATCTGTGCTTAATAGCGTTTTACGGTTCGTTTCATAACTACAATGAATTCGATAAAAACACTGACAAGCACTGAATGACTATCGTGCGTTTGCGAAAATGATAAAGTACTATATCTACTGTACCTGGCTCTATCGAATTGTTATTTTTTCATTTCGTAATATTGAGTTACTTCGATAGTGGGATATCGTACGATTTTGCAATCTTATCGTTACGTATACACTTGTATTGTGATTACCGACACCTGATTACAGAGTACATTTTAATTCAAAAAGTTTACACCAAATTATAAATCATACGTCCTCTATGCCTTCTATCTTATCTATGCATTGTATAACATTGTAATTATAATCCGAGATTTGTGTTTTCCTTCGAAATCACATTTGTTTGATCATTCCTACGTAGGTAAGTATGTATATTGTGGATAGTTATAATTAAGTTATCATGTTTATTTTGCTTATTATTTATTAACACCGATGATTCCGATGACAAAAAAAATAGTTTCTATATAATTTGTAAAGTTGTTAAAATGTTTGCAAAATTATTGGCTGCAACTTATCTGAACTCCGTGTGAAATTTATTAAAAAATTTTCATGATGAAATGATTAAAACCAAGCAGCATCAGCAAAAGAGGAGACCTTCATGTGAGAGAAAGAATTCAATAAAATAAGTCAAATATTTGTTGAGATCAGCGCTCGCGCATCGAGTTTTACCTTGAAAATGGAGCACGGACTTAACGCGGCGTAGTGTTAATAAAAGTTAAATGAAATTACATTTTACACACTCAACCTTAGCCACGTTATGTCAATATTTGTTAATAGACGTCAAGGACGGTGCGACCGGCGATAGTTACAAGTGACTCACTTTCCCGACAACTTTCATTCATTTTCCGGATCAGATAAATGTCAGGAATGTTTGCCAAAATATCTTAACGAGCGTGCCAAAACTTGTATTACCGAGAAGAGAAAAAAGCTGTCATCGTCGTCTAGACGTTACAGCGAGACGTGACGTGACAAGGAGATTTACCTCAACCTCTGCTAAATACGTACTCATTTTTATATGCGTTTACGAAAAAAAACATGTGAAGTTCTTAGCGTTTGAAATCCTGGAATTATATATCCGGTACGCTACGTTATTATAAAACAAATGCGTTATTTTTTTTACATTTTAATACGAACGTTGAACAGTGTATCCCTGTATACAATTTTAATTACTTTAGATCAAATATAATCTTACCTACGTCTTTAATGTTTATTTAGCTCCAATAAAAAGGAGTATACATGAAAGCGTATTGCGGAAAACTTCACACTTCCATAGACTTTATGACCTGGAGAGAATTACGACGGCTGTAAAGAAAAAAATCATACGGCTACTTTCAAAAATTCTTTGGCCGAATAAAATTTGCACTTAACTTTTCGTCAACATGAGGTAAACTATGAGTCATTAATTATGTTTTACTTAAAAAAATATCAGTTGATCTTGTAACCCGCGGTCGGCAATGTTCCTAATAAAAACTTAATTAATAACACTGTCGCCGATATCACTTTAACAAATTACTTTATTTTTATGTTTTTGACAAATTAAGGAGTGTATATTTGTATATCGTTATTTACACAGCTAGGTTGTTTTATAGCTACGGAAAAACCGCACAGACCACATGTAAGCGTATCTCTTAGTTTCATTTACTTGCTTGAGATTCATTCACTCTACGCATGAATTTTAGACGCGTAGTTCTACAATTTTATTGATCTTCTACTGTGTCTCAAACGCTAGGGATGTTATAGGATAGCGTTTAATGTTTATATATCCTACGGTACTTATCTCATTGTGCGTCCTCAATACAATACTACCATCGGTCAAGTGGTTAGTAATTAAAATCGATCATTAAAACAAACATGTACCTAAACGTTTGTGTGTCCTGAGGAGATACGGAAGTTGTATGTAATGAGTTTCCGAGATATTATACATATATCCAAAATTGTGTTCGCCAAGACACCCATTTGTGTGTCTAACTTACCGATCGATTTCAGTAAGTAAGTCAGTAATTACTTAGCTTAAATATTTAAATCAGCTTAACTGTTAAAATGCAAAATATATTAATTAATTTTAATTTATCTATCGCTTGACGTTCCGGATATTATGCCACTGCCGTGGTCATGGGGGACTTAAGATTGAGGTCCCTAATGTCATAAGTCAGGCTTTAGTTATAATAAAGTAAAAAATTAACTAATATATTTTGCGTTTTAAACCGTCATAAATGTGTACTACTCGCGTAAACTATAGATAATATCGTTACCGTTGATTCGGGATTTGATTCTATACACATATTGAACCACGATGTCAAATCTTAAATGTAATTTATAGTCGCCAGCCAGTGTTGTAAGAAAACAGGAGAACAGAAAAACAAACGCCAGCGTAACAAAGCAATGATGTCTGATTTGTATAATAATAATGGACATGTGGAATGTGTCACTAATAAAATACATAACCTCACATGCAAGTATAATTGTGTACGAGAATAATTCTAATTTGCGGAATATTTATGCGTTTTATACAAAGCTTGTTTGCGTTACCGCTCATCGTGAGACGAATGAAAATGTGTTTTTGTAATTATTGCGCGACATTGTTTTCTGCTAGTAATTGTAGACGTGGGTAAGTCACCTACATGTTAACACTTGCCCGCTATAAAGGCACCGACCGTGCGGAGCCGACACTTTTTATATCCTCGCTTTGCATTTATCATGTAACATGAGTATAAGATCACTTTAGACGCTGCATTATATTTTTAACGTCATCACTTTTTTGTACTTAGGTATCTGAGCACATCAAACTTGTTCCACCAATTTTCATTTTCTAGGCTAATTACACAGTCAAGAATTGTTAAAATTGGTTTTTGCAAGAATTTTACAAAGATGCTGTTTTTATCAAGGCACTGATAACATTATCTCGAGTCTAGATTGACGTTGAATTAAAGTGTTACAAAGCTGCTTGAAAACACTGAGGGTGGGTTGTATTAATCGTATCATAGGTAAGTTAAATATTAACGTTGTTTTATATGTAAACAAGAGGTTGGTTAATGTAATATTTGTATGAATTCTGTTTAAATAAAATGCCCTCTAAACGCTTCAATTTGAATTAAAAATTATCGGCGCCATTTTAACATCGTATCCGTTCATTGGACGCAACTGGCCCCAAGGAAAGCGTGTTAATGATCAAAAATGATACAATAATTGCGTATCAAACGCAATATCGTAAATCGTAAGTGAGTCGCGTTATGTGTCGGGGAGTGCAGGACACTTATGTCCAATTCTGTCGTTGGTTCATTGCCCCGCTCGTAACAAACGATGCGCCGCGTGACGTCACGTTATGTGCATTGCACTCAAATTGCAACGAGATGAGAAGCACGTCGCGTGTTATCAAGGACGCTGTTCTTGGTCGATCACAGAGTTAGTCATAGATGAAACTTGGCGCCACAAAACGAACATAGATAACTCTTGTTCCTTGTGTTTGAATTGGAATAAACTTCGGAGTTCTTTTCTTAAATTCGAGCGCGCAAGGAGGTTGATTAGTGTATTGTCATTATCTGTCTATAGCAGTGTTGCCAGCTTGAGTGATGATTTATGTGGTAGATTCGATTATTTTTAAATATTTTTTGCTTAAGTTTGATTATTAACCAAAAAGATTCTTACAAGTTTAACACTTATTTTTAATACAATAAAATTAATACAAGTTTACTTAATCAAATGAATGGAGGTTCAAACGTTTAAGGCGTTTCATATTATGATTTGATGTAGTTTCTTTGTTTGACAAGACTCT